TTTCACAAGGAACTTTGGTGCGTGTAATTCTCCTTCTCCCGGTCTTGCCAACGTTAATGTTGGCGGGTGCAGTGTAACTTGTGTAAAATCCGTCCCTGAATGGACGGGCAGGGTAGTGAATTGTCTCGATAGGGCCTTGATCGATTTCGTTCAAAATGTCACACCTCTTTAATCCTCGGGTATTGAGCCAATAATAAAAGTAGAAAGGAAAAGGACATATGTTAAAGTGGTGGAGAGTTACTCTTAACTCGTTTCCATATGTCCTTTTCCTTTCTACTCTTTAATCCTACCAGAATATTGTCAGTCCCAAAAAATGGGAAGGATTGAAATAATTCTTACACACACACACACACACACACACACACACACACACACACACACACACACACACACACACACACACACACACACCACACACACACACACACACACACACACACACACACACACACTTGTACTTGATGCTCACTGCCAAAACTGGTCATGTGGGTCTCCCCGGGAGAGGGAGAGAGACTCAAAAGGAATCTTGGAAAGATGATTCAACTGGCTATTTGCTACTACAGTACTTCGAAGTAGTGTGGATGGCTAAATCAGAGTGGATCTGATATAAGCGTCACTAGCACCATTGGTTACACAAGAGTTAATCTAGCCAGAAGCAGTCCATAGTTAACAGGTATGTATACTTCAAATAGAAAGTATACGGACCCTGAAACCAACAAAGGTGGCAGATACAACAATACACCTTCAAGCAGCCGAGCCTGTTGGCAACAGACCCAACACAATCAGGCATAAGTGTACCCACCAACCGAACTAGCTGGCACACACACACACACACACACACACACACACACAAAACACATCCCAGCATTTTGCCTCTACTGTTGTATTGTTCAGACTAAATGTTGTAATGTTCTTTTCAGGTATCTGAGTGATGATTTCTGCAGTCAAGCCAAGCCAAATAGGATGGCTGGGGTTTCTTTTCAGGGTTCTTGGCTGCCCACACTAACAATCTCTGTCTCATTCGGCTTGGAATGTAAATATTGGTACTCCGCGGAGTAATTCCCGAAATTGCCCCGATAGATTTTCTTCATTTCTTCAAGAAGTACAGCCAGCTATGTGGTTCATATGCTCGACGGTTTACTGAATCCAATATTGGCTGACGTGTGCGGTGGACCAAAACATTATAGTCAAGCATAAGGGCCCAATAGATTTCATTCAAATTTTGCTGAGGTATGCTTAGATAGTAATGGGAAGGGTCTGCAAAGTTATAGCCCTTTGCAGCTACCAGAAGCATACTTTGTCAAGTGCTCTCAATTTGTTGATTTTGGGGTAAATTTACTTTTTAGTTTTACTGCCATCAAGAAAATTGACACTGCAGCTGAGTGCTTTATGGATTTGCTCTAAATTTGGTAAGGATGTTCCTTTGATTGATGAAAAAGTGCCTGCCAAGTTTCATGTTTCTGTCACCACCAGAACATACCTTTTGAGTCGATTATAGAAGCTATCCGTGTTAAAATCACTACGGAAAAGAAGAAGAAAAGTTTTCAACGGGGAGGCTCGAATCCGTGAGGGGCAAAAGTCAAAATATTTCTACTCCAAACCTGCGCAGAAGGATTCTCAAAGGACTAGTTTTCGATTTAGGTACGAGCCACCAAATAAAACAATATGAAGAGCAGTAGGTCACGGAATACACTCCAAGAGAACGAAAAACGGTTGAGGTGCTATGCTACCTATCCAATTCCACTCTGACACAGCCACAAGTTACTAATTCAAACACTGTAGTGAGACATGTTACTATAACAAGTCGCAAATTTAACGATTGTCCAAAACGCAGGTCAACGAGAAGAATACACTGTTTAACGATCTTGCAGCCATCAGGCATATTCATTATTAGTGTTTAAACCGAACACGGATTCTTCGAACGAATAATCTATCGAATAATTTCGCCCTCCATCGAACGAATAATCTATATTCTATCATACACATGATGGCATTTTTCAACACTTTTTCAGCACTTTTTAAGTAGTTTTTTTTTGAATTTTTTTGCTGATTATCGGATTTTGTTATGTGGAGGTGCAAAACCGGTTAACCTGTACCGCCAAGAGTACATACCCCCCCCCCCCAGAGTGTGCAACACCTGATACAGCTCTGCATAGGGTCTTGGTCGAAAGTGGTCAAAGACCGAAAGTCACATTCACTGCATCCATGTTTCCCTCGTATGGAAAGAACAGAAGTATTACTAGATACCGATAGGAGATTAAAACTTGGAGGAGAAGAGATTGAGAAGAAATACTACGAGCAGATCTACGCAGTGCAAATATCAGTGAGCATAGATCTTTTTTTTTTTCTTTTTTTTTTTTTCGATTTCTGATAATTCCTACGACTATTCGATTATTCGTTCACCCCACGAATATTCTAAATTATTCGATTATTCGATTATTCGTTTCAACACTAATCATTATGATCAATAAGATCCATAATAATTATTATGATCCATATGAGGCATTACCGCCTCAACAGAACTACATTGTAGATCACTGGACTGCTGCCGTGTAGTCCATCAAGAGCTGAGAGCTACCTCCTCCTCTTGAGCAGGCTCCAAGGGTTAGTCTACTGAAACTCTCTCTCTCTCTGTAAGTCTACAAATTTTCGGGAATTCAAATTTCGGCCTTCCAGGGCTAAAACCCATTTCGATCGCATCAAATTTTCGGCCTGTACTGCTGCCGCCTGTATGCACTGTAACATTGAACCTTGCAAAACAAATTTTCGGCAGCAACAAACTTTCGGCCAAACATGACCAGGCCGAAAATAGCCGAAAATAAATACGCGCCGAATATATTTGTAGACTTACGGTAGTGTATACATGTAGGCTGGCTGACTAGCATCATGTACTATATTGAGCCTGCAGTGGTTACCATGGTTACTTGAGCCTGCAATGGTTACCATAGTTACTACTGTAGCAAGGTGTAACAGCTAACCTACAAGACAGTAGAGTTCTTGATCTGTTCGTGGGAGTCTGCCTATGGTGCTATGCTTCGTACTTCTTTGCATTGCTCGTTCATAGCTAGAAATCTGACTCTACAAGCAATCATTGAAGTGATATCTATCAACTACAGAACATTGTTCTCCATTCTTGGACACAACAGACACAGACAGACAGACAGACAGACAGACAGACAAAATAAAGCGGTGAGGACCCTGGCTACGCCAGATGTCGCCACATAACGTCTTTTGCAGGAATAAGAATTATTTTCTCCGTTACCGTTCTTGTTCTCACTACAATGGAGTAATGAAGTAGCATCTGACACGTACAAAGTTTAAAAATTTGTTGAAAAACCATCACTCCACTTCTGCCAGCTGGTCGCTCCCGTCCTGTACTTCGTAGTTTCCTCCATCGATAAGAATGCTGCTGTTGCTTTGTTGCCTGGTGTATTCCGGGTATGGTATTTCTTGACCCTACATACATCCCCCCCCCCCATCCCGGGTATGGTATCTCTTGACCCTACATACCCCCCCCCCCTACGGTGTCCATTGACCCTACACACATTCCCCATCCTGGGTCACGATGGTGTCTCTTGATCCTACACATATTCCCCCATCCCGGGTATGGTGTTTAGGCGTACCGTATATTCTCTATTATAAGCACAGGTCTCCATTACTAGCACAGTCTCTAATACTAGCACATTGTCAGCACCTTTCGAAACATTATAAGCACAGTCTCTATTATTGGCACGGTCTTGGTGGAAATCAATGCTGCATGCATGATTTCTAGCATGGATTTCTGTATGGATTGTATTGGTTGAAAAAATATAAGCGCAGTCTCCAATATAAGCGCGGTCTCTAATATAAGCACGGGTAGAGGGGTGTTGAAAATATATAAGCACGGCGCTTATAATAGAGAATATACGGTATCTTGTCCCTAGGGAGAATGAGTGCTCTTGCAAACATCGCTATTCAAGGCAGAGTGGAAAGAGCAGATTACTCGTATTGCTAAACCGCTAAGCCGATCACTACGGTGTCAGCTAAGCCACTGAGGAAGATAATAATCTACAGACCTAAGTTAGCATCAAATTACAGTAAAACCTGTAATGGTGACCACTCGGATATGGCGACCACTTTTCCTTATCATGGATGTATTCACATTCAAAACACCTCAGATAAGGCGACCACTCGCTCAACGCGACCGGTGACCACCCACCCGCGACCGCGTTGCACAGTGCTAGCCATGTAAAATGTATGCATTGCATGGTGCACCAGGCATGGTAGATCTACACATCAGTGCAGGAAGTGTAGATGTACATGGTGCATGCACGACATTTGACAGGTCTGAGGACCCCAGGCACATGAGTCGTGCTAGAGTAGCATAGGGGTGTGCACTGTGATGCACTGATCAAAATGATGTATCACATGTGGATATGGTCACGTGACCCACTGAACCTGGATAAGAAGACCACCTGGCCACGGCGACCACTTTTTCTCGTCCCTTGAGGGGTCGCCTTAGACAGGTTTCACTGTAGTTGTCTGTGTACTTTCAACCTCATGTTCCCTCACCCCGGCTTGGTCGGGTCCTCTTTCTCGGCAGTGTCAATGTTGTCTGCCCTCGTGCCAAGGGCAGTGTCAATGTTGTCTGCCCTCGTGCCAAGGGCAGTGTCAATGTTGTCTGCCCTCGTGCCAAGCTCGTCGTGTTTCTCACATGTAGATCAGCGCTCTGACCTTGATGAGCGGATTCACAAACTAAGTTGTTGCTCCCTAGACTACAGTGCGCCTCCTGGCCTGGCCTGTCACTCTGAGCTCTGCTGACGAGACCTAACAAGGTCGAAACAGGTAGATGTCCGGAGGTCGAGTACTTACAACCTTATGAACAATGCCATTATGACAACTTTTTTCGTGCTTAGTCAAGGGGCATGATTCAAGATGGACAGTGCCATAACAACTAATTATTGTGTGCATGTGTAGTGTCATATGGCACAACCAGAATCATTGGGTTAAAGAGCACATACCATTTATCTTGCTTGTCTTGTCCTTTCCAGCCTGAGATCCGTGTCTTCTTAACAGCAGCAGCAATAGTAACAACAACCACAACAACATAAACTTCTTCAGTTTGACCACTCCAATCTGCAGTCCTGGCATTGGCGACAGCTACCACGCACGACCCACAGGGATCACTAGTATTTTACCCTGCACCTATAAATGATGTGCATGAGTATGTTGACATAGGGAAATTGCACATGCAAGAGACAACAGAGTTGGTATTATTATTATTATTATTATTATTATTATTAGGCCACACCAAGTTATTTCTATGTTTCGCGTCGCCCGCCCGCGAACCTTTTCAAATCCTTGCCAAGAAAAAAAAAGAACCTAGACGAGCCAATCGATGGCTTAGCTGTTCTGGCGAACATTCTCTAGCCAGTACGGCAGATCAGAGGTCATCAGCTTCTCGATAATCTTGCATTCCAGGCGATGGTACGTAGAAGGTGCGAGAGATGAAAATTTCTATTTTTCCAAGCCGTGCGGTAGGCCTAGGGCCTGCTCACCAAGAGAGCAGAGATTCCAGGTGTCAAGGACTTCGAGATTTTCCACGATTGTGATGGAGCGGGATCCCACTCGACTCATGTCAAAATGCAGAAGGAGCCATCCATGAAATCTCTGTATCGCTCCAGCCCAGTCTGCCAGCTGTCCTGTGACGACTTGTTGTCGTTTTGGATAGAAGTGACAGTTTAGTAGTGGTATTCTGTGTGCAACATGGCTCAGTATACACATAGAATGGAGTTTTGTTTTTTCTTCTGTTTTTGTTTTTTTTCCGCCCGCCCGCGTGCCTTTTCCAGAAAATATCCGACGCGAAACATAGAATTAACTTGGTGTGGCCTTACTACTACTACACCTTCCAGTGGCTAAAGATGAATCAGTGCCAATATAGATGAGGAGGGGGCGTTTGCCAGCCATGGCATGATCCAGCACAATGGACATACGCGTGACTAATATTCTGTATACCGTATTTTCCGGAGTACAAGCCGCACTGGAGTGCAAGCCGCACCCAGATTTTTTTGTCACAAAATACAGACATTTACCCTGGTTATCACCGTTAATTTGACCATCGTAGTGTAAACCGCACCAACTGTTTTTGGGGGTGAATTGCGGCTTATACTCCGGAAAATACGGTGCCTCAAGCAAGCTGGGCTGGATGTGTTACGAGAGAGCACACATGCTTACTCACCCAGTTGACTTCTTGCCTGGCAGCGGTGCTGACGCAATATTCTGCACAGCACGACACACATGCACGGTGGGTTTGAAACCTGGGCTAAAAGGCTGAGCGCATGGGCACCTGGTATCAAAAGAAGATTTGAGTTATTGATGAGGAGGTTTTCCTTTTATCCTGTTAGGTCCAAAGCTGCTGATCATCCGTCTCCGGATCATTTATCAACTTATCAGAGTGATCATAACAATACATGTACATGTAATAGACACAGCACAGCAGACAGTGCACAGTACACAATGTACACAGCTGTAGAAGATCAACATGCCGGAACGCACCTAAAGTACTGGCCAGTGAAATTCCACCTCATGATTAAAATAGCGCCGGGTGCTACGCAGCCCTCGCATTACCAACACTATCCTGTGCACTAGACCATGGTGCTGCGTTATTCATGAGGTAGAGTTTCACGGGCCAGACCGCAGCCTAGTACGCCTGCAAACAAATACGACGCCCGTGTAAAGTCATGCATACTTGCGAGTAGTGCTGCTCCTTGAGCCAGTCAAACAGAGAGGAGATGGTAGAGTGATCCGGGCAAGATTCATCAACCTACCGCACACAGGCACAGGCACACCATTGGACCATTGGACGCCCATCGCCGGAGGCGATGATAGCGATGCTACAGCAGAAGCCATAGCAACTTGTGCTGGGATTGCACCATTCAACAGCTTGCAAGGCTGAAGAATTGACCGCCACTATTCAGCCTGGTCTACACCACACAGCTATGAAGTGGCTTTTTCTGGCCAGTGAATCCCTACTTATTGGTCTTTTTTTTTCCCGCACACACATCACACCACATACTCTGGCATGCACTGGCTGTTGGTAACCACCCAGGAGAATGAAAGAAAAGTCAGAAAGAGTCTGAGAAAGAGAAGAAAGACGTGTGTGACCATAATCGTCGGGAATCGAACCCGCAACCTATCAATTGGAAATCGCTGCACATACCACTGCACCATATGGGACACACACGCACACACGCACAGGCACACACACACACGTACACACACACACAGCATGGCACAAACGGCACTAAAGAGTGAGTAAAGACAGCCTGTGCTCAGTGATTTGGGTTGAGTTGCCATGACTCAGCAGTGCTGCAGTATGAAACCAATACAAATAGTGCATGGTTGGTTGCACCATGTACTTGCTTCACTCCAGTTCTGAACTCATCAGCTTGGTATGCATTATAGGTGAACAGCTACCAGTACCTAGCTACTTGCACATAAGGAAGTTCATACTATGTGTCTCACCCAAGACAAGACTGCACTTTAAGTGTTTCGTGTTTTAACCGACAGGGTAACGGGGTGTCACGGCTGAGCTCAGTTGCGATTGCTCGAAAACACGCGCGTGGTGATTCGCGGCTGTTCGAAGGGAGATCACAAACCACTTTAAAAACGGTGTATACCTGAAGCAAGCATCAGTTTGACACCACCACTGAGCATGGGTGCAGGCCGGTTGGTTTTTTTCCGATTTGCTTTTTTGTCTCCCTGCAGCAAGTGAACCATAAAGGCGACGCACACAGATAATTGATCCGAGCCAGAGTTTTTTCAAGATAAACTTCGCTGTTGCTCCGGTGCTCGCCCGGTTATCGCCTCGCTCAAAATGATAGCCAAAACTCGAAACAAGGCTGATTTTTCATGCGCAAAGGAGCAGACGCTCTGCATTGCAGCGCTGGGCTCAGCGGCAACGCTGCGTCCCAAACAAAATTCCCCTTGCCAATAGCACAAGACACTGGAGTAATGCTCTGCTTCTTCATGAAAACTATCGTGGAATCTGTTCCAAGTGCAAATCTGCATACTAATAGCCTCTATTTCGACTGACCAGCGGCTGCGATTCCGAGTTTTAAAGATTCTTGTTGCGCATTCAAGCCGCGTTTGTGGTGTGAAAGCGTAGTGTGATAGCGTCCTTACTCCTTAGAGAGGGTCCCTTAATGCAAAGCCATAGCACTCTAGTAGTAGTACAGTGACTGTGTAGTACAGCACTCCTACCTCTTGAATGGCAGCGCAGAGTACCCGCAGGAGACGCTTCATTGCTAGAGCAGAGCAGGCAAAGACAGGACAGAGAGCATTGAACAATCTCAACCATACAATGTAACAGCCATAATACCAACAACATTCCGGCAGTATGTACATATATGTGTGTGTGTGTGTGTGTGTGTGTGTGTGTGTGTGTGTGTGTGTGTGTGTGTGTGTGCGTGTGCGTGCGCGTGCCTTGCATGTGTCCATGTGCATGCACACCCACACAAACACACCCACGTACGCATGCACGCACGCATGCACCATGCATAGGGTACACCATAGTCGAGACTCGCTCGTGCTAGTTTTGGGAGCGTTTGCCATCATCCTGCGTTTGTGGCAATGCGCGCTTCAATGTTTCACACGCTCTATCCTGCCTGACCGGTGGATTCCCGTCGTCGAGACATAACGAAAATCCGCGATGTCACCGCCAACTTCATCCACCAAGTGGCTAACTCAGTGTCCGTGTAACCTCCTCTGCAACCGCTCTCTGGGGAGCAGTTCAGCCTCCAGTCTGCATCCTTAGAGGACAATCCTCCCCTCGACAGCGCTGCCAGTGGGGTTTGGGGTGGCCGGTTCGAGCGCACAATGTTTGATATACGGGTTTTCAACCCCTATGCTGCTTCGAATCCTGCTGCCTCAACCTCTGCTGTGTACGCACACCACGAATGTGAGAAGAGGAGAAGATTCGAGGAGAGAACTCGGGAAGTCGAGAGGGCTTCTTTCGTGCCAGTCGTCATGTCGGCCAGTGGCGGTGCTGGGAAAGCAGCAACAGCATTGTACAAGCGCCTGGGTGCACTCATCTCAGAAAAGAGAAACTAGCAGTATTCCGCCACCATGGCTTGGATCCGCACTCGGCTGTGCTTTGCTCTGGTAAGGTCCAGCATTATGTGTTTGCTTGGTGCCAGGTCCTCCAAGTCCCGCTACCTCCAGCGAGATCCAGTTGCGGTTGTCGTTGCAGAGGCACGCCTGCGGCTTGAGGCCTCTGACTAGCTTTAACAGCATATTATACTTCGAAGTAGTTCTTAGGCGGTGTTTAGACAATGGCGTCTGTCCTAGCGGTGTAGAAAAGCGTGTTCACTGAGCCAAGGCACACCACAAGTTGAACATTGAGCGCGGTTTCATGAAGGATGAGATTGCCAGGTGCGGTGACACGGTTTGCAAGCCTCGTTCCCAGTTTAGGTCTTTGTATGATCGTGCACGTGCATTTTTGTCCTCTCACGACTTCCTTCGCTTCTCAGTGCTCCTTTCTGAGAACGACCAGAAACAACGAATCAAACTTATCACCAAACATGACAAGACATATAACTGGCTCAGAAGGAAACGTTACGGCCAAGTTAACATCGATCTGGACACAACAATAATAAACTTAACACCAATGCCAATGGACTTGACTACCGTACAGAAGGAGCTCCTTTGCCATGGCACTGATTTTGGCGTTCCCCACCATCAAATAAAAAGGAAGTTATCATGACCGAGTTTGAACTGTTTTACCGAAAGTTATTACGTTTTACGCCAACATCAGAGGCCCAACAATCAATATGCGCAGCAAAGATCCGAGCTGAGGCTGAGGAGCATGCCGATAAACTTCCAGACAAGCGATCATTTTCCTTAGGCCATGAACACACGAAAGCCCTGCGTGACTTCCGCAAAAACACGGAAATCATCGTCACGCGCCCGGACAAAGGGCGGGCTACAGTTCTGAGCATACTGATTACATCAACAAGATGTCTGTCATCTTAATGACACATCAACGTTCAAGATTATCGCCCCAGTTGAAAGTTTTGATTCGAACAGAGAAAGTAGAAAAAGAACTAATAACTTACCTAAAGAAACTGAAAGAGGATGGAGAAATATCCTCAAATGATTTCGATCGCATTACCGTAAAAGTCCGTAAATAAGTACCTGCCCGAAAGAAATACCCCTTTCATTCTTTTGGCTGTGTCTGGTGAAGTCAAGTCAAGCCCGATAAACATACTGCCCGAAATAAGTACCGGTACGGTGCGCACATGCAGCACGTAGCATGTACATCGACATGAAAATGATTTCTCCACTACACACAAGTCAGGTCCGAAAGTTAGTTCGTGCCCGAAAGTCAGTACCCGCCCGAAAGTTAGTACGGGTGTGGTCACTAAATTCAAAAGTAAATACGTACTTATTTACGGACTTTTACGGTAAACCGACGGGCACCCTCCGGCCTAGGCTATATGGCTTACCAAAAATACACAAGCCTACATGTCCCGTACGTCGCATCACGGCCTCACTGCAAGCGCACTGTAAAAAAAATTCACGGTTCACGTGAGACTCTGTTAGATCTATATACATGTACATGTATATAGAGGCCGAGTTTTCCGCATCCGTAGGAACACCACCACCCTTCAAGGATCAAGGCGCAGATGCAGCTCCTAAAGCGGTGGGAGGTGAGTAGATCAGCTCACCAGCATGGGGTCAAAGACCGAAAATCCCATTCACTGCATCCATGTTTTCCTCGTGCCAGGCCACAAGTTTCCAAATAACTGTGGGTCGCAGCACGGCTAAAAAAACTCCTTGGGCTTCCAAGCAGGACTTGAACCTGCACTGTAAAAGACAGTTTTCATTTCATCGAAAAGCTCCGCAACAAGCCTGTACCACCCAACGCACACATGTGTTCGTTTGACATCGTCAGTTAATTTACTAATGCCCATGCGCACAAACGTTCTTGTTCCGATGCAGTACTGTACTTCTACTGAAGCTGCTGAGCACTGCCTGGGCATGGGCGAAGGACATTCTCAAAGTGATCTCAGCACAGCCTACTCTCGATAAGCCACGCACTCAGTGATTGGGACAAAACTGTGAGACTAAGGCCTCGTTTACACGACAACGATTGAAAAACGTTTTTGTCAAAAACGTTTTCAAAAGAATACGCTTCCACAGATTTTGATAAGAGCGTTTACACGACAACGCTGAAAAACGATTCAAAAATGTTTCAAACGAAAAACGGCTTCAAAGTGTTTTTCAATTGTTTTCGTTCCGTTCCGTTCTCGTGTAAGGCCGCAACCACACTACGTAAAAGTCACAGTACAAATTTTCATGCATATCTCAGTACAAGTCGGTACGCAACCACACTACACTTTTCGGTCTGCATAGATGACGTTTTAACGCGAACAGCACGTGACGTTACCGTACCAAAGCGTGTGCCATGCGCTGGAAAAGACCGGGAAATTCAAAAACAATGCTGATGCTGATGCTATGTACGACGACCAGGTACAAAACAAAGTTGTACACAGGAGATGGAGCGCGAAAACGACGAAAACGACAAACGTGGCTTTCTACAGGGGTGCGCCAGTTGCTGAAAACCTACAAAGCGCATTTTGCATTTCGCACGTGTCGGCATGACGATTTCTACTGTAATGCCGTTTGTACGTGATTTTGTACCTAGTATGGTTGCAGCCTTAACGGCAAAAACGTTTTACTAGTACGAGCCTTATACTCAAAACATGCCGCCGCCAGCCTGCGCCAGGCCAACTTATTGCACGTGACCATTGCGCGCCGAAAAACGTGTTGCAGTGTACACGATTATCGTTTTCGTGTAAACAGCAAAAACGTTTCGAAAACGATTAAAAAACGTTTTTCAATCGTTGTCGTGTAAATGAGGCCTAACAGATAAAAGGGACGTTTCGCTCTGCGTGATTACTAGTGGTGTGCACGGGTAGTCGAGTACCCGTGCTACCCGTGAGGACCTCGGGTAGACAGGTACAGAATAGTACCAGAAAATCCGAAGTCGCAGATGACGTGATGTACGGTGCACATGCACAAATTCGTGTGATACTCCGCATGTCTACCCAGTGTGTGAGGGAAGGGGTGCATTGTGGTGTTACCATGGAAACATTACCCGATCGGGTACCGATGCTACCCGTGGAAAACTACCCGAACCCGATACCCGAAGAAAATGCTACCCGACTCAGCCCTTGTAATTACGTATGAAAAATTGAAATCCGTATGTCGTATGCGCCGGGGAGCGAGGGCAACTTTCATACGTAAATCTCTCCACGGATTTCCGTAGGAAAGCGCTTCCCTATGTTCCCTCCTCCGTAGGACTTTTTGAAATGTTTTTCTCATCTTCCGGATTCATTCAAGGCCAAAGTTCAAGCCGCGCAAATCACAACGTCCACAACACGTGGAAAAACAAATGGAGAATGTGGTTAAAGTTCGCAGGCACATGTGGCCGACACGTCTCCAACGCAAAAAGGCATAATTAGCATTCGGCGAGAAAGCACGTAGGGTGAAACTTCCCTAATGCATACAGGTATATTATAAACAAGCTGTCCTGTTTGCGAGAGTGTCCGCTTTATCGCAAGTGTGTGATATAAATGCATGTGCATGGCTTATAGGCTGAACCTCTATCATAGGGGATGTGTAGCTGATCACAACTGAACTTTAGCAACTCGAACTTACTTGTACACTCTGAGGCTGACAATATCACTACAAATGGGGTGAGGTCCTTCCGAAGACGCTTGCGCAGATAATCAAAAAGCTCAACATGATCCAGGGCATTGGCACCTGGAAGTAAATTGTAAAACAACAGCGACAACAGCAGCAGCAGCAGCAGCAGCAACAACCAGAGCTGAAATCAAGAAAAGTGTGCAGCGGCAACATATTGATGGGCAACATCATGCTTTCAATTAGTTCCCCAGCATGCTGTCAATTATTTACCCAGCATCTGTACTACTGTAAAGTGAGAAACTTTCGCTCTTTTCGCGACCATCACACATTCACGAATATACAGTAGGTATCGGTTATAGCGTGGGTGTTTGAAAAACGACATTTGATTCTTATTGCCGATATTTCTTACACACGATAAATCACGTGTGACATATCATATGCACGTGTGACATACAGGTATCATAATTATAATTATGAGCGCACGTTTGGCATGTGGACACGTACAATCATGTAGGTCTACACATGATACACACGGATCAGACTCGCGGTCGTGCTAGGCGACTGCGGAGCAGCAGATACGAGAGAAGTCGGAAGAAAGAGTCCGACTGGACAGAAAAAGTGATTCTCCAATGCTCCCTTGGACATAACTCTCTTTTTGTGTTGAATATTATTGTATTGAGTATGCACAGAGCACAGATGTTATTACTACAGGCGATACACTTTGCACTAATCTGGCATATTTTGCTACACAAAATCCATTCTTAGGGCCGATATATTCTACTATGCGATAATACTGCTTGTAAGAATAAATATACACATAAAATATGTGTTATGATTATGAAAAAATGAGTGTTCATTCTTGTAGGCAGTATATTCTTGTATACGACCACACTATAACCGATACGCACTGTAAATCGCCGCAAATCTCTCCGTACATTGATTGTAGACAGTACAAGATCCGACTGAAGATAAAGAATCGCAAAAGTTTCTCATCGTGAACCAGTCCGATTTATGTAAACGTTAAATTTGCGCGCCGGGAAAGTTTGTCGCTTTACAGTACATACTGTATGAAGTGGTTCCTGGATTCCTGGCTCAACAACAACTACTACAACTACAACTACAACTACAACAGCAACAACGATAACTCCCCTCCTCCACACAACCACCACCACCACCACCACCACTACTGCTGTTGCAAGAAAAGCATCCAAATCTGCAAACGCACTTGCTGAACATCGACAGATTATTCCTTTTGTTGACAGTAGGGGGGGGGGGGGGGGCACTGGCAAGTCTACAGTGAACAAAGTTGGAGGAGGCTGGAGGAGGCGAAAACCAGTGTCGCTTCTGCAATAAATAGATGATCAGGCTTCGCGACAACAAAGTACAGTCCAGCTTGCATGGAAAAGCCATCACAAGATGGAAAGACAGGACAGAACAACATTCCAGGCATAAGTCGAATGGAATAACTCTAAAGTCTAAAGCCGGCCGCACTGGGATACTAACCGGCTGACAAAGCCACTGTGCGCAGATGCAACGTTTCTTGCGAGCCTGTTGGCCATTTATACATGCGTAGAAAGTCTTGTTCTTGATTGTCAGCAGTAGAGTCCCCATTGCTAGACCTGTCGTCCACTCGACAGTGCATTCGTGCTATGCTGGCTGGATCCGCATCACGGCTCAGGCAGTCAATCAGTGACAAGACCAAGTCTCGGTGCTGCAGTTGACTGAGGTTCTGGACACACAAACAGACAGTAACCCAACGTACACCATGAAAATGCGCACGGCTAGAAAAGTGAGAATCCCAAGGAGAAGGGAGCAACAACTGGAAGGAGGCCTGGAAAGATGGCTCAGTCGGAAATAAACTACCTGTACCAACATTTTTAAAATGGACAAGACCACCTTCCATCTCTCGCACCCCGAATCCCTGACTGTCAAAACTATTAATAAATGGCCTGCCACAGAGTTTGAAAACAAGAAAACGACTGAAGTCATTGAATGCAGGGTATCTCTCTGGACGTTGATGTAAGTGCAGTGACATTCATCCTCAAAGGCGGCACTTCTACATTTGCTACTCATTTGAGTTACCAATCAGAGCAGAACTGATAGAACAAAGTAATACCGTATTTTCCCGGTTATAAGTCGACCTTTTATGACTGAAAATAGCAGGAGAAAAGGTGGGGGTCGACTTACAACCGGGATTCGACTTATAACCGGGAATTATCGGTATCTTCCAAAAATGACCTGCACTGAATACACGAGTGCACCATGTGTATGCATTTTTGCCAAGTTTATTTGCCTTTTTCAAGGATTGGGATGTTTCAGAATCCAATGAGGAGTGTTTATGTGATTTGTTCATGTGTTAGTAGCAGAGAGTGGTTAGCAGTGCTTCGTTGGGCAAAAACTTTAAAAACATAATTAAGACCTCCGGATACGGGGGTCGACCTATAACCGGGGTCGACTTATAACCGGTAAAATACGGTACATGTATATTACTTTGTTTTATCAGTTCTGCTCCGACTGACAGCACTTTTTCATATGAGAGTGATGCTGACCTTGAAGATGGTTTCCACCACTTCATAAGATTGCTGAAAGCATTCAAAGCGTTGCTTCGCTGCTTGTGCTGGTTCGCCAGGGAAGGCTTGAAACCCAGTTCCGGCAGAAGATCCTAGAAAGCACAGTATAGGAGAGAATGAAGCTAAGCTAACTGCTATACACAGATTGACCCATGTATAGGTGTAGCAATGGACTACACCAGCATCACTACAGAGCTTACAATGCTGAGGGTAAGACCTTGTGACTGTCTCCTCAAGCTGACATTATTGTAGCCATCTCTTTAGGAGCATTGTAGGCAAATGAGGATAAAGGCAGAGAAGTCCGGGGTTTCCACTGAACGAAAGACACAGCAACAAGTTGATAAACCGTACACCCTAAGTCGCGCGAAGAGAGTGAGCAAAAACCAGAGCATGAGGGTGAAGGCGAGAGCTGTCATGCCTAGTTGTGATCACACTGCTAGTGATGTGTTCTAATCACATTGGTAGTGAGGTTCGATCATCTTTATCGTTGAATCCACAAATTGTGATACAAAATGTGAAGAACCATGCGAGGTAAAAAGCCATTATGAGTATGTACATTGGTGGTGATGTGTGGGACCACAGGGAACAATTTACTTTCAATCTTTTGCATAGCAATTTTGCTACACAAAATCAACCTTGAATAGCAATTAGAAAATGTTGCATAGCAATTTTCTTCAACACTTGACAACATTGTCATTCTGGAGAGCTGATCAGAGTGCAAGCTCAGACCACAAGTACACTGTAACACCTTAGTTGCAAACCTAGCCTGGTGCCAGGATGCATAGCTGAGCACTTTCGAAGTTTTGTGCATCTATTTCATCCCTTAGAGACACACCCGGCATGTACACTGTGCTTCATAGGATACAGTGAAAAATCAATATGCATCGCGGTTTTTGCGACACATATCCGAAGTTGCTTCGCACCTGAGAATAATTGCCTAGCAAACTGCGATGCGATACCGGTTAAATTATTCCCTCGACCACATTGGTAGTGATGTGTTGTAGTCACACTGGTAGTTTCTGCGTCGCATAGTGCCAGCAGTCTGAAATGCTTAAGTTGTGGATGCTGGTCACTGCTTGCACACACAAACGCAGACACACAGGCACAGATACACACATACACATCCATGCATACATATGCACACACACACACACACACACACACACACACACACACACACACACACACACACACACACACACACACACACACACACACACACACACACACACACACATACAGTCAACTTCGCTTATAACGACACTCGGCGGGGCATCAGAAAAGTGTCGTTATTCGCGAAGTGTCGTTATACCCGAAGTCCCATTGTATGTATTACAGTTGGATGTGACTTTGCTCTGGGCATAGAAATTCTGTCGTTATTCGCGAATTGTCGTTATATCCGCAGTCGTTATTAGCGAAGTTGACTGTACGCACACACCATGCATACACATGTATACACACACATACATGCACACACACATGCAAACACACACACACACATGCAAACACACAAACACACACACACACACACATACGTACGTGCACCCACACATACACACACACGCACACACACACACACACACGCACACACACACACACGCACACACACACGCACACACACACACACATATATACACACTCGCACAGGCACACAGGAGGCCACTTACCAGAAGAACTTGCAGATTTCTTCCTCTTAGTAGAAGTTGGACGGAAGAGAAAGCTTCCCTAAGACAATAAAAAAATATACAGACACATTTGTCTGTTCTGAGAAGAGTCTTGTCACAGGGTACGCGGTAGTCAACACCAATTTACTGCATATGCAACCAGGATCAAAGAGGTAAAATGCCTGTGCACACGATCAGCATTGATTTCAAAGTGCATGCGTGGGGGAAAAGATACTGAGCAAACATCGCGCACAAAGCGTTCCCAAATCAAAAAGGCTCCCCAGTGAGGTTAAAGCACATAATTACAGCTGTCCTCATGGAAAATCGCGGAAGAATTTCCCAGAAAATGTGGACTGGAAATGTGTAAAGGCGGAGTGATCCCAAGGAAATTGCGTCAAAATGGGGAAAATTGCGATGAAACCTAACAATTTGTGGCATTCAATATGCAGAAAATTATGCTGAATTTCATGTATTGCAGCACACAACTACTGCCTTGAATTGTCAAGAGTACAAGTATGACCTGATGCATGATGGATAAAGATTCCAGGCTGCCAGCCCAGACTTGGGACATTTGCTCACACCTTACACCCAGGTGTAAGGTGTGAGAAAAAGTCACAACTCTGGGCAAGCAATACGTAGACCTGGCCTGGGTGCCCGGTTTGTAGCTGCACACTTCATTCACTACTGTCTCCACACGGGCATATACAGAAACCAACGTGTTACTTCCATGGATTACCAGGAATAACGTGGTGAATTTTGCCAAAATGTGCGGTGCTTTACAACACACGTGAAAATCGCAGATTTTCGGGCGGCCGTGCCATCGGGATTTTCCCCGGGGGCAGAAATAAGGACCCACCCAGTACTAGTAGGACACACCCACGCACATGCAGATCCGGAGAGCGGTACACAGTGCAGTGTGTGCACAGCTCCACATGCCCGGCCATTTTGCATTCAAAACTGCGGAACTGTCGGTTACTTGAACACTTCCGATTCCAGAAGACTGCAGAAGAAAACTATACTACCGTAAAGTACCGCCAGAGCGCCCCGTCTCGCGAGACCGCCTCACCTTGATTTTACAGCCAGAGAAAGGAAAATCGTATGGCAGAGTGCAACGAAGTTTGTACGATGTGAGAATCTTAGTGTACTACATGTAAGGTCACGCTTGGCAGGGTTTTGTGTGGAGCTTGTGTCCGCTCGAAGGTACGGATTGACTGCAAAACGTGCAATATGTGTACAAGGTTCATGTCGTATGACCTACAGACAGCAGACCACCTCCACAATATGACCACGAAAGGATGAGATGGTGGGGCACTCTGGCGGTACTTTACGGTAGTAGTAAGTACAGGTGTTTTGACTTTAGGGCGTTCTGCAAAAGTAATAAAATATGTTAAAATGCTATCTATAATCGTACTAGTGTTGTGTGCCACACCAATGGCGACGATTGATAAGACTATTCACTTAGTACTGCGACTACGATCTCATGTTGACTCCTAGATTCTAGATCCTCAGTGCACGTGTATGCTACCATCGACTCCCTGGCGCGGCCTGGTGTAGATCTACATGCATGCCACGTGTACGTGTGTGCACACTCTACGTGGGCTTATTGAACGACCGATCACTATTCTTCGGCTCCTCGATCTCTCTCGATCGAGTCTCTCACTAGCGATGTTTTGCTCGGTTCCAATGCTAACCCGTGTATGCATTTTCGATAGGAGTGACCATGGTGTTTCTTTGGTGAAAACCACTGGAAGGACTCGGAGAGATTGTGCTGCAGGCGTTAAAAGAACAATCCTCGTCACCGAGTCCTGACCTAGTACGTGGACATGTACCTCTCAAACTTTTTACACCTGTTTTGCACGGATCACATGGACCATCCAGCTGGGCATGGCCGGACCACTGGACCAGCCGGACCGGCTCCGGCGGCCCTGATAATGAACCATATCCTGTGTGGAGCATGTAAACCAAGTGCACTCATGCAGTCACGATCCGAACGCTAGGCATGGCATGTTGCCTGCATGTACGGTGTGAGTGTATTTCTGTTACAAAAAGCTTCGGCTATAAAGAACTACTTCTCGTGCACATTGGTGGTCACTATACACACCGGGAGCCAACTATAGTCACGAAAACGTGGAACTAGCCTTAGAATAAAGCAATTGGTTCTCGGCTCACCTGTGAGATGAAAGGCGTAGAGGACATTTTACTGATCACTTCCCCCTCCTTGGACAAATATGTCCGAACTGTTCTCCCTCGGACTTATGAATAGCTGTATTTCTTCACTAATTCAACTTCATCACGGTGGCACTATATGACTTGCCATACCACCTAAACTGAGAAGCCGAAGTCAAGGTTTCACTGCATATTATTGACTATTGTGGCACGAAACCATGAATTCAGCAACTCTTGTCTTGATGCGATCTTGAATATTTGAATCGCAGTGTTTTCAATCTTCAAATTTTCATTATTTTGAATCAATCATTTTCGAAAGTAATCTATCCATTTCGCGCCGCCATCGCTGTTGCCATGGTAGTTTGGCCGGAGCTACATGATTCACAAGAAAGTGCAGAGTCAGACAGTACACATGTACACAGCTACAGTGGTGAGTGGATCGTACTCACTCGTAGACTCTACACAGGAAAGAAGAGCGTCGCCGAGTACGAGTATCGATCGGCAGAGGCTTGCTTTTTTCTAGAAACCAGCTTGAAAGTTTTTGTTGCCTCTTGAAAAAATTTTTCTGAAGTGATCGAACGGTTACAGAACCCTTGCACTGGTGTGACTCCTTCGGTTTGTCCGATGACGACTTTGGACGACAAGTCCCTTTGGGAGGATGGAGAGGTACATAAGGTTTTCATAGCCAGTTGTTCGAATTTTGAACAGCTTGCTAATTTTCAGGTGAATTGAATTATTTACCCCATTCTCAGGAGCAGATCGACGACGAAGTCCTCCGTATGTCCACAGACGACATCGTTGGGCGTGGTCGGCTCATAGACAATGATATCAAGGTAAACTTCCGTAAATTTGACTATTTGGCAGTGCCCTGTGAGTAACTGGGGCATTTTCCTGATTACTGTTCAATCTTGTGATTGAAAGGAATTAAATTATTTACGAAATACACAACTAACAATTGGAAGGAGGTGGCGGTTCAAAGTGTTGATTGTATATATACAAAGATGAAGGTGCTACAGGTTCGGCTGTGATAAAAAATTAGCTATTCTTATAAACTCCAGTCAGTTTCGCCCAACACAATGATACTAACTTGTGTTATTCATTCAACATCTACCTCCACTGATGAGCACTAAAGGAGTGCAACAGCTGTCTGGAGGGTCCTGAAATATACTTATCTCAACGGGATTGACCTGGGTACAGCGATGCATTGTGGCGGTGATCAAGTGGAATGCGTCAGCCAAGAGTGTAGATTTGTCTGGTGGAGTTGGCCCTACTTGGATAATGCACATACAACGGTTTTGCAGGACCATTGATTCCATATAGAGGTTATGCGAATGATGCTGTGGTGGTGAGTCAGCGGAACCGCTCATGGGTGCTATATACACAGCGCGTGTTGGCGGTTTCCATAGTTTCGTTTGCGGAAGTGCATCGCTAGTGGTGGCCGCGACTTTGCCAACGCACCTCAACTGATGCTGTACTGTTATAACCTCTTTTTCGTGGTTTTACCGGTATTTGCTGTGCAAATTTAGCTTATAGCTGTGTACCCTTGCCCAGAGCACTGAAGGTGTATGAAGTTTCCAAATGGTTGTTGGGTGTACTTTTGTGCAATGTTTCAGGTGATGCGAAGTGAATTGATGAGAATAACTCACGAGCTGCAGTCGCAACAAGATAAGATCAAAGTGAGTGGCAACTTCCGGTCATTGTTGCGAACTGATTTGTCTGTGCTTTGATTCTTCGATTGGAATGAGAATGTTCCATTCTGCTTATCGATTTGGGCATTGCCGTGGTGCTGGTGCTAATAATGTATTTGTCTGTGCATCAGCACGTCAAGTACTTTGCCAAATGAGTAGTCTTGCTGTAAAGATAAATTATTTTGATGCGCAAATCCCAGTGCAATCAGAAGTGTGGCGGTGTGCTGTTGCTCCGTTAGGGTGCATTTAGAGTTTTTAGACGGGCGTGCAAAAGTTGCATAATTGACGTATTTCGGTTGTTTCATGGCTTGCGTGATGTTCCTGCGGCTTCCCGCCGTAGCCTGTTTCCCAGTGCAGCCAATCCTGTAGGGGAAGGTGTGTCAGGCATGAAATGATGAGTCACTGTACTTCCTCAGTGGTGAAAGTTCAGTTTTTTGTAATGGGCATGAAGTAGTTTCGGTTCTGGTATCCACCATGTCTCAATCACTGCTTGTTTTCATCAGCAATGGAGAGTTCTGCGAAGTTTTTCAACCTAGACCTCTGCTTGCAAGCATCTGGCTCATTACTGTCAGGACGGGGAAAGTATAGAGCGAACGGTAGACAGAATGAGCGGGTGGAGGTCAGGTAGAAGAGGATTTTCCGAATACCATGACCCCTTTGCAGTATGTTGTGAAATTTCTGCGAAGCACACACCGGGACGCTGCAGCATGACAACCCGGAGAAAGTGCAATGATGACTTCTATGCTTCTCTGTCCAACTCCCAACCAAATCAAACCCAAAATGGGTTAAAAGGACATGTACATGTCCTGGAATTACTACTTCTTCATCATCAAATCAACGCAAGATCACTGTGTACATTGTACATCCATACACTCCCTAATATTCTGCTATATCCATTGCTTTGTTGAATGCCACCAGGAAAACAACGAGAAGATTAAGGTCAACAAGACTCTTCCTTACTTAGTGTCGCATGTTGTCGAGGTAAGAAGTTAAAAGATACTGAAGTACTCTCTTCTCAGTCTCCGACCAATGGTCTCTGGTTTTGCACGTTGAAGGTGTCAATATTTTTTTTCTATGACCAAAAACACATGCAGCACAACAGCTGAGTGATGTGGATCAGCTCTTCAGAAGGACTGGCGTGACTGCATACATGCATACATGCGTGCATGCACCGCCAAACATACAACACTGGCACATTAGTGGTCGGTGAGGGGCATGCACTCAAACGCGACAACCGCTGAAGCACTCCGGCGTAGCATTCTTGAAATATCAGTCGCGGTAAAAACCTGATTTGTCTCGGTGACTGGCCTTGGCCGAGGGATTTCCCCTTGACTGGTATGCTGGTTCATCCCGGCATTCTTGAAGCGCACGGGCAACATATAAAAAGCCGGTGGGAAAATTGAGTGCATTACGATGCGGGACAGTGAAAATGGAGAGGGGACTGTTCACATCTCCAGCTCTGGGACTAACTTACTGTGTAGCACCATAGTGTTGGACATGTGATAACAGCTTTAGACAGCAGTATTGTCCGTGTGATCGAAGTACGGCTGCAGATTTCTCAGCGGTGTCTGTATGCATGTGTTGATATTGGTGCGTGCCTTTTTTTTCCTGTCCAGCTTCTCGATGTGGATCCAGAAGAGCAGGTTAGTGATCGCCGTACAGCTTTGAAGAGAATCAATGAAAGTGTTTCCATGCAGCGGAGTTTTAGCCTGTGTCTTTCTTATTTATCCAATCTGGCCATTCTTCTACAATGCGTTCTGCAGAGCGCAGGTTTGCTGTTGCGCTGTTAATGCTATTGCTGTGTTGCTGTATGCTGTTCACGGTTAAAAGTACGGATAGCGGCATGCACTCACTGGATCATGGATCTTGATTGCATTTCCTCACTTCGTCTCATAGTCCAGTTTGGTATTCGCACATTGTATTAGTGTACAAGTAGGACACGGAACTGGCGTTTTCGTTTCAAGTTACCATAAAGTGCCGTGGATCCGCCCCTGTCGTTTTCTTCTATCTGTAAAGTGTATTCAGCGTATGCATCGAGATTCAGTTTTCAACAGTTCTGAACGATGCATGTAAACCTTTGTAGATGTGTGTGTGTGTGGGGGGGGGGGGGGGGGGGCAGATGATGCTGTGATGTGATGAAAAGCCAATAGCCATTGTGGACTATCGAGTGAACATAGGGTTTCACTTCTTTTCTTTTCTAGGCCAATAATCAGTATGTCAACTCACCTCTTTGTCCCTCATTCTCTGTCCATGTCTTGTAGGAGGGTGGAAATGTCGATTTGGACTCGCAACGCAAAGGCAAATGTGCTGTAATCAAGTCATCAACCCGTCAGGTATTACTTTCGACCTAGGCTGGTGGGACAATGTGATCATTCATTTATCCATGACTGCATACTTTTCTTTGTAATGAAATGTTTTCTTTGTATTAAATGAAATACACTTTTGTGATTTGAATGAATGTTACCGCCTTACCAGAATTCCCCTGTTGTGCACTACCCCATCCCAAACACGCATACACACTCGCACATAATACCATAATACCCATGAGCACGTAAATCTTCGTTTCTCCTGGCATTTCAGCTACTGAACCTCCCTTATGGAAATCGTAGCAGACGAGATAAAGGACAGTTGCATAGATTAGGGCAAAGCACAAACAGACTAAACTGCAACCCACATTCCTGTCATGTTTGATATCGCACTTGAGCACACATTCCGTCACACATGCACATTCGCTCACTCGTTAGTATGACTGTATTTGTGTGCACTTGTTTTTGTTCTTGTTTTGTTGCAGACATACTTCCTTCCTGTCACTGGTCTTGTCGACCCTTTAAAACTCAAGCCCAATGACTTAGTGGTAAGTCCAACACACGGATGCTCCCCTATCTACTAGGCTATGACGTGTGGAGAATGCATGCTAAACTGGTCTGATTATAACTACTATAAGTGTGCCTCTCTCTTAGTACAATGCTGTTATGTCAGGTTCAGCTGCTTTTATCATATGTAGTGCCAGTTTTTTTTTGCTGCTGTAGTTGTATTGCTGTGCCGCTGGAGACATTACACAGCCGTGAGTAGTGGTGAGTGACGCCGCCATGACTTGCCGTGTGCCTGTGTCTGTGGATGTCTATGCGTGTTTGTTTACTCTCCAGGGTGTAAACAAGGATTCTTACCTCATCCTAGACACGTTACCGCCGGAGTAAGTACTGGTCTAGGAGGCCATTCATTGTGTTTATTTTCCCGCGTAAAGGAGGCTCAGGGAGACTGTAGCGACGGTTATTGGTGTAGGAGACCAGCGTGTAGTGTTCTCTGACTGCAATATTTATTCACGGCTCTCAAAGAGTCAGCACTATGGCTGGTCTGTGAACTTGGCAAACGAATTGGAATCCCCGGTCAGTTGGGACTAAGTTGGGGTGTGAAAACACGTCAGCCGCTCGCTATGCGCCCATTTAAGAGCTGCATAACCCATCTAATGCCTGTCTATCCAGTTGACTCTAAATCTCTCCTCGTTATACCATGAACTGTGATGTATCTCTCCCGATTGGATCTTACTGGGGAAATGGACCAACTGACGACAATTACAACTTTATAGACGAGATGCGTATATTCCAAGTGAATCACCTCCAACCCCACCCCTCTTTAGAACTGTGTGTGAAGACTGCTTGCCCTCCGATAGAAGACGAATGGTGTTGCTTGTGTACTGCATGTGTGCGGTTGCTGCAATGCCGTTATTTACTGCTGGCTGTGTGATATTGGATTTCAGGTATGACTCTCGAGTAAAAGCAATGGAGGTGGATGATAGGCCGACAGAGCAGTACAACGATATTGGTGGTTTGGACAAGCAGATCAATGAGGTAGAACTTTCTCTCTTCTGTCTCGATGTTCATTACTGCAATGCGAGATATGCAGAGCTGTCTGTTTGAAAAGGAAGCGTATGTGCTCTTGTGTTTTCGCTCCCAATGCATATGCCGATAGCCTACCCCCCCCCCCCCCCATTAACTCTGTGTGTAGAAACACTAAGAGCTGTTTGATGCAAGTACTTTGCTTTGCTCTTTGGTTGTGATGTTGCAGCTCGTTGAGGCTATTGTCTTGCCCATGACACACAAAGACCGCTTCGATGACTTAGGCATTCAGCCACCAAAGGGTAAGGTCTTTTGTTTAACCTGTAGATGGATGTTGTGATGGCAGCATTTGACATGCATTTGGACAGTGTAGGTTTAGACTGGTGTCTCGGCGCTGCTAGTTTCCTCCAATGTTTCGCACGCCAATGTCCCTTGAGTAAAGCGAAATGCGTGCTGCACCCGCTCGATTAGAAGTCCCTCTCAATTAGAAGTGCGCGCTACTATTCACGAAGCATTGTGTAAACCAGGTAGTGCTATGTACGGCAAGGTCAAATGCGTACAAAACATCTCGTGCGTGTAGAAGCCATGTACGTGCCACATGCCGGTACATGTCCAGGTCAACACAGTGTGTGTGAACTAACCCGAAGCTGAATTGCTTTGAAGTATGACAGTTTTAGGGATTTGACTGGAATACCGGCATGGATTGAACTAACAAAAGCGGCCCAACTTGAATAGACGCCTCCTCAAAATTGGCATTGAAAAATAGCCCCCCCCCCCCCCCCCCGACTTCTAAATCAAGTGAACAATACGGTAGGTACTCTCCATATGTATATCACTTCTGGGGTCTGCACAGGCCAACGGAGCAAATTACAGCATTATTAGCACTTCTTCTGTAAAAGGTGTTCACCTCCAAAGTGTTACCTTTCAAAATCCCTTCTGTGTATCTTTCTGCTGATGTTTCTGCTGCCCATCCATGCAGGTGTACTGCTGTATGGTCCACCTGGTACTGGAAAGACACTCCTGGCCAGAGCGTGTGCAGCACAGACTAATGTAAGTGTGACCTGACTGTAGCTCGGATCACTCTCAAGTTCAATTGCTGTGCTGGCTGGTTGTGCCCGGTATTGGATATGGCTGACAAGGTGCTCGCGGGTCATTGTGAACTTCACAGTGGAATTTTTCAAGATGTGATTGTATCTCAATCTGTGTGGTCTCTTTAGTTTCTAACTTTCTATACTGCTCTTTTCACTTACGGAGAACACTTTGCGGGGCGTATGGCAACAGTCGTGCGATGGGGCGAAAAATTGAATCAAGTCAACGTGTTTTCGCCACGACAGGCATTGCGCCTTGTTCCCCATGTACGAAGCCAATCGGGCGTTAACGCCCACTCAATATAACGCCCACTACCCGTGTACATGCCCAGGTGCCGGGTGTCAACACTCTTGTCCCGTTTTCTAGCCCACCTCCATGTAAACGCCCATGGGCGAAAGCACAGGTCCATTACACAATGCAGTGCATGCACAGCTCCATGTACATGTATATGCACGGTACTGTAGTATAACTTAGTGTACAGTATACTGTGCTAACCTGATTTGTACATGCAGTAGTACGGCATGATGTGAAAATCGATCTGATTTCACTTATCCGACATAACACCCAGGCCCAAATTGACGCCCATGTTCTGGACCTTCACTAACGTTTCCGCCCAGGGCCTTATTACGGGCGTTTACGGTAGTTGTTGTCTGCATCATCACCGCATTATGCTGTGTCCATGTGATTATGCTGATGTGTATCCGTGTTTCCTGTGTGCTTGTACAGTCAACCTTCTTGAAGCTAGCTGGCCCTCTCCTTGTTCAGGTCAGTTGGCTTGTGCTCTGCCTATCCTAGCTTTCTGGCTCTGGGATGGTGAGATTTACAGGATGGCAATGGCCTGTGTAAACTTGTATTGTTTGGACCAGTGAACTCCTGTATGGTGTGATACCGTTACCATGGTAACTACTTTCAAATTGTCGGCCTCCCAGGGCTAAAACACATTTCTGCTGCATTTAAATTTCGGCCTGTTTTGCTGCTGCCTGTACACTCTGTCACACTGAGCCTTGTAAAACAAATTTTCAGCCAAAAATGCCCAGGCCGAATAAAGCCGAAAATAGATATGCGCCGAATATTTGTTGACTTACAGTAGGCATGTTCTTGTTCTGTCCTGTTATGCGATACAGATGTTCATTGGTGATGGTGCAGCTCTTGTCCGCGATGCATTTGCACTGGCCAAGGAAAAGCAGCCAGCAATTATCTTCATTGATGAGTTGGATGCGGTGGGAACAAAGGTAAGCTTGATACTTCTGCAGCGTGCCTTGAGCTCTGCCACGATTACGTGATGAAAGTATTAGTGTGGTCAATACACAGAGCAGGTTTACGGTGATTTTCAAAATTCCCTGATATGTGCTTGTCGCAGAGCTAGCGAAATTTAAGTCCCCACAGTTTCTCGCTATGCTGTATGTTCGTTCCACATCTCTTTCCATCTGTATGCTTACTAGTGATCAAAATATGTGTTTTTTTCTTGCCTTTCTTCTTTTCCGCGCCTGTATAGAGATTCAACAGTGTTCACACCGGCGATCGCGAGGTAAGAACTTATTTTTGTTGCTTTGTGTTTTCGAGGGTGGCAGGCTCCCTGGAAGTGTTTGCAGGTGTTGTCTTGTTTTTGCTGTGTGCATTTCTAGCCTAGAGCAATGTTAGAGATGTCACTTGCCATGAAGTGATTTGTTCTGCTGTATCTTTGAAGCCTGTATGGTGCACACCCACTGCACAACAGAGAAATACTTTGCTATAGTGAAACCTGTCTAAAACGACCGCTCAAGACACCTTCAAAGCATGGTCTCGGTTACCAGGTGGTCCCCTTATCTGGGGTCATTTTGACTGGACGTAGCCTCCCTTGGTCCTGGTTTCAGTGACCGTTTGGGACAGGTGGTCGTCTTATCCGAGTGGTCGCCTTGACAGGTTTTGCTACACGTGTGCATTATAGGCAAGGGTTCTCCGTGTTGTGTATGCTTGGCATATACAGTGGAACCTCGCTTTCCGACCACCTTTTGTTTTTGTTCGGTCCCGAATTTTCCTCCATAAGCATGCATGTAGGATGGTCACTTTCCCAAATCAGACCACCTCGGAAATTAGACCACTTTGCCTGGTTCGAAAGGCGGTCGGAATTCCGAGGTTCCACTGTTCCTTGCGGAGAGATGCCCTGGGAAGGTGAGAAATTATCGTCGTCAGGCTCAAGTCCATTTTCTTCCCCTGTTTTCTGCAGGTGCAACGTACCATGTTGGAGTTGCTGAACCAACTTGACGGTTTTGAGCCAAACACGAAAATCAAGGTGGGTTGTTGATTTAGTCCAGCAGCTGTCTTCTTGTGTTTGCCATTGCCTTACTTGAAAACTGCAGATCACACTGTTGTGCAAGTGAACTTACTTGCACTGAGCGACACTTGACGGCTACCCAGCTACTACTCTAACCCCATAAACTACTTGTGTTCTACACACTGATTTGGATGCAGCTGTGTGATCGACAATGATTTAGTCTATTTTTTCACTTCCTAGCTTGCAGCAATAGGCAGGAAACGTATCTAGTGAGTTCAGCAGAGTGCTTACAGTATACCACTAGTCTCAGTCCTGTTGTGCCTAGAAGATTATGCTCGGAGAACAGCTTTTCTTATCTACCATCTCTTGCGTCATTTGAATTCCTTTACAGTCAACTTCGCTTATAACGACACTCGGCGGGGCATCAGAAAAGTGTCCTTATTCGCGAAGTGTCGTTATACCCGAAGTCTCATTATGTGTCCCAGTTGGATGGGACTTTGCTCTGGGCATGAAAATTATGTCGTTATTCGCGAATTGTCGTTATATCCGCAGTCGTTACAGTCAAATCTGTCGTAAGCGACCGCCCCTTGGTGCAAGAAAAAGCGGTCGCTTACGGCAGATGGTCTCTTACGGCAGATGTATGGTAAATCCGGCATACCAGGTATATGCTTCCATGTACTCAAATCGACGAGAATAATGTGATTTTTAATATCATTTTATTGGATATTCAACGACGACCATACCCGTATTACGCGTATGCGACACGGCAGTAGATCGACACTGCCTAGCGCCGGGACTTGAGAGCTACAGCACAGCCTCAGTACAGCCTACAGCCAGTACAGGCCAGGCGCCAGTCGATCGCACTTGCAAGACAACGCATTTTCACACTTTGCAGTTGACAGCGCACTGGCAAGTACAGTTTCGCACCTGAACCTGGGTCGCGGTCGCTTACAGCAGATTTGAATGAAGCCACCGTGCATGAAATCGCGGTCGCTGGTCGCGCACAGCAGATGGTCGCTCTGGACAGATCAGTTTGTATGTGAAACCGTCGGTGCAGGGAAAATCGGTCGCTAACGGTAGATGGTCGCCTACAGCAGAGGTCGCTAACGGCAGATTTGACTGTATTAGCGAAGTTGACTGTAGTCATTGCTGTGTCTGCCTTTTTCTTCCAACTGTGTATGCTTGACAGGTTATTGCAGCTACTAATCGTGTTGACATTCTCGATCCAGCTCTACTGCGATCAGGTGAGGATGTGTGTGTGTGATGTACATTAGTACAGTGGTGGCAACCGGAATCCGATCCCGGGAGCGGTGCGCTCGCACTGCACCAACACAGCACGCGATCACACCAGCATCAAGGCATGGGCAACGCATGCATGCATATCTGAACTGCTGTACATGTACTGTACTTGTGCCGCAACTTGCAGTTGCACCTGAAACAATGGGGTCGTTCGCAGTACAACGGTATGCATGTACGCAGTACATGTACTGCCAATAGTACACAGCCATACGCTAAAGCAGAAAATGAATGCCAAAAATTGATCTTCGCTCTTTGCTGCATGCCAGGGGACATATACAAACACTACCCGTTACGATTCCTTTTAGCTCTGCAGCACTCGTACGTAAAAATCCCACGTCTTGCATTTCAGTTGCCAGCAGTGTAGCTGCCAATGACAGTAGCCCCCCCCCCCCCATCTCTCTTTCTCCCTCGCTCAGTGATACCTTCTTCCATGAAACAGGACACATGACGGTAGCCAACGTGGCAACCGGTAGGCAGACTTCCTGCTACAGACATCCTTAGTTTGGCATTATCGATTCCCCTCAACTTTAATCCACATCACATTACTTTGGGCTTTGGGAAAGTTTGAATGTCCTATACGTACACAGTTCACAGCTAAAGTCATGTACATCTAGGAAGTAAATGCAAGTGTGATCAACCTCGAAGCTCTTTGTCAGTCATGAAGGTGTCGGTCTTGCCCTTGACGCACAACCCTCAAGCCTATTCTCTTCAGGCAACGTTTGGCCGCCTTGACCTCAAGAGGCTGCGTACTCTATAGAGGGTATGCAATGACGTCAAATCCGCCTTAGATGGAAGCGTGCCGAGTGGAAAAATGCCCATTCATGGGTTAATTACGTACAGAAGAACTTTGAGTGGCAAACGTACTACAGTACTGCTCAATGAAATCCAGTCGAGTTTCTCAAGTACGCGCCGGGCATTGCGCAGCCCTAGACCTGCCAACACTGGGCTGCAGAAAGGTGCACGGCGCCAACTGGACTCTCGCGACTGGATTTCATTGAGCAGCACTCTGTATGTGACTGGTTTTGCATATCCTCTATATTACATTGTCTATGTGTACGTGTATGTGTGTCCCCCGTACAGGTCGTCTTGATCGGAAAATTGAGTTCCCCCTTCCAACAGAAGAGGCCCGCGCCCGTATTATGCAGATCCATTCAAGAAAGATGAACACAAGGTATGTGTGTCCGTCTGTCTACTTCACCCGCCACCATTTCACTCTCCTACCGAAACCGTCCAACACATTCTTTCAACGGTTGTAGAAAATTCCCAAGAACGCAATCTGATGGATAAAAAGAAAGGACAAAATGTTACGAGTTATGACTAACTGTCCACCAACGTAACCAGATCATATAGTCAGCGAGTGTGACGAAATGGCACCAAACTGACAAGGAGTACTGAGGCTGCGTTTACACGACAACGCTGGGGGTGAAAACGCAACAAAATCCTTTCGGATGCATGGTATATTTTCCACACCTGTGTACTATTATTAATATTATCTTCCTATCATACCCTGGTTTCTCATCATTGTGTTGCTTTTGCCCGAAGAAAACACATGAGAACAAGTTAATAGAGAGGTTAACCTTTTGAGCACGCGTGACGTTCTGACACGTCATGACCACTGCCACTGTGACACGCGTGACGTTCTAGGACGTCACTAGTCAGTGCGGAACTACATCGATCCCGCGTTTCTTCCGTGGCGTGGCGTCGAGCTGTACCGCTGCACAGAGGACTCCTAGTATGTACGCGTACCGTAAAAAAAAGTGCGAGTCGCTCCGCAAGTTTGAACTGGAGTTACATGCGCGTGCATACATTTCCCAATACCAATTTCGCGTATAACTACTTCCTCCGCGTCATCGAAATTGTCGCAGTTTGACTTTTGATATAAAACGGGGTATTTACTCTCCAGCACTCGTACCAGAGGCAAGGAATTGGACATAGGCGATAATCATCAGTATAGGGTGACGGCAAAGGTCTATTTTCTGTTGTTGGAAGCTGGAATCTTTGAACTAGACGCGATTTCTTCGCTGATGTCGCTGCGATGGAAATTTCGACTCGTTGAGATCAGTCAGGCGTTGCAGCCCGCACATTTCTCGTGCTTATGGCCATTCACTCAAGCCTCATCACTATTTTACCTTAGCTGGGGTGAGAATGACTTCGTGGAACAAGTAGCAGCGCTTGGAGAAACATCGAGGGGTCAGCAAACTAAATGCATGCAACAGCGATAAAATTTGTCGCTCTGGCTGAGACACTCAGTACATGATTGTACGTGTACCTGCAACAGCCGTGTAGACTCTACACGTAGTGCTAGTGATGCACGCGCAGATGCCGTACCAGTGATGCTAAAAAAGAGGGCGCGCTGGACGTGACAGTACACTTACCTGGTACCTGCATGAGCTGTGACCACACAGCTAAAATAAATGGGCATGCCACGGCTAAAAAAAGTTCATTTCAAGATCGAGGTCATTCCGCCGATGGTGATCAACCGACCTCGCAACGATCGTGTATTCTTACTTTGTTGGTGGTGAAGTAGAAATCATCCAGAGCTAGCAGACGACAAGCATAGCAGGTCTTGTCCTGTTGAGAAAGTCAAAGCGTTTGAGATGAGGCGCGACCAACTTACAACCTTCCTTGAATTATTTTGGAACGATATTTTTGCGCCCATTGACATCAAAGAGGACGAGGCCTTCATCTCTGCGTGAAATTTCTCAGTCCAACTGTCCTGGAACGTTACTCTAGCCTTCAGACTATCATACTGTGTAATAACTTTTGAATGGTTTAGCTTATGGAGTTGTCAGTAACAAGTGACAAGTCACTAGTCAAACTGCGACAATTTCGATGACGCGGAGGAAGTACCTTTATGAAAACGGTCATAACTTTTGTAATCTTTGTCGTATTCCCAAAACGAAAACAGTTCTGTGCTCAAGATACATAAAAGAATCGTTTGAAATCAAGTTTGGTCACATAGAGTGAATTAAATTGTTTACTGCGTGGCAGAGGTTTTCAATGGGCCCGGGCTCAAAAGGTTAAGATTCACGTAATTACCGACGTGACGCGCAATTTCACGTCAAATTTGGCGTAAAACTCCTTCGACGTGAGCAGCAGGTCACTCGCGTTGATTTTTCGACGTGCGAGCCAAATAACGTGAGCTGGACTTTCGCGTCACGTCAGAAATAACGTGCATCTTAACCTCTCTAATATCGGATGCATGGTTCATTTACACGGTACGCGGAGCAAAACGTAAAGTTGTACACCAAAACGGAAGAAAACCAAAACGCTGGCCAAGGTGGAAGAATTTGAAAACGGAAATGTTCTGCCGGATAAATTTGGGTGTGTAAACAGTCGAAACGGTCTGCTGGCCTCGTTTTCCATCATATTTGTTCTGTTTTCGGCCGTTCACACGGATCCGAAAATCAAAAAATGTTTTACAATTTTTGTCATAAGCTCATTGCGTAATCCTATATTTGGGAGAGATGATGTAATCGCGTGCCGTGGCAAAGTGCCGAGTTGTGGGCAAAAGTCTTTGCCCGCAACCTCTTCCTTGCCAAAGAGTTTGTAAAAATTTATTTTGATTGTTTGGTGCAGTGCTTTTTTTCTTGTTCGTGTCTTTAGTTCAGTTTTGTACATTGTACATGTAGTACCGTATGTGATGGCGGCGACTGGGTTTGATCCCGATGGCAGCAGCGATTCTTCTCTGTCAGGAGACGATGGTGACAAGCCTAGAGTCACTGGTAGCTACTGTTGTGTTCCGTTGTGCAAATCTGAGTATGGAAAACCAAATTCACCAAAGTTCCATGACTTTCCAACCGATCGTGCTTTGAAGTCTGCTTGGCTACATGCCATTCGTCGTGATGAAGGGAAGCACTTCAAGGTGAAGCCGAAAACAACAAAAGTTTGCGGACTACACTTCCAAGAAAGTGACTATCGTGTTGTGAGTGATCGTGCTTTGAAACGAAGACAAAAGGAGGGAAAGGGTGGCAAGCCTCGACCGCGCTTGGTACCTGGAACAGTACCTACCGTCTTCTCGTTCCATAAATCAGCGACACAGGGCCCTTCGCGAAAACCACCAGCTAAGCGGGTGTTCTTGAAGCCGGTTACGTCAGACTCCAGTTCGAGTGACGAAGATGCTCAGGCAATGGTTGTGGATGACGGTGAGGGCAGCCACCAAGACGACTCAGTGGATGAGTTGGAGAGACTCAGGCAACAAGTAGCAGAATTGAACTTGAAAAATGAGAAGCTTGACTTAGAACTGCAGTCCGCTAAGTCGTCTCGGGATGTGAGTGTGGGTCTTTGCTCCAAACTGTGGAAAGAGCAAAAGACATTGGAAGAGGAGCTCAGGCAGACAAAGGAAAGCCTGGTCCTGCACAAATTTGACATCCGTAGGTTCTCTGAGAAGGCCCACATGGTGAAGCTCTACACCGGCTTCACGTCATTTGACATGTTTATGGCATGTTTTCGCTATCTGGAGTCAGACGCTGCTGAGATGCGAGCTTGGAAAGGATCGAGGACGAAGCTTGATGGTGAGCGACTCGGGAGAAAGAATGGTCCATTGCCTAAACTCAGCCTGGAGATGCAATTCTTCTTTGTATGTGTCAGGTTACGGCAAGGACTCGTGTTGGACGATCTGGCAGATCGATTCAAGGTGGACAGTTCAACCCTGTCAAGGTACTTCACGTCATGGGTGAATTTGATGTATGTGACCTTTAAAGAATTGCTGGTGTTCCCGTCTCGTCGGCGTATCGACAAAGACATGCCCAAATCTTTCAAGATATACTACCCCACTACTAGAGTCATTATTGACTGCACTGAGTTTTTCATCGAGCGGCCGTCCCGTCTGTCCACCAACAATGCAGCATTCTCCGCTTACAAAAATCACACCACGTGCAAGTCCCTCATTGGAATCACTCCTAACGGAACTATCAGCTTTGTCTCCACGTTGTATGATGGGTCAATCTCGGACAGGGATATAGTCATTGACTCGGGCTTCATCTCACTGATGGACCATGGTGACTCAGTCATGGCGGACAAGGGCTTCAACATCCAAGACCTCCTTGCTCCATACGGTGTCCGGCTGAATATTCCACCATTTAACACCAAGGCACATCAAATGCTCCCCCAGGATGTTGTCGAAACGAAGTCCATCGCTGCTGTAAGAATTCATGTGGAAAGAGCCATCAACCGCATCAAGCAATATCGTCTTCTTGATGGTGTCATTGACAACAATTTATTTGATATTCTTGAGCAAGCTGTCTTCTCAGCGTGTGTTTTATGCAATTACCAACCCACATTGGTTGCTACCTGATATGGTCTCGATGTCAATACAATTTTCACACCTTCATTCATAAATCGCCCTGTCCTGTTGAACAATGTACATAATTATGTAAATAAGCGAACATTTTTATATTATCACAGACCTAAACGGTGGTGTTCCCAGAAACTGTATTATTTAGGTGCAGCTGTGCGCATTATTCTTTCTATTTGCTGCGTTGAGAGCGTTGTCATTACTCTGTTCTTTCTGGTTTTGGCACCACCCCACACCCTATTATTTGATCATTATTGTATTTCGTCACCTACGGTGTTCTAAGCTGCCATTCCTTTTACTAGTGCTTCCTATTGGCACATCCATTAAACCAGTCCCTTACCCAGCCAGTACTCAGACGCCTACAAATCGTGTTCAGTACTCCACGAGTACAGTGTATTAATTTTGATGATTGAATAGAAAAACAATCACTTTGAAAGAAGATTGTGAGTACTCCACGAGAACTAACAGTGTATTTTATGATTGAATGGAAAACAAGAACTTTGAAAGAAGATTGTGAGTTCTCGAATAGTGCTATGGTGAAGTCTCTCTCTCTCTCCCTCCCTCTCTCTCTCTCTCTCTCTCTCTCTCTCTCTCTCTCTCTCTCTCTCTCTCTCTCTCTCTCTCTCTCTCTCTCTCTGTGTCTCTCTCTGTCTGTCTCTCTCTCTCTCTCTCTCTCTCTCTCTCTCTCTCTCTCTCTCTCTCTCTCTCTCTCTCTCTCTCTGCTATTGGCCTGGTTGTGATGAAGCCGAGACCCAAGGTCGGCAGAGCATCCCAGACCACGCCACCACTCCCCTTATTCATGGCTCACACATGACGGGTTTACGTGGCTCTAGTAAAAAAAAATAGTAACTAGGAAAAGAAAGTTCGAAAGAAGTCCAGTGTTGACATTAAGAACAACATCACATTAGAGCAGCATGAATGGCCGGAAGGTAATGCGAGAAATAAAATTTCTCCAGTCGGGGCAGAAACTCCTTCACAAGGGAATGATCAGCAGCGACAGTTTCCACAAACAGACCATCTGGAAACCATATGACAAAGTCGGCAGCCTCCACATCGCAAACATACATCTGCGTTTGAACTTGGTAGTAGTAGGTGTGCGTTCGCTTGAGGACCAAATTGCCATCAACATCCGTCAAGCATGAAGTCCGCCGTCCAGCAAACTCACGAAGCGACATACCATTCCGCATGGTGAAAGGACACTTGATCTCCACCACACACTGCAGTTTGCCATTGACCATGACTAGACCATCAGGCGAAGCACTAAGCCATGGTTTGGTTGGATGGATGAAAAGGCCACAGGATTCGACGAGAACAGGAACATCCGAAGTCTGTGCACGTGTGATGTAGGCTTTGACAGCATCACATTCATGCGCTAAGCCATACTTCATAGCCGCTGTAGGATGCTGCGGTGGAGCCAATTTCCTGTTGATGATGGTGGAGAAATCATCACTTCGTCGGCTTGCAATACTCTTAACAAGTGTTGCAGTCACTCGTAGTCGCCGCTCGTTGTACCAGGAGAGGTTAGTTGACTGTCCCTTCGTCTCCCTTGCAATTTCAGCTGCACGGGCACTGGACACAGCAACACGGTGTTCATAAAAATCAGCAGGCGATTCCGGATTAATAGCGGCCATAGGCACAGGCGCCTCACAAGAAGACTCTGGTACACCCATCTGGCGCTCACTGTCTGACTCACTGCTGCTGCCCTCGTCACATTCCGAGTCATCTGGGCTTGGGACAGGAGAAGGTTCAAGTAGCTTTAGCCAACATGAGCTGCCATACATCTTGATCTTTCCCGATTTGTCCTCTGCCAGAGCCTTCTCCTCAACGCGCTCCAAGTCAGTACGCAGCCTGGCAACTGCCTCAGAATTGACGAATCTGCGGTTTGTAGGCCTGGGGTCATAAAACGGGATGCTCTTTTTCTTTTCTACAAGATCTCTGCCTGAATACGTGTCCTTCTTCAGGTGGACTTCCGTTACTCTGCTGGCCTTGACGCGTGCTGCTCGGGGCTGATTCCATTGCATCAGTTTCTCAGTACACGTTTTGGCTGCCTCTTCACGCAGGCCAAGCCTTACAAAGTCCTCCAATGCATATAATAGGCCCGCTATGTGGTTACAGGAACCAGCTAACCCAGCAGGGCATGTGCAATAGGCAGTGAGAACCGTAGGGACATGTGACACACCGCCAGCAGTGCAGCATATCCGAACGTTGTATTTCCTGTCCTTCCGGAAAGAGGGCAGGACGACGCAGCGGACAAAACAGAATTGTGGAAAGACAGGCAGTGAATTGAACTGGATCTTCTGGATGTGGCCTGACTTGAAGAACCTGAACCCTTTGTCTATTCCACGGAACGAGCTGTACTTGGCTGTGCCGGAATCACCAACCTCCTCGTCATCCTCCCCATCATCATCCTCCCATTCGTCATCAACTTCAGCAGCGAGAGCACTATCAGCAGCGGCAGCACTATCAGCAGCGACAGCACTATCAGCAGCGACAGCACTATCAGCAGCGACAGCACTATCAGCAGCGACAGCACTATCAGCAGAATCACTGGCATGTGAAGTAGCAGGAATAGCAGCAGTGTCGTCACCTCTTGCAATCTCGTGCCCACTGATGACTTCCTGGACCGTCCGCTCTGTGAAATGCACATACAGGGTTCGGAATGAGAATGATGGCAGCTGACTTAGATTATCCTTCCATCCCTCGGTGGGGAACGGGGGGACACTTCTTAGATTGGGGTGCACGACACCTGCGGACTTCAGACGCTCAGCTTTAGCAGCAATGTTTACACCACCATCAGGGTCAACAATTTCATGTGCCAAGCCACCACGTATGTAGTCTTCAACTCTGTTGAACACAAAGAACAACACCCAAACAACGAAATAAATTTCAAAATTGAAAACATTGACAACCGAAAAAGGAAAATAATGATTATGGGAGGATATGTGGGATAATTCCTAACTAAAGGCGAAGTGACGTAAAACCCAAACAATGTTACTTCCCGGTTCTACTCACTACATGTATTACCATACCGTCTTGCAATTAGGTCTAAAGAAAAATCCCAGCACAAATCTCACCTTTTCAGCAATTCAGGTTTCGTTCCCGATCGACGAGCATTACGGCAAGCTAGCCAACGCTTCAATTCTTTCACGGAAAGTTGACTTGCCAAGCGTTGAGAGCCATCAGGATTCCGACCTAACGATGCTCCAGGCACATCGTCCTCGGAGAGCTTCACAGCCTGCGCCTCCATCTCCGATAAACAAAATACTACGAAAAGTGTTCCTTGCAGAAGCAGCTGACACGGCCTAGATTTGCTTCTGCCCACAACTCGGCACTTTCCAGGCTGGTCGCGTACGCATGACATCATTACGCAATGGGCCTATGTGACGAGTGTTGCCGTGTGGCCTGTTTTCAGCTATTCCTTGAGTGTGATTGGTGCTTCCACGACAACACTTGGCACATGACGAACTTTGGCGCATCCTTTGCTCCCGTGTAGACGCGCGAAAACGATTCAAACCGAGACCACCTCGGATCAGCTTTAATCGTGTAAATGCACGAAAACGGAAAAAGAAATGCGGGACTGAAAACGGAAAACTGGCCGTGCGTTGTCGTGTAAACGCAGCCTAAGACCTTCAACGACCTGACACCTAGCTCCAACACTTCTCCGAGGCGCAAACCAACAACCTTCCAGCTTGGAAGGCTCAGGTTCGGAAAGGTCCAAGAAGGGAAGGAAAGCGCAACGAAGAAGAGCACGAGCTACCTCCCACGGCAACAAGGAATGCCGAAATTTACTGGGTGATGACGAAACTAGTAAGGCTATTGGACATACCGGTCTTACTACAACTCGACGACGCAAAGCAACAGACCACCCAATTTGGTTTCAGTTTGTCACAATTTGTTTCGCTTAGGGGTCGTCGCAAAAGTTTTTTGTCGTCCCTGAAACGAACATGATTCATTTGGGGGGGAGGGGGTGCGAGCCAAAATCGCAAGTCGACCGACACTGTACATATGACATGTGCATGCATGCGATTTTCGTCGCCCAGCATAGCAAGCTGTGTTCGTTTCAGAGGGAGGGGAGGGGGTCCGAGTACGAAATGAACGATGTTCGTTTCAGGGACGACAGAAAACTTTTGCGACGACCCCTTAGCTTCCCCTTTCTATGTTTATTACATTAACTTTAGCCTCCCAACAGAAATGTCATCAACCTATTAAATCGCATGACAGGAAATAATGTAATGCCGGGAAAATCTATTGTTGGTGTTCCGAAGGTCTTCCGATGAGACACACTGATTGTGACGTCGTGATGCATTCCATATATCGCATGTTACATACTTATAAGTTTACTACTCGCTGTGCCTTGCACGCCGCGACACACTTGGACTATGCATGCCTTTTCCGTGTGATGCGTCGTATGCACCACATGGCTGCTGTTATTTGAATTTATTTGAATCTCTCGTGCCTATCTTTCTGGATACAACTTATTGTTTTCCGTTCTGTTCTGGCGGTTTTTGGTCTTGCCAAGACGTTGTCAGCCAGTCAGTTTTGTTTGTCAGAAAAGTAATGAAAGTTGATGAACACCTCTGAAACTCACTGTCCCAGTCGGCCTCATTTCCAGTTGGTGTGGGTTAATAGGAATTGCATGCTGTCTATTACTGTATGACTCCGTGGCGCAACGGTAGCGCGTCTGACTCCAGATCAGAAGGTTGCGTGTTCGAATCACGTCGGGGTCATCTTAACTTTTTTTCTTCTGAAATGCACATCCCACTTCATACAATAAACAGCTGATCTTGTCTTTTTTAATGATATAAACACAAGTTCGTAACGCTCTCAAATTCCCAAGAGTAACTGTGTGAGTTTGCTGTCTGCTGGCCAGTGAAATCCGACCAGTTGCTCGAGAATCATGCTCCGGGTTGTATTGCGGCTCACTCAGAACTGCACATCCTTGGGGAATGTATTGCACTTTTCAGTACCTACAAGACCTTTGGTATAATTTCCTAGGTCTTTCATTTTGATGATTTTGCGAGTTTTCTTCATACATGTTCTGCTTATTTTGGCCAGGTTTTAGAAATTCTATACTTTGTTTCTGATGGAGAAATCATTTTGCATTTGTGTTCTTTTGTTGTTTCGATTGCAGTCATGATGTGAACTTTGAGGAGTTATCTCGCAGCATGGATGACTTCAATGGTGCCCAGTGCAAGGCAGTGTGTATTGAAGCGGTAAGGAGCCGTGTACTGCTGTGTCCTTTTCCTTCATGTGCTTCCTGTTGACATGCTATGGCCATTGACCGCCATCATCATGTACCTGTTGGCTAGGCACATGCATGTAGTGTGTATAGTGTTTCAGCGCTCGTACCACACGTTGTGCGATCCCTCCCCCCCCCCCCCCCCCCCCCCCTGAACAGCACTGCATGCATTACGAGCAGCTAGTACTGCTGACAGGACATTCCTCAGCATGACCTATCCATGTACTGGTATGGTGGGTGCAAGCCGTACCTGTTGTTATACATGTACAGTGAAACTTCAGTATACTGCACCTCCAGGGGACATACAGATTTGTACTCTATAGCCGAGGTACTGTACAGTCAACTTTGCGTATAACGACCCCCGGCGGGGCATCAGAAAAGTGTCCTTATTGGCGATGTGTCCTTATACCCGAAGTCCCATTATGTTTATTCCAGTTAGATTGGACTTTGCTCTGGGCATGGAAATTCTGTCGTTATTCGCGAATTGTCGTTATATCCGCAGTCTTTATTAGCGAAGTTTACTGTATATCCAAGGTCGAATGACTGGCAAAGGATACGCAGGGTGCTCTTAAAAGTGTGTTATAGCCAGCAGGGTATTTTAACTGAACTGTCTCCCTGTACTGTGTATGCATTGGCAATCTTCTTCTTTTTTCATTGATTTCTTCTTTTTTTCACTAGTTATTAGGGAATGGAAAAGGTGATTTATTCTTTCTGTGGTTTTTGACTTTTTAGTGCCTTGAGTGGGTGCCTGCGGTTTTGCGGAAACCATTCAAACTTGTTTGGCTTGCTGTGACTTCTTCCTGCGTGTTATTCAGGGCATGATCGCTTTACGACGAGGTGCCGCCGAGTTGACACATGAAGACTACATGGACGGTGAGTTACAAAGTCGTGTTGGGGGGGGGGGGGGGGGGGGCATGCCATCCATAAAACAGATATAATTTTGTTGATGTGCAAGAATCAAAGATGCTTTCTCAGTCTGTTTTTTGTGGTGTGTGTGCCCACGTGTGTACATGTGTCTGTCTTGTTTCTAGCTATCCTTGAGGTACAAGCCAAGAAGAAGACCAACCTGGATTATTTTGCATGAGTCCATATGCTGTGTATACTACTTGCTGCTGTATAATACTAATATTTTTGAAGAAAAAAACATCGTCAACACCCATTTTCACTCACTGCCTACGCTAACTCATGTCTCATTTTAGGGACGCAGCTTGCCGCTCTCCTTTCATGTTCTCTGTTTTATATACTAGTACCAAGTATGTATTCTTTTACCACATTTCTTTCGTTTAAATTGCCAACCCTGCGCCAGGCTCAGGAGCTATGCATGATAGGTTTGCAAATCCATGCATTCTCTCTCTCTCTCTCTCTCTCTCTCTCTCTCTCTCTCTCTCTCTCTCTCTCTCTCTCTCTCTCCCTCTCTCTCTCTCTCTCTCTCTCTCTCTCTCTCTCTCTCTCTCTCTCTCTCTCTCTCTCTCTCTCTCTTCTCTCTCTCTCTCTCTCTCTCTCTCTCTCTCTCTCTCTCTCTCTCTCTCTCTCTCTCTCTCTCTCTCTCTCCCTCGCTCTGTTTTCAAATGTACAGTGTGTGCTGCTATGTTGCTATGTTTTCACCAGTTTGCATATTGTGTGCTTGCATGTTCAGATATCTATTTCCACCCGAGTGGACAAAGTTGTATTGTGTTGGTGACTAGCTGAGCCAGCAACTGTTGATTGTTATCCAATGTGCGTAATACCACTCCGGTGTCTGCATGCGGCGTATTGCTATGTGCGCTGCTGAGGAAGTGATTGTGTCATTGGTGTTTGCGAGAGAGAGAGTGATCCCCTCTCGCTCATACCTGTGTTCTCTTCGTGCCCCTGGTTGCATAAGCATTTCCCCGAATGCCGGCTCATGAGCTCAGTTCTTCATATCAATACGTCGATTTCTGGTACTTCAGAAGTAGAATATCTCGTTCGGAAAGCTAGAACCTAGAGTGCCAAAGAAAGGCTGAGCTCAAGACCTTTCCAACATTGAATTGTGTGTGGGGATTGGACGATCTTTGACAGAGTAGTGGTAACAAATGTTTGTACAAGTACTGGTCTAGGCTCCATTCACCGCGATTAGATACACGTTGCAAGCTGAAGTACGTGAAAACATGTCATCAGAGGATCAGGCACGGCCAGGAATAAAGAGCAAAGACACAGAGGATTGTACCATTTTTAGGACAAGATTTCAACATAGTACATGATTGTACAACAATAATAGGGGATCAGGCATTCACTTGATTCCAGGGTCCTCCATGCACCATGTTCACTTTTCAGGGAAATACTTTCCTAAAACTTAAAAGCCGCCCCCCCCCCCCCCCCGAATAAAATAGGGACTATTTTTTAGGTACAGTTGTCATCCGCATGCAAAAGGTAACGCCGCGCGCGTCGACGTACGTCCGCGATCCGTTCACGTCGCGTTCTTCTGTTTATTTATTATTTTAATTTTATTTGAACAGTCAGAAAAGATATCAACGTCCAGAGCTAGCTAGCAGCCAGCCGTCAGCGTCGTTTCGAAGTTTCCGTTTCAATAGGCAATTATTTGATACTCTACGTTCTAGCTTTCTGCACGAGATATTTTGCATTGGTCTTGGTGATTTGGAAGCCTCTTGCGAAATCATGTGCACTGTTCGGCCCTTCGTGTGTTCAGATTTGCTCAAATTTAGCAGTATGTAAGTGAAATTGTATTGCTTTTATGATGGTAATTTCCTCTTGACTTGGATTTTCACCTATCGATTACTCTTGCTAGCTATGTCTACACGATACCAACAGTGCACAGAAATGAAAGGGTAACTCAGAACATAGCAATTTTGAATGCAATAGAACCTCAGAGAACAATCCTTACCAGTGGCAACTGCATACTCGCATTGGAAATTGATTCAAAATTCACAAAAGAGCCTTTTCTGTGCATTTTTGGATGCAAAGTTGCAAAAGAGTAGCACGCAACTTCACCCTAATTACAACTCACATCATTCACTGGTTTGAGGGAAAGGCGCAAACGGGAAAAGTCTGAAGAAAAAATTGACTATCACCACCAGATCGCGAACCAGGGACCCTCGCTTGTAGAGAGACTGTTCAACATTTTCTTCAGACTTCGTAACTCACACTTCAGTTATACATCGACTATCCTTTTCACACATTCAGCATCCTCCTATCCAGATAGGTATGGCAAAACTGTTAACGGAAAAGATAGGTACGATACTTCTAATGAAACTGTCATTTGTCACAGTTTTCAATTGGTCCGGTCGTACCATAGTCTTTCATACTTTGTGTATAATATGGCGGGGACGTCTGCCCTCCTCAGCGTTAGTAGCTACAAAGTTGGTCCGGTGTTAACCTGACCAACCGGACCGGTTCTGGCGGGCCAGAAGGGTCACGCGGGTCCCAAAGAGAGAGAGAGAGAGAGAGAGAGAGAGAGAGAGAGAGAGAGAGAGAGAGAGAGAGAGAGAGAGAGAGAGAGAAGGAGCACACCGCCTGATGGCACCTCAGATGCGGAATCAGATGGGATTGGTGCAAACAGGTGCACACGTGTGGGAAGTCATTACGCTTTGCCGCTGTGGGATGACGGCAGGTCCTGGAACAATGGCCTTGAGTAGATGGAAAGCAGTGGCTGCACAGTTTGCAGTGTGCATTGCAGCACTCACGGCTAGTGGCGGCAGTAGATCGGGCAGCGATGGCGGCAGTAGATCGGGCAGCGGATGACGACCCGTACGCAGAGGCAGGACTGCAATGGGCGATTAAGCCTCCGCGACTTGGGAACCACCGATCGCAATGAGTACACCGACAGGTACCTTTCTACTGTGGGATTGGTTTCCCTCGCTCAGGTGCACGTTTGTGCCCCACGGGATCACCGTGGCGTGGACAATAACGAGAGCATACGTTACATAGTTACGGCATGCACCGGTGCCGGGGTTTCAGAGATGTCAGATGTGTATGCCAGTCAGGGCGAGAGTCACACACTACTCTATACTGCATTGTGATCCGCCTCGCGGTCGGTGACGGCACAATCCTTCCACCGCGATCGCGGGCAATGTGCTCAGCGACGAGAGCGCAGGGTGCCACGCAGTATCTGCTTTGGCCGTTGGATGTCGTCCATGCGGGCAACATGACCCAACCACTCAAGTTGACTGTGTCCCAGTTTGGTTGTGCTTGTCCCCGAGTCGCACCACCACTCAAGAAGCTGCGTATTTGAGATGCCCTCTTGTACCTAAATTATTGTGTACGCTTGCCTTGGCAAACACAGGCTATCGTGCAAAATTGATTGCACTGTATGAATGTGGATATGGGTATGTGCTGTTACGAGTATGATGGGGAATTTTGTTTGTTGTGTTTTGTTCTGCAGCAATCTGGATCCATTGACAGAAACTGTATCCTTGCAAGTCTTTGTCTGCATGTTTGAAAGACCCCAGCATGTGTCATCCCTTGTCAGCCTACTGCATTGTATACTAGTATATGCAGTACATGATTGTACACCATCATGTATGTGTCTGTGCATGGTGTATATGCTGCATTTTTGACAGCATATGCCAGCTAAATCGGCCCTGCCACGACTGCACAAGGTCAACTTTTAACGGGCAGATTACAGTTGAAACCCTCATGGTTTAACGTTGCAATCGCTTGTGTCGTCTCCACGTGTGCTACGACTCCCTGATCTATATTGTATTGGTTACAGAAGGAGAATATAGCAATCACTCACATGCACTGGCTCTGGTAGACGAAATAAGGCTGTTTAGCATATCATTTCAGATCATTCTACCCACATTTCTGTATACAGTGTACTTGTATGTTTCAAGAGGATGGCGGCTAAGTGTATATGAGTTGGCACTGTCAGTATTTTGTCCTTGACTTACTCGTCACCTCTGACAGTATGGCCTGTCTTTTTACATGCATTATCTAACACACTGGCCTGAGTACTTTCAAGTGTCGGAAGCGCCTGATGGCTCCATCATGGGATACAGTAAGTAGTTAGTAGAAAGATGGATGCTGTACACCTCTAGTACTCCAGCACTAGTGGAAAGGTGGATGCTGTGCACCTCCGGTACTCCAGCACTAGTGGAAAGGTGGATGCTGTGCACCTCTAGTACTCCAGCACTTGCAGGAAGTAACCAGGTGTTCTGGTTTGGGCCATGGGTACCGTGGACTCTCTCTCTCTCTCTCTCTCTCTCTCTCTCTCTCTCTCTCTCTCTCTCTCTCTCTCTCTCTCTCTCTCTCTCTCTCTCTCTCTTATCCAGACTCCTGGACCCGGACGCCTCCCTCTACTTGCAACTGGGCACCTTGGTAGTACATACTTGTATCCGTAGTCAAGTCATGTTTCTTCCTTTTGCTGGCAGTCAACTAAAGTACAGTCTTGCCAGGTGAAACGCGGCCCCTAAATCTCACCTGCTGAAGTACTAGTATACAGACTGTACATGCCTCAATCATGCACACACTGCATGAGCACTCTCATAATCATCATGAAACAGCACCAACGGAATGTATGGGACCGGACTGTTTCCGGTTGAAATGATGTGCCATATCTACCTTGGCCAGGCGCGTACTCGGCGATGGGCACGGGGGGCACGTGCACCCCCCGAAAATTTTCAATCTGGGTAATTGCAATTGTAATGTATGCAAATATGCTCTAAAATTCAAGAAAGGTTGCAAACAAATTGCAGAAAATTGCCGGGGGGGGGCTCCCCTCGGCTCCCGTGCACCCCCCTAGTTGGGGGGCCGAGCACGCCCCTGTTGGCTGTAGCGTATTTCTGAGTCATAGGCAAGACGGAGAAACGGCCACCCTTCGGTCCCCGGATAGAAGAAGTTCTGCTGTACCAGACCAGTACTGGCAAGACCTGTGGGACTGTGGGACACGGGTATTTACTTACACTTTCTCTTGAAAATGCCCCCCTAACTTATGCCAGGATGCCATTGATCCAACAGCACGTCACTAAAACATGTGCAATGCACAATGTGTAGTTGTATCTGGCTTGCAAACTCTGCTTGCTTCTAAGTTACTGAGTGCGTTTTGATTTGCCTCTCCCTGGGGCTGCTGTTCATTCTTCTTGTGTAATGATGTGGCTGTGTTTGTCTAGTCATGGGCAAGGCCGAAGGAAAAGTGCAGAAGGAGATGTGGCATGGCCACGTGACAGCAGTTACTGTTGGCAACGAATACAGACGCCTGGGCCTTGCCTCTCTGCTTATGAAGGAGCTGGAAGAGATCTCAGAAAGGTCTGTACTCACCCAATCAAAACTACTTGTAGTCTTTTTCTCAGGGAATATTTTGGCATATCATAAGGCTGTATTGAAAGTGAGGCTGTGCATGGCTCAACACCTCAATGGCATTGGATGCATATGCCACTTCATTTTCGTGAAAACATGCCAACGTTGGGAGTCTAGCAGCCTCTGATGATCTTAATCTCATTGAGCCTGGTAGTGCTACCAGTTTTTGTACTGATACCTTATATGTACATGTAGATAATAGTGAAGTCTCACTCACTTACCTGTGCGTGCTCTTGCATGTATGTGTGTGTGAGTGTGTGTGTGTGTGTGCGCATGTGTGTGTGTGTGTGTGTGTGTGTGTGCGTGTGCACGTACGCACGCGCATGCATGCATGCATCTGTCTGTGTGGCATGCGTATGCCCTGTTTCAACCTGCAGAAAGAACACTTTCTTTGTTGACCTCTTTGTACGTGTCAGCAATAAAGTAGCCGTGGGCATGTACAAGCAGCTAGGCTATCACATCTATCGAACAGTGTTGGGCTACTATTCTGGTGATCCGGACGAAGATGCATATGGTTAGCTGATTCTCTGAGTGTACATGTTTGTGAACAGTAGGGACTCCAGTGTCGTAGACTCGTAGCACACACCACAAGGCCATAATGGTGCACAGAACGATGTGCATGTCGGAGTTGAAAGTTCTACGACTGCAATATTTCACCCCCGTCGACTCCCAATGCGCATACATACATCGGCCCTGCACCAACAGCGATTGGTGGAACGGGCAGCCCAGCAGTGAAACCCCGATCATATCACGTTCGTCTCTCGCTCGTGTTATATCCCTAGAAACCTCCACTCCGTGGTGATTAGTCAACTGACTTATTGTGTCACGCTGTTGCATGGCTAGTCATACCAATGTTGACATTCTGTGATGTGATGGGTAAAATTACTAAATAAGTGTAGTGGACCGGTTCATTGTTACTTTGGAGTTCTAGTTTGAGTATGAAGCTTTGGGGTTCTTTGTGTGTCCGTTTTGTAATCATGAGTAGGCGGTATTAGTCTTTCTCACTCTCTCACTCTCTCTCTCTCTCTCTCTCTCTCTCTCTCTCTCTCTCTCTCTCTCACTCCTCCTTTCCTAGATATGCGCAAGCCAATGTCTCGTGACAAAGCCAAGAAGTCCATCAAGACGGATCGTCCCGTCATAGAACCACACGAGCTGGAGCACACATAGCACAAGCTATACTCCTGATCCTGGTGTTTAGTGTACATAACATTATAGTTACTTGAGTGCTGCTGCTGTTCGTCATTACGTAGCCGGTGTGCCACTCACAAGCTGACTGCTTTCACTTTGGAATCTTGACATCTTTTTGTATAATAATGTTGTCTCTTCGCGTCTTCTTGCCTTGTTTGTCTTGTGTATAAAAAAAACATTATTGTAGCTACTGCCAGTGCCAGCCGTGCGTGTGCTAGTTGTGCACTGTGTAGGAATGATACACCAGTGTGCTGCTACAGCGTGGCAAGACTATACATAGCCTCTAGCTCTAGCCCATTAGAACGTGGCTGATGTGAACAGCATTCGCGGTGGCAGAGCAATGTGGCACTACACTTCCTTTATGATTTTGTAAAGTCTGGGACGCAAGCGGTAATAAACGCCTCTTTTTAAATAGTTTCTTGGCGTATTTCATCGCTGGTGCACAGAGTTTAAATTGTTAATATTATTATTATATTAGCACACCCAGCTCTCGTGTTGTAGCTGTTGCAGCCTTGCTTGTGCCGGGGTGATTCTGTATCAACTCGCTGGTTTCCCATCTCTTTTCGGGGGCTTGTCATTGTGTACAGACCAACTCAGACAGGGACTTTCTCTGTGAAAATAATATTATAATCTATTCAGGAAATGAGACATTGCGCAAATGTTCTTCTTCACCCCCCACTGCACGAATCGCATAATTCTCACAAGTAATTAGAGCATTAAGTGTTGGCTGCTGGGCTACTGCTCACTATGGGACGAGATGCAAAATATAACAGTAACACAAGGAGCATAAGTTTCCATCTACAGTCCGGTATTCAATGGCTTCCTGCCAGAAGTCAACTTCATCATTCTTTCCGTCGTAGCTGTACTTCAGTCGACGTGTTTGTAGTGGTATACATCAACATGCTGAAGATGTGTCGATGGCTGGCTATAGCGGACGCTGAGCATGGCCAGCCATGCTGATGCCAATTTGCAAATGATCAACACAGCCCTAGGCTTGCAGTTGACGAGTGTTGCAGAGGCCTGGATGGCCATTTGGTAACACGGACATTGGAGTACCGAGGGGCAATACCAGTATGCATCTACGCACACTCATGAAGATCATCACTTTTACGTTGGCATTTGCTCAAAAGCTCGTGGCCAAATCCAATCGACACATTTGTGGCGGTGGTGGTAGCAAACTATGCCACAAAGGAGCGTGTCAACCTTCACCCGCTTGCACAGGTAACGTGATGGTAAGCGTCTTAGTTTGGCAATGAAACTGAGCGCCGCCCTGCTCGGCATACACCCAATGTGGAAGATCAAGATCGAGTCTGTAGCCACCCGGTCGTACCAGCAATTCAATGCGGTCTTCGCCGATATCTAGCTGCAACCACTTGACGGACTTCATGTGCTGCGATTCAACCTCAACAACCACAAACTCCGGCTGCCCTTCCTGCGGCTCCACAGTAATGCACTTCTTGCATGGAAGTTGGGTGTACGCGTTCCCTGCTTGCTCATAACGCTCTATGGATGATGTCTGTGAATCGAGCTCCACCACAAATGGTTTCTTTGTCATACGCATAAGTTGAGGTTCAAGGCGGCCAAGGTGTTGCTTATTCTTCAAGAGTACACACGACTCATAACTTAGCTTGACATCATGCTTCTGCTCAATGATGGTTAGAATGGCAGTAAGCAGAAATTGCATGAATGCTTCTTGTTGCCGCACTTTAGTACAGAAGCTTGGGTGAATAACAAGGTCATATGCAGTACATGCTGCGCCAGATTTGTCGACCTCTGCATGCGGAGGCCCTGCACTGAGCGGAACACGGAATTTTCCCACATCTTCCGTCTCCAGAATTCTCTGCAATTCAGTTTCGCTGATATCGGGTGGTTCGTTTATTTTATCTGACGTACAAATGTTCAGGAACACTTTCTGACCGTCTTCTGATCGAGTTTTTACGCAGAATCCAGGCTTTGGTGTCTCCAGAATAGAATCTACGACAGGTTTCATTGGCTCTGTTCCGGGGAGAACAAGATCCTTCTCCTCTGTAGCATTGTCGTGTACAATATTGAATAAACTTGTATCAGCCATCACACAAACAGATTTTGAAGACAGTCAAAACGATCGCAGTTGTCACCAACACGAACAGGGGGGATGACTTGTGCTACAAAGGCCGCGACGCGGTATAGAGGCAGTCCAGTGGATACAAGCGTGGAAAAGGGTTCGACAAGTAGCTTACAGTTACACACTTCCAACACCAGTGTTGTGATTATTTGAACAAGAGGTAAGCTTTTTTTGTTGTTGAAACAAAATGACCTTCACTTGAGTCTCGCGAGGTACGTCGAGATCGAGAGAGCGAACCCACGCTTCAAAAATGCGTTTACACTTTTCCATAGCAACCATGCATCGGCCAGCACTCGTTCCCAGTCATCAGTCTAGTCATGTGCTCGCCGAGCTCGTTTTCTCAGAAAATATTAATAATTATTTTTAGTATACATACAGTGTATAATGTTGATTGATTGATTGATTTTGATTGTGCACTGTATCTGAAATCTGTCGTCACACAAGGAAACAAGTCGCAACACCGGAGAGCGAATATGGCTGGGCCGGTGCTGCTCAAATCCGATGACCGGTGGTATGACCGTGTACTGTATGTGTATGAACAGTGAACACCCATTTGTGCACTCGCATGAGGACAGGGCACAAGCGCGAGCGTGCACATCAGGGAGTCGTATTTTACGACTGCCTGGTACATATTATATAATTATAAATTATGGTGCACATCATCACAGCCTGATGAGAGGTTTCCAATCCTCTGTGGCTCCAGATCAGAGTCACCAGTTACGCACAATGCGTAGACTGCCAAAGTCACAGTTTCCACTCAGCGGCGTGCTATCACGCCAAGCCATGAAGTGTGTCACAAGTCAAATGCAGCCATGGTTCGACCAGAGGAACAAACACAGACCGCAGCTCCTTCCACATTGTCGGCAGTTGCCGGGTAGGCGTTTCAAGAGACCACGAGACCTATCTCGCCATAGTTCCCACTGCTTCGAACCTACTCCCCCCCCCCCCCCCCCACGAAGCCCGCATACAGTATACAGGAGCCAGATCATGGCAGCATGTCCAAAATCCAAGGTGTGCGCGCGCGTGTACAAGCACAGGCTAACCAAGCACACGTATACACAAACGCACACGCTAAACTCAGCAAAGAGTTACACCGATGGCGCACAAGGAGACAGGAGCAAACATAAGAATTTCAGCATGAGCCACAGGACTAGGGTGATCCCAAGAAACAGTACTGTGGTCAAGTTCTCGTACAAAACTACCTGTACACTCTGGAGTAGTCATATCTATAATATAAAAAAAACGACTGCATATACAAGATATGGCGGGTATCATCAACACATACCGGTAGAACACAGAGGGTGGTGGTCAAGGGAGAAAGTGGTACTAGAGAAGGAGGTCAACAAGTGGACATCAGCACATGTCGAAAAACGATGGAGCTACAAAAGCGAGGGAAATTCTTCAAAAAAATTCAGCGTGCATGCACCAGGCAGCTGCATGCAAAATACTATCACCAATTTCCTTCCGCATAACGAGAGCCATAGAGATATGTTAAAAGAAAGAAGAAGGAATTGTCTGCCCACCAGAATGACTGTCATTAGAATATTTAAAAAGAAAAGAAAGAAAGAAAGAAGAGAAAATACAACGAAGACAAGGCAATTGCCCTCCGTACTTCATAAATAAGCCTGGAACAAATCAAACACAAGCTGAGCAACGGCTCCACCATGAGTCTACTAGTAAGGTAACAACAGATCGCTTTCACTCAAGAGTGCACTTAGGTCCGTGTACAAGTGATGCTCTGCTAGCTTCACTCCAAGGACTTGCTACATGGGGAAAAAGTACACCGTGCAGCAGTCGGCTTCGCATTAGCATTGGAACATAGCAGCCACCATACGTTTCCGATGTCAGAGACAACAGCCATTGCCTCGAGGCCTCTCTGGAAGGTGACAGCACCACAAGCCATGTTTTCAACCCAGCATCGAAAACAACGGAGAGGCGTACGCCATGGGGCGAACATTAGGATGCGGCACTGCCTCGTACGTCGTGAACTCTGGCTTGAGACCGGGTGCCTGTAGTGTAATGAATGCGCCCTTGTTGCCCATCTGGTCACAATAGTTTGGTGCAGAGAAGACAGTAATGCAGCGACCGCCATGGGATACCTCGTAGCCCTCTGGCTTCACTTCATGTGAGCGGATGACCAGATCCAAGTTGTTGTACTCCAGGAACTTTTCGGTGACGTCCGGGCCAAACTGTGTGCCTGCTCCTCTCTTGCTTGACGACCGACCAGACTCATCCTGGGGATCAGACCACAGTAGTTCGCACATTGCTCCATCCTGTGGGGGCTGCCTGTTGCGATCCAGCTGCCTGAGCTTGTTCAGGTCGACACCATCTTCACTGAACAGGCCACCGTGCGTGACAAATATCTTGTGACTGATGACATGCGACAGTGGGAGCCAGTTGAACACTTCCGTAAACAGCTCATCCATCGTTGAGTTGTACTTGGATCGGCACTCGCCAGAAAATCCGTACATCTGGTTCATGTTGATTGTCTCATGGTTTCCACGTGACAGGAACATGTGATCAGGGTACAGCAGCTTATAGCCAAACAATGTGAAGACGACTTCTATCGAGAATGAGCCGCGATCAACAAAGTCACCATTGAACAGGTAGGGATTCTCCTCTGACGGAACACCATTCAGCTCAAACACGTTCCGCAGGTCGTAGTACTGTCCATGAATATCACCGCACACAGTAAACTTGTGCCCGTCCGGTACACTGATGTCAACAACCGATGGCTGCTTGGAAAAGTACTCCTTAAGCTGTAGCAGCATCTTGAAGGCATACTTTTTGTGAAGAACCTTCTGTTGTTTATACCAATCGGAAAGCTGCTCCATAAACTCTTTGGAGATCTCCTCTTCCAGTCGTGGCCCATTGTAGGTAGGTTCCACAACCATGTTATTTAGGTCAATGGTGTCTGAAACTGCCTGGCTGCCATTGTCTGCAGCAATGGCCTTTTCAAATCTCATTCTCCGCACGATTTTCTCGCACTCCTGGTACTTCGCACGGGCATCAGCATCTCTGGGTCGTGCTTTGGCTACAGCGTCATAATCCGTGAGCGCAGCCTTGTATTTTCCCAGGGCCATGTTGGCAGTAGCACGTCTGTAGTATCCTTTCAAGTACGACGAATCGAGAGATATCGCCTTGGTGGCATCATCCAAAGCCCAACCATAGCTCTCTGTCCGGAGATAGGCTATGCTGCGGTTTCCGAAATAAATAGCATTGCTGGGATTAACTTTGATCGCTTCGGAATAGAGTTCGATAGCCTCCGGGAATTGCTTGTCATTGAAGAACTTATTTGCTTTTGTTTTCAGGTCCTCGGCTTTCACTTTCTCCTCTTCCGTAGGGCATGCCATTATGCCTAAAACTGCAGAAGTATCCCTAACACTTCACAAAGAGTATTGATAGCGGAGAAAATCTACCATCTCCCATACAACTTTCCTGACTGAGCTGGATCGATATCGAATCGATCGAGTTCCAATCAAAAAGAGTGAAAGGATGAAAGGTGGATTTTGTCGCAAAATGCGGAGAAATAAATGTCATACAAAAAAGCGTGTGCGCCGCTCCAGCGCCATTTTGTTACGAAACTTCGAAATGGCACGTGCTAGCTAGCTGCTTGAGCTTGAACGAACGACGTACATAATGTACAACAATGACGTCGTCATCTTCCCCATGCACATGAAAAATTTATGACATCCAAGAAGTAATTAGTTAGTTCCCCCAAAATGTTACATGCATGCATGTGCAGCATCATGGTGTCATGCTACAGTACTCAGTAGTACAAATCTTCAACCGTCGAAACATGTGCAAATGGAAAATTGAAAGAAGTCAAGAACTGTTTGTGGCGTGCAATGGTTTCTTGGATGTGTGTGGAAATCCCTGAGTAATAGTTGTATCTACGTGCCGTTTATGTGCACAAGGATTCTGTGACAGACAAAACAATAGTATCCTCCATATCAGCTTGTAAGGAGGACTTCTGACCTAATGCCGGGGATCATGAGATGAGCTTGAGCGTAGGAAGAAGCCGTTGAAGGAGAAAGTATACAATGGATGATAAAATCAATGCTGACCAGGAGCTACGTTATTGTATGTGGAGAGATTGTTCTCTCTTGAATCTGGGGTGACTTCTGACGACCTCTCTTTTTTACTATTTGATTTGGATTTCTATATCTGCAGGTAAGCTACCGTTCTGTGTCCGGTGGATGCTAATTGCTCTGACTGGCCGAGGCGAAGAAAATTCTCTTCTTCGCAGCTCCGATATTGAACGTGTCATCAGCTTCTATGGCTTCCCCAACCGTCCCCAAAGCGAGGAGAAAATCCCCGTCAAACCGACCAGGCTTGTCATGCAAGGCTTCAGGTACAAAATAAACATTTGTGGATGTAAATTATGCTTGCGTCATGAGTGTCTTTTATCATGTACTATACGTACTACGGTACTAGTGCAGTTTTGAACACTAGTGGTGTGTACGTATCAACAGGATCGAAAAGCAGGGTCGAAACCTGACAATAGGTGATGCTTATTCCTTTCTCCACTGTACCCAGTCAGAAATTCCAGCCAGTATTTGATGCTAAATATGGCATCAAATATTGGGATATGATGGATGGAAATCCTGCCGAATCCTTTGTTGGTTTCCAAATATGGCATCTGATATTGGATAGAAATTCTGACAAAGTAAATAGGCCGAAATAGAAGTTCACGTTACGTGTGTACAAGAATGATTGCACCTACCAAGCACGTACAGACGTCATGTTTGAGCCAAAATGACTGTTGGGTCCAGCTTGAATCCAAATCGAATGGATCTGGACCTAGATCCGACCAAACAGTCACTGCCTTAACCCTTTGAGCCCTACCATGGCATCCATGGATTCCTACAGGGTTCACACAGAGGTGCGCGATCGACTGCCCGTAAGTCCCAGTATGCATTTCAAAATTATCTATTTCCACTCACCAGATTTGGAATATCTCCATCTTGGTCTCTTTGGAAAGCTACAGATCTCCTCTCTCCAGATATCGCCACTAAATACTCAACAGGAGCAACAGAATCGCCTTCATGTCTTTTGAGAGCTGCCCTATTGCGCCTGAGCGAGATACTGTACCCACATCCACAAATTTCATCGGTTCTGAAGTTTTACTCAACGTAGAATGGTGATTCAAAGTCCAGCAGATTCCTGAAGCTCAAGCGATTCATTTGGTCTCCAGTACGCATGCGCTATGCGACCATGAGTCACTGGGGAAGTCCCGTTTGAGCACTGCCGTGCTCGCCACGCACGCAATTTGAAACAAATTCAAGCGTATCTGTGTTTCGCTCTTCGGCGCTCAGTGATTCTTGATCGCGCTATATCAAACGACACATCGTTGGAAAGCTTATTCTCTCAGCTTTCCAATGAGCCCTCATCCTTGGCGATCGGAGAAAGGACAATGGAGTTACGACAATTTGAACAGTGATGTGTATGCACTGCACAAACATGCACCGTCGCACACGAGTAAACTCGTGCTTCGGATTTTAGGTTGTTTTTGAACACGAGTTAACTCGTGGTTCGGGCTCAAAGGGTTAGGCCGATTCACAATACAACTTCTTGCGACGCGACATGCAACTTATGACACCTGCGACGAGCTGCGACAGCGACACACGGTTCACAATCTTTTTCATGTTTGCGACATCCTTATGCACGTGCACCCAGGGTCGAAACTGTACTCCATTTGTGTATGTCGCGTGTCACATGTCGCGAAAGTTGAACTTTCTTAAACTTCTGGGACAGGTGCCTTGCGACAGCTCGCGACAGGCAGTTTCTCGTCGCAACTGTCGCAAATCGCATGTCGCGTCGCAGAAAGTTGTATTGTGAATCGCCCTTAAGACCTACTGTAATAATGTACATTTTAAATGTAAAATAGAAGAAGAAGACACAAGAAAACGAGTTATGAAGCAACTATCCACGACCGTAACAAGATTATACGCAGTCAGAAAGTGTGATAACAGGGCACCAAACTGACAGGCTACTGAGACATCCAACGACCTGAGACCTAGCTCTAACACATCTCCAGTGCGCAAACCAACAGTAGCCTGTCAGTTTTGTCCCCTGTTATCGCACTTTCTGACTGCTTATTATCTTGTTACAGTCGTGGATAGGTGCTTCAGAACTCGTTCTCATGTGTTTTCTTTTTCTATTTTACGTTTATTACTGGCTCATTATCCGAGTCAAGGTTCATTTTTTAAATGTTCATTGTTAGGAGTGGTCTTAGCTTAGGTGGATTTCTGCGGATAATGACGTGAACTGTTCACTAATTCTGGGTGTAAAAACCGGAAACGACTATAATTATACTAAATATGCGTGCATCGTTTTGCACATAGCAAATTCAAAGAATAATTTCGATTTGTTTAAGTTAATACAAGTGTGAATTGTAACAGGAAAGGTAAGAGCCAACACCAATGTGTGTGTGTTAACAATATCTGTTGAAGTTAAATTGTTGCATTTTCATCCAGTGATCGTAAGTTAAATGGCGTTAAATATGTGGTCTTGCATTACATCAAGAGTACATAACCCTAAGAGTGTGCAACTCGTGATCTCCAAGCTATGGGTGCCCTGCGCGGCGCACTGCCTTCATTACATAGTGAAATGACGATCCAGCTGCCTGGATTTGAGTTTTCCTACGGTTTAGCCTCAACGATTTCACGTGCAATATGGTAAGTTCAAGGGCATTGCCTGTGCGTGATGCATCACATACAAAATTATCTGAAGTCTCCGAGGAAAGCGGATTTGGAAGCAGGAACTTAGCAGATCAATAATGACACAGTGGCGCACAGTTCGTGCGTGGCTACGTAATGCAGGCAGCGCGCCGCGCCAGACCCCATATGCAGAGTATGCAGATATGTGTTCTTGCCTTATTCGTCTTCTAATTATGCCTAATATGGCATAACACATTGGGTAGAATTCTAAAAGGATTAGATCATATAGAGGCACAGCATTTTGAGAGATATGGTTATCGTACTGTGCTCCTTATTTAGTTATGCCAATGGCCCATTTCTGATAAGATTTCCTGTGTTGTTATATTCAGTCCACCTAACGTATGGATATGTGTTGTTGTAGTTGGACATTTAGTCCAAACTCCTCACCACGTGTACTCTCCAGCTGAGCTTTTTTTTTACCAGCAGCACGACTCTAAGTTAGAGGTGAGATCAAGAGTACATAACCGCCAAGAGTGTGCAACTCCAGCTATGGGGTCTGCAACGGCAGAAGTTCACATCACATGATAAACCCCTTACACGTTATTTGCACCTCGTGCATGATAGATACTGCTTTGGGTTCAGCTCTGCTGGTCACTCTGCACTGTTTGCCAGCGTAACCTTTTGAACCATGTCACGTGGTCTGAAGTTCTGCTTAGTAGCACTGGATAGAGGTTGTACAAGTAGTTGCACTCTCTTGGGGGATATGTACTCTTGGCGAGATATGGTGTCAATTCTTCAATGCAGCTCTTTTGATCATACAGATCTGATCAGTGAAGGTCTTGGAGTACTGGATGGCTAAAACTTTTGAATAGCACTCATCATGCAGAGAATCACTGTGAAAATGAAGTGGCGCAATCACATGCGTTGAGGTACCATAAGTGCTAACATGTGGAGAAGAAGTGCAAGATTATCAATGTGATCTTGCACTTCTTCTATATATAATATTATACTCTGGACAAAGATGTGTGTAGTCTTGTAGTTGCAAAAGATCATAGCAAGAGTACATACTCTCTTGATCATAGTACTAGTACACTGAAATACCACACTGAATAGTGAAGTGACAGTTCAGACTTTGGGCTCCAGCACAGCCCCGTAAGTAGTCGTACGAGAGGCGCACATGGAGCAGTCACTCCGTACACACACTCGCCACCTTACTGCGCCTCTGTCACATAGTCAGGCATCAGAAGGTAATGAAACTGTTGTTAGTCATCTCCATGGCACTGGCAATATCTGGAACACTACTAGTATCAGGTGGACATCCATGGACAATGCAGCGACCGGAATGAGTGTCCCAGAGCCCTCTTGCGGAACTACTTGGACCCTAAAGTCTGTACTGTCACCTCACTATTCAATTTGTTTTGTCAGTATGCTATGCTCTTTTGCACGTACAGTATGACATGTATCAATGTCTGTAGTACCTTGCACGTATCAGTGTTATCCTGCACTTTATGTATCAATGTCTGTAGTACCTTGCACGTATCAGTGTGATCCTGCACTTTATGTATCAATGTCTGTAGTACCTTGCACGTATCAGTGTGATCCTGCACTTTGTGTATCAATGTCTGTAGTACCTTGCACGTATCAGTGTGATCCTACACTTTATGTATCAATGTCTGTAGTACCTTGCACGTATCAGTGTGATCCTACACTTTGTAAGTTACTCTGCGCGTGCTAGCTGTAATGCTACCTCAATAGGCGCCGCGATTGTGCTGCTTCAGTTTCATAGTAATGCTCTGTATAACGAGCGTTCTTCAGAAGTTCAAACCACTCAGTACTCCACAGCCCCCACTGATGAGATCTGTATGATCAACATAGCTGTGTGGATGAATCGATACCAGTCCCTAAGTTACTGTAAGTTGGAGTTGTGCTGCTGGTGTCACGGAGGTTGGCTGGAGAGCATAAGTGGGAAGTTTGGACTAATGGTAACAAGCTGAAAGCTGCTGCGTTATACATACCTGTGTCAAGTTATTGTTTGTGTTGTTCAAATCGTTATCCTCGCGGTGGCTGTGGCTACTGTTGTGGTTGTTGTTGTTGCCGCTGGTGTTGCTGTTGCTCTAACCTCTATTATCAATGTCATTTTGAATCCGTATTCCTGGCAGCATCATCATCATGTCCATGGCAATGTTCCTGTGTTGTGACTCACCATTGGCACTATGTTTGCTACTTCTCCGCCATCACTGCATGCATGATGTCATGTCACAACCACCGCATCATGCCATCACAGCATGATGTCACCACCCCTGCATTATGTCATCACAGCATGATGTCATCATGTCACCGCCGCTGCATCATGCCATCATGTCACCACTGTTTGTGCCTTCCTGCCACCAGTCAGTCATTGAAATTAGTAAGTAATCAAGTAGCATGAAAAAAGAAATTAGCAAGTAAATTGATCAGTGACAAAACTACTGTACGATCACTACTGACTACATTATGACTGTGACCACACATATGGACTGCCAGGAGTGTTGTGTTGTATTGCCATGAGCTAATGTTTCCATGGCTGTCAAGTGTCTCCATTCAAAATGAATTCCATTTTTCAACCAAATCAGAAAACTTTTAAATAACTTGTCTTACTGCGAAGCAAGTACTCAGCTACAGTTATTTTACAAGTTTCATCAATGCAGTCCGAACTATTGTACATGTACATTGTATGTGTAGTGAGCTCAGCAGTGTTATATATACCCTTGATGGCAAGTTATATAGCATACTATCATGTTTACTAAGGGTACGTTTGGTTGGTACGATCTAGAACAGGATCGAACAGCTGGTGCACATGGAGCAGCTTCATGCCAACCAAACGGTACTCCAGAAACAGAGCACATTTTTGTGGAAAAATGTGCCAAACTTGATGCATTCTTCAAAATGTGTATGGGTCACCATGGTCACTGTGTACGGTACAACGAGTCCAACCCAAAAGCGTATGCACGTGATCATTTGGGACCAAATCGATGTTCCCGCCAGGTTTCACTGTGAAAAAGTGAAACTGCTCGGTCTGCTCCGGCCTTGAGGCCGGAGCAAGCAGAACATGTTCTGACCGACCCAGAACAGGTGCAGTCCCAACCAAACGCGCTGTTCTGGTGAATCCTGCTCTAGTTCGTACCAACCAAACGCGCCCTTAGTATTCGCTCAAGGGATGTTGATTTTATCAAGTACTAACATAACAAGTTATGTGCATCTGTGTGTGTGTGTGTGTGTGTGTGTGTGCCCGCGCGTATGTGTGCGTGCGTGCGTGTGTGCATGTGTTTCATTGTCTGCGTGTGTGTGTCTTATGTATATGGTTTGTATGTGTATGTACATTGGCATATTGTACTCTGTCAACTTACCCAGTGCGTTGTCCCCGCTGATGGACCTGGCGTGTATCCGACAAGTTCTTCTTGCCAATAACTTTGAGCCGGCTGTCTCTCAGCCTGGTGTGCCAATGGATGTCATCCTAGACTCGGTTTTCGCTGATGAACCGCCCCGCGAAGCCGGATCGCCGGTTACCGAATCATTCTGCTACGAGCGTCTACACTTCCTGAAGTGGGCTGATAAAGCATTCGCTGGTATTCGCACTATACCACCCTGCCCAGGCACACTGAACCACGCCTCGCTGCTCTGGTGCCTGGCTAGATGGGTAGTGAGGGGATGCGACGGCTCACTCAATCCAGACTTTGTCTTTGGTATTGACAGTCACTTGGCCGTTCTAAATGGCTTGGGAATCTTAGCCCTCTGTAAGTTGAACTGCTGCATTGCGGTATGTGTTTTTCTGATACCGTTCCTCTTTCTGCAGTTCCATTCATTCTAGCTGACGTGTCTTTGTTGTGAGTCAAAATCAATTCTAATCGTAATCTTGTCTGTGCTGTACCTTGGGCAGTCTTGAGAGATGGAAGTAGTTGTTATCAATGCCAATGGTGGTGTTTATTTTAAGAAATACTGTTTTCAAAGACAGCTTATTAATCTAGACACTGTGTGGTAGCTTTTGCCATGATTTCCATGTGCCCTTTGTGCAACCCAATTTGTACCCGTCTCTTTTAGCCTTGTGTAGCCGGTTTGGCCTGTCACCTTATTGGGAGAAGTTTGTCTGTAGGACATTGTGTTTATGTATGCATGTGCTGTAAACTACTGATTTGTTCATGTATTGAGGCTCCCCCTTGGTTGTTGGTGGAATGTGTGGGTACTGTGAGGGTTGCATCTTACCAACCAGTGTAGTTTCAAAGGAAGCATGAGTTATAGTATCCCTGATTCAAGTCTTGATGGTGATATTTTTTCCTTTAGATGTTTCCAATTTAACTCCCTCAAACTAATGGCATGTATATTTGTATGTGTTAACGTGCGTGTCCGTGTGTCTATGCTCAGCTGTTAGTCTTCTTGAGACGGAGACTGTACTACTGGATATGCCTATTCAGTTCAAACTGCCGGAGGTTGTCGGAGTGCGTGTGCTAGGTCGGCCTCCGCCACTCTCCACGCACGTAGAGAATGTGTTGTTTGTCAGCAAGGTAAGTTGTTTACTGTAGCCCTGTTTTCTGCTGCGAACACATTGTGCAATCACTTCCCACTGCGGAGTATGTGTTATGCATTTTCCACACCAGCTCGCACTCAGTTGCTGCATTTCACAAATTCATTTCAGGAAAATAATTCAACGTTTTAGCAGGATGATGGGTTCAATATGGCCGAGATGAAAGTAGACGGGCAGGCTGCTGTGCCGTGATCTGCAGCGTTGACCCTGGAACTCTTTTTGTGTGTGCTGCCGGAGACAAACTACACTTTCCTTAGTTTTGTTCCCGTAGGGGCACGCATTTCTCTCTGTGTGCGTGCATGCATTCACTGATCTGATTGACTTTGCCCTTGACTACATGGCTTGTGTAGTCTGCCTATCACACAGCTAACAGCATTCTTGTTTTCTTGCTTTGATGTTTTCAGTTTCTACGTCAGAACGAGGCTCTGCTGAAGAACCGCTTTGTTGAGTTTCTCGGCCCGGCATTGGAGCACCTCACCATCACAGACCGCATGACCATTGCAAACACATCGACAGAGTATAACGCACTCGCTACCTACTTCCCCATTGACAAGATCACGCTGGACTATATCCACCGAACGTGTAAGTCTTCCAAGAAGATACGGCAGCATGTCTATTAGGGTGCGAATCAAGGAGATCTGGAGCAGCTTGATGTGTGCTGCAACACGTTGCGTCGATCCTTCCCGTATTGATTGTAATGTAGTCTTGTTTTCTGGACCAGTGTAAACCGCCCACTATCCATGTTACTTGATTTAGCGGTTTCTTAGTAACCGCAAGTTCACAATGGCAAATGCTCACGGAGCGCCATGGCCACACATGTACGCCGGCGGTTGAAGTTTGATTTCACGCTGAATAGTCGCGTGGCGTTCGTCTCGCGAAAAAGGCGAACATTTGAACATCGCGAACGTTAGGCAGTTTACAGCATGCCGTTGACAGGTGTGCATTCCTGCTATTAGTTTGCAAAGTACACGTTTTGCTGAGCTGGATGTGTACACCTCCTGTTTTCTGCTCAGCTCCGTCATTGAAGCGCTCTGAAAACCTAGAGCAGTACTTGCGGATAAGCAAGCTGATTGCAGACGACCCGACTCCTGACCTTGTCTTCAATGAGGTGTGTTTTCTGGTATTGCCGGCTTGGCTTGGCTTTGCTATATTCTTCTTTGGTGTGTCTTCAATTATCTTGTTTGGATGACTGGATTTCCTCATCTGCATTGCGCATCGCCATCAGTGCACTGTGCACGTGTATGCTTGATCAGGATTTACACAATATACATGTGTATGACCCGTGATACGGGATGGTGTATGTTCTCTTCAGTTTCATAACCAGGTCAAGATCAATTCTGTGTCTTCTTGCTGTGGCAGGTTATTGAGGTCAACTTTGATGACATGGTTGTGAACATCTGTGGACCTTATCCAATGGTTTACCGGACAGTTGTGGAGAAATTCCCACAAGAAATCCGTGAAAACCTCAGCAAGAGAGTAAGCTACTTGGCTGTTTTTTTGTGTGAATGCTAGCAATATTGTAACACACACTTTCTCTCTTGCTCTCTCTCTCTCTCTCTCTCTCTCTCTCTCTCTCTCTCTCTCTCTCTCTCTCTCTCTCTCTCGCATCGGACTCATCTTAAGATTTGTGTAAGCTGATACCATCTGTGCAACAGTACTGTGCATGGTTTCCCCAATAGAGCTGTTGCACATCTACTGCATGACGATACGGGCCACCCATGTTGGTTCCAACTGCAATCAATCCCTGCATCAATAGGTCACGTCATTACTCACATGATGTCAGCCGTGTCATGTACAATCCTACACGAATACAGTCACATGATGTCAGCCATGTCATGTACAATCCTACACGAATACAGTCACATGATGTCAGCCGTGTCATGTACAATCCTACACGAATACAGTCACATGATGTCAGCCGTGTCATGTACAATCCTACACGAAAACAGTCACATGATGTCAGCCGTATCATGTAAAATCCTACACGAATACAGTCACATGATGTCAGCCGTGTCATGTACAATCCTACACGACTACAGTCACATGACACAACAACTGTGAAGCCACTCCATGGCTATGAAGTACAATGTATGCTCTGCAGCTCACACACCCTGTTCTATTCTCTGTGACGTGGTTGCTTGCAGCATGGTCGGCGTGCAATGTATGCTGCGGATATCACCACCACGGTGACGTATGAAACAGAAGGGCAGAAGTTCACCCTTGGTCATGGTACGTTGTGTAGCCAGTAATCGGTGGCTAATGGGTGCTTTGGTAATTTCTCTTTGCTGCTGTGGCTTCTTGTATAGATGCTGTGTGTCCTGCAGTAGTGAATAAAACAGGAGTGCCAGCAATGGCAATATAAAGTGCAGGTGACACACAGGCTCGCTATTTTAGAGGTCATGCATAATTATCATCGAACATTTTTCACAAAACGAAATAATTTCGTTATGGGGTGGGAGGGGGTTGACCAATTTTATTTCAGAAAACGTTGGTACTAGTACATGTACATGGCCGTGGGATCTAGGTGCAGTGACACACTTGCAACTTTTGTGGTATATGCATTTAAATTATAGCATAAAAAAACCTCCAGTCCTTTGCGTGTTCTAAATTTAAAAACCTGTTGCTGTAAAAAACCACTTTTTAGGAAAAACAAGACATCTTCCTCGCCTGCAACAGTGCTGAATACGAGGTCTGACGGCTTCATTTGGGTTTGTGCCTCGTTTCCACGAAGGCAGAAGTGAAGCGTAGTGTGGAACCATACAAACTAAGTCACCTTCTTCACATCCAGTGTGGTTGACGCATCGGCGAAATACTCCTTTAGGAGAACCCAATCATCATCAGCAATACTATCCTTGTGGACAACAGGAGCCTCCAAACCAGTCCGCTTCCTCTCTTTTAGCACAGCATCCAAGAGTTTGTTGGACCTATTGAAAGCCGGACCTTGCAGGCTGATTCCTCGCTCTAGAGAGTTCGTTGAAATGCCCCGCGAGCAGCAATCATACTTGAACGCTTGTACTCGGATTTGTCCTGCTTTTTAGCCGAGCAGGAGAAGTCTTCGAGCAGGCCCGCAAGTTCTCCCTCTGTAACATTTTTCCAGTCGCAAGATTTGCTATGCGTTGACAAGAAATCGGGAAAAAAACAGTCAACCAGAATTCCGTTGCCGTTTTGGTTGACTTCGGCACTGCGCCCTCCAACAGCTCGTCTTTCGTTGCGGAACTTACAGGTTCAAAACGCGAAGACTCAGCCATAGTTCTTCAAAAGCAAAAAAGGTTACAAGGAAATGAAGAAGGCAACGTTCTTGCTCAATGCACATGGAAATGACAAGGAATTACTGCGCATGCGTCCCCCTTTACCCAGACGTACGCAAGTCATGTGCAAATAAAATCGTTTTTTTATGCTATAATTTAAATAGAATATAAGCTTCGCCCTCTTGTTTACGAGAAAAAAACCCTCGGCAAAAACCTCAGCTTTGCCTCGGTTTTTTGCCTCGGGTTTTTATTTCCCGTAAACACTCGGGACTCAGCTTATATTCTATACGTACATGTATGTCGACATTTTTTTACGTCCCTTTACCCAGACGTACGCAAGTCATGTGCAAATAAAATCGTTTTTTTATGCTATAATTTAAATAGAATATAAGCTTCGCCCTCTTGTTTACGAGAAAAAAACCCTCGGCAAAAACCTCAGCTTTGCCTCGGTTTTTTGCCTCGGGTTTTTATTTCCCGTAAACACTCGGGACTCAGCTTATATTCTATACGTACATGTATGTCGACATTTTTTTACGTTCTGAGGGGAGGGAGTGGTTAGGTCTAAACTAAGGCTATGATCGTTTGGTCGGATCCAGATCCAAATCTCAGATCCGTCGGATCCTTCAGAATCAACCGAACACTTTTTTGCGGACCTTGGCTGTTGCCATGTTGACGAAGTAAAAAATGGCGCTGACAGGTCACCCAAAAAAGGCACAAGTCGTACTGATCGCCCGCGTCGTACGAAAAGTCAACAAAAGTCCACTAGACGTACGACAATGAGTATAAAAATGATTTTTACCCACCATATACGCACAAAGGTCACATTTGGATCCGATGGATCCAGTCAACCCTGCTCCCGGGGCAGGGTTGCTCGGATCCAAATCCGAAGGATCTGGATCCGGATTCGACCAATCGATCATTGCAGATCCAGTGGATCCGATGGATCTGGATCTGGATCCGACCAAACGATCACGGCCTAAAGTAACTCGTTTGGTGAAAAAAGTTCGATATTTGCGGACGGCCCCTTAGTCCAAGGTTACCAATAATATTCTCGAAAGATTTGGTTTGGGGGTGGGTGGGTTTGAAGGAGTTTCGTTTTGAAAATAATTATTGAATGCAGATGGAGAATGCCCAGTTACTTTTGTGTCGGAAATCGACATCAATATTTTATCGGAATTCGTTTTACCTGCAGAAAAGGTGGGTGGGTGGGTGGGTGGTTGGGGGCTGAAAAATACAAAAACTTTTCGTTTTGTAAAAACAATCGGTAACCCCGGACGGTCCCTTAGTAAACAAAGAAAAGGACAAATTTCAACTGAGAGTTTGGAGGTTATTGATCAATATGAGTGTACTGTCTGTACTGATACAGTGTATATGTTCTACTAGTCAGCTCATTTGTCAAATTCCTCTACACTGTGCTTGGTGTGTGCGCGCATATGTGTGTCTGTTTGTGTGTTGGTGTTTGTGCATCTGTGTTTGTGTGTGTATGATTGCAACAGCCTGTCTTCTAACAGCATGCATACCTGCAAGTGCCAATGCCAGTCAACCCATGGCTATGTTAGCTTGTGGTCTCCTGGCACGCAATGCGTTTCGCCACGGCTTCCGAGTGTCTCCGTACATTCATGCTTGTATGTCCCTGCGCGGCGGTCTCAATGCATTCTACCTGCGAGAGGCTAACCTTATGAACGCGCTGTCGGCAATAGGCTTCTCCCTGGTGGGTCTCGATGACAATCTCCTGGAGCGGCAAGTCTTCTCACCGCCGTGCCTCACTGCCGAGATTGCAAAGGCACAGCTGATCACGTGTGGTGTAATGTCTGGTACACACACTACACAGTGCTGTGACGTCATCCTGTCAGCCACGACGGCCAACTTTACCTGCTCACCACCGTTGGTCATTGCGTATGCACTAGCTGGAAACCTTGCCATCGACTTCAACATCACACCTATTGGTACGTATCCGCCTTTCTTATCTCTCTGCTCTTGCTAATCTTCTGACTCCGTAGGCGTCTTTTTGAGCTCGGCTGCAACTGCATTTAAGGTCTTGTCTGGAGCGAATATGTTGGCTGTGTAGTTATGCAGGGGCGGATCCAGGGGGGTTCGGGGGGTTCGAATGAACCCCCTAAAATATTTCCGACCATGGTGCAGTTTTTTTTAGTTTTTTTTTTTTTACAAAAGCCAGGCATGCGAATTGCTCCTAGGATCCTGCCGTAGCGCATATATAGCCCGAGCTGAATCATGCAGATGTTACATTGATACATTGATATGATCCTCAGACGAACACCTTGCCAATAGGCCTTTCCCAAATCGGCCATTTATTTTGGCCTTTTCGGCTTTTCGATCGGCTGAAAAAATCGCCAGAATCGGCTGAAAATTTCTGTAAAAGGTGGAAATTCGGCTCTAAAGTCGCAGCCACCTTTCGCAGATTATGATTACAGAAATTGTATTTGCATGCTATTGAGGCACTAAAACATCAATTTTCGGCGAATTCAGTGCGAAAATTGCGTATTCAGCTAAAAGATCGGTGATTTCTTCAAAGCCACTAATTTCGGCCAATGTTTCGGCCGGCAGATTTGGGAAATGCCCACGGGCCGTGACGCAGGCGCACACGAGCGGTCATGCCCAGTTGCCCACGACCCTGCAAAACATGTACATTGTACTACTTTCACTTTAGCTCATGCATATACATGTACATGTACATGTACACCCTTCAAAGCGGCGAACCCCTTGTACTTGTAGTCTAGGAGCCAAGTCAGCAAAAGTCCAAGGAATAAGGTATTGATAGGCGACAAGCCTCTGGGTCATCCTAATAAAGATATTATTATTATTACAAGAATGAAATTGAAGACACCACTGCAGCTGTACTTATGGTTGATAAATATGGTGGTAAAGACACACCTGGCAATATGGCGGTAAACACACGCCTGCCCACACACGCTCTCTAGGCTGCAAAGTTCTGGCACAGAGCTCTCCTTCTCACCACCACCACCATCAGTTCGCGCCTGGCGCCTGGTCGATGCATGGCTGGCGGTATCCGGCATAGCAGGCTGGTACATCAAGTAGCGCATGGCACATAGATGATGACACAGCAACGACATAGCTCGATTGCGACGTACGTTTCGTCCCCGCTGGACTCATCAGGCAATCTTCTTCTTGGATGTCTTCATACGGAGCTTGACTCGGGAGAATGAAATTGAAGACACCACTGCAGCTGTACTTATGGTTGATAAATATGGTGGTAAAGACACACCTGGCAATATGGCGGTAAACACACGCCTGCCCACACACGCTCTCTAGGCTGCAAAGTTCTGGCACAGAGCTCTCCTTCTCACCACCACCACCATCAGTTCGCGCCTGGCGCCTGGTCGATGCATGGCTGGCGGTATCCGGGATGGTGGTGGTGGTGGTGAGAAGGAGAGCTCTGTGCCAGAACTTTGCAGCCTAGAGAGCGTGTGTGGGCAGGCGTGTGTTTACCGCCATATTGCCAGGTGTGTCTTTACCACCATATTTATCAACCATAAGTACAGCTGCAGTGGTGTCTTCAATTTCATTCTCCCGAGTCAAGCTCCGTATGAAGACATCCAAGAAGAAGATTGCCTGATGAGTCCAGCGGGGACGAAACGTACGTCGCAATCGAGCTATGTCGTTGCTGTGTCATCATCTATGTGCCATGCGCTACTTGATGTACCAGCCTGCTATGCCGGATACCGCCAGCCATGCATCGACCAGGCGCCAGGCGCGAACTGATGGTGGTGGTGGTGAGAAGGAGAGCTCTGTGCCAGAACTTTGCAGCCTAGAGAGCGTGTGTGGGCAGGCGTGTGTTTACCGCCATATTGCCAGGTGTGTCTTTACCACCATATTTATCAACCATAAGTACAGCTGCAGTGGTGTCTTCAATTTCATTCTCCCGAGTCAAGCTCCGTATGAAGACATCCAAGAAGAAGATTGCCTGATGAGTCCAGCGGGGACGAAACGTACGTCGCAATCGAGCTATGTCGTTGCTGTGTCATCATCTATGTGCCATGCGCTACTTGATGTACCAGCCTGCTATGCCGGATACCGCCAGCCATGCATCGACCAGGCGCCAGGCGCGAACTGATGGTGGTGGTGGTGAGAAGGAGAGCTCTGTGCCAGAACTTTGCAGCCTAGAGAGCGTGTGTTTACCGCCATATTGCCAGGTGTGTCTTTACCACCATATTTATCAATCATTATTATTACATGTACATGTATATTCGGCGATTTCTTGGTAAAATCTCAGAATTCGGCGAAAAGATCGGCGATATTCTGAAAAGGCTACTTTCGGCGAATTTTTCGGCCGGCCGATATGGGAAAGGCCTACTTGCCAACATTCAACGCTTGGTCGACACGTACTCTGATGATCTGCCAAGCTCTTCAACTATATCAACTGACATCCGAAAGTGGGTCAGGAAATGGAAGGACGCAGCAGAGAAGTCTCGTGCACTTCCAGCTACCCCACGAGCTCTTGTGCATTGCGATGCTGATATTTTCCCGAACATCCACGTCCTCCTCCGGATTGCTTCAACGCTACCCGTCACCTCTGCGGAGAATGAGCGCAGCAACACTGCCTTGAAATGGCTGAAGCACTACCTGCGGTCGAGCGCTCGACAATGGGATCAGAGCGCCTATCCTCTAGCCCTTTCCCAAAGGTGCCCGCCCTTTTTTCGCCCTTTTCGGCCCTTTTTGGAAAAGCCCGTTTCTTTCGCCCTTTATAAGGGCGGAAGAAAACTGAACCCCCCTTGGAAAAATCCTGGATCCGCCCCTGTTATGTCTGGGTGTTGTATGTGCAAGTAATGGGCAAGGAAGCCCATACTTTTTTTAGAGCTATGCCCTATGTGTATGTACTATGCTGTGCCTTGTCGCCAATGTTTTCTTGCGCAGGTAAGTCATCCGAGACTGGCGAGGCTATTTATCTGAAGGATATCTGGCCGTCGAAGGAGGAGATCTCCTGGCTTCAGAAGCAAGTCATCTACCCGGCGATATCACGTGAATTTGCCAAAGAGATCCGAGTGAGTAGCAAGCTGGTAACTCTCTGCACCAATCAACCGAAGTACAATGCATGATGTAGTAGTACACTTGCTATCCGTTGAGTTGCAGATTAGGAGGATACAGACTTCAAAGCAAATTAGCAATCCTCGCTGCCAGTTACCCTTAGCTTCATCCAACATGACAAGTGTGCATTGGTTCTCTGTGAACTGTCTCTTGCTTCTTGTTGATATTGACGTAGACTACTCCTATTGCGATGAGTTTGGAACATAGATGAAAGTCACACTGGCATGCCAGAGAAAATCGATTCCAATGATCCATTGTGCCCGCTATCTGTGTCCGGTGTGGATAGCCATCGCTTATAAGTTATTAGTAGTACAGGGCTGGTCACTGAAATTCCGGGTTGCTATTGAGAGGATCCTAGTTGGTCTGGCCTGTTCAATAAGTAATCAAGAAGACAAGAACTGGCCATATCCATGCACATAATTATGCCAATGAACCTTCTCTATGCATGATTGCACCATTGCTTCTGTGCATGTCGCATTTTCCATATGTGCAGAGTGATAAAGACTGGGCAGATATCCCCACCGTTACCGGTGCAAGCTATCCGTGGGATCCCAGCTTCACGTACATGCAGAGACCGCCCTTCTGTAACTTGGTGGTAAGTACTAGTAGTTGTAAGCTGCACAACTCTGTCATGTGCTATGTAGTGATGTTCACAACTCCACATCTTTGACATGTGATTAAATTTGTGAGAAGACCATCACCATAGCATGTGGACAGGGAAAAAACCAACATGGCCGACACCATGTGACTCATAGATGCAAAAGTTGAGCGGAGTTGGAACCAACATGGCTGTCCCGTATGGTCATGTGATAGACGTGCAACAGCAGCTCTATAGACTGGGTTCAGAATGATGCAGTATGTACTTCAAAGTGCTCAATCTGCAGGCAGAACTGTTTCGTCCTTTGTGGACTCATCAGCGCAGCACAGAGAAAATAAGGCCGAACCTGGTAGCAATGAAAAATAAAAGCTCCAAAGCCAGATTTAAACCAAGCCCGAACGTACCTTACCAGAGTGCTCAAACTGACAAGTCGGTGGGCTCTGCATAACGCAAACAAAACTGTACTTCAAAGTGTATACAAACCTGTAGGACTGAATGGGTGTTGCACTCTTTAGGTCTGCAAAGCATCTTAACTATGGCAAACGTCTCTCAAAATAACCATTTTGGTCCAGAAAATGTGTATGGATGACATCACGTGATAGTATTTCTAATCCATCAATTTGTGACAACTAATATTTTCCAATGTCATCAGAATCATCAATGGATGTATGGAAACACCAGAATGGTGACATTCAACGTGTGTGTGTGTGTGTGACTGTGTCGCTTGTGCAGCCCAAACCCCAGCAGCTGTCCCAGCTGTGCATCGAGGGTGGCCACGTATTGATGTACCTTGGTGATGATGTCGCCATGCACCACTTGTCACCGGCTGGTAGCATGTCTAGGACGTCACCAGCATCACGATACCTGTCATCACTCGGGTAAGTACAGTAGCTGCACTGGAGTATAAGCCGCACCCAGATTTTTTGTCACGAAATACAGACATCCACCCTGTTTATCACCGTTAATTTGATCATCGTAGGGTAAACCGCACCAACTTTTTTGGTGAATTCCTGATGCTTAAAGTGTGGCTTATACTGCGGAAAATACGGTAAGCTGCTTAGTGCAGCCGGCACTCCGCACACCTACGGATGGTTGTGATTTAGAAATTCTCTGTGCTTCCTTGAAAGTTTGTTGCAACGTTTTCACTGGCTCCCCATGAAAGTTTGCCATGAGACGCTTTGGAGTGAAGCAAAGTTAGATGATCTAGATTAATGGTCAATAATATGGCTGCAGATGATTCGGGTTCTCTAACGACCTTCTTTTTCTCTGGAACTCAGTTGGTTGCTGGTGAGGCAATACTAATCCTTCATGATATGAGTAGTACTTTTAAAATGGCACAATGTAGCCAGGACACCACCTGGTGGTGTAGAGTGCAATAGCATGTTGGTTGGCTCGTTGGAGATGTGTTGGAGCCTCAGTGCTCTCTGTCAGTTCTGCTCCTTTCTGCATTATTTGAGTGCATATCAGCTGGTTACATTGGTGGGCAGTTATTCATAATTCGTATTCAGTTGTCCTTGTCATTTCATTCTTTGGAATTTACTCATGTTACTTGTTGTCATGTGCTTCTTGTTGTAGTATCGAGGCGCGTTGTTTCAACACATACGGCTCCCGTGTTGGTAACCACCATGTCATGACACGGGGCATGTTTGAACACAAATACCTCAACAATCGTCTCGTCCGCGGCGTCGGGCCCCGGACTCTGTTCCTGCCGTCCGGAGTGGAGGTATGTCACGTGCCAATAACAGCACCAGCTCGTACACGAATATATGGTTGCTAAAAATGAGGACAGTGAACACGACATGACAGGATACTACAACCAGCTCAACAAAGACACGTGGACCTGCACGAGACTTAGTGCGGAGTTCCAGCACACTCTTCGACCACAATTTGATTTGACCACCTCTTCTTGAACACCCGTGGGTTTATCTCAAGAGACACCTCTTTCAGTGATGACAATGTGGGGGGGGGGGGGGGGGGGGAGGGAGGTCGTTACCTTGCACAAAGCGAAAAGTAAAAACTTTCGTTTATGGGTGGGTCGAGGACAGTGTTATTTTTGAAATACATTCATAGCTGAAGCATCAATCTATTCTGGATGTCAAGTCGACATCTAATCATGCTTCCCAGAATGCTTCCCTTTTACTCGTGAGTAACAGCAGTGTTTTGAGAATTGTTAAGGGAGCATCTCATAAGTTCGCATTTTGTTTGCATTTTTTTTTGCATTTTTTTTTTAACGTAACGCATTTCGAAACGGGGGTAGGGGGGTAGCGCCCTTTTCGAGTAGAAAAATGACTGTTCGCACATTTTCTGGAACTGTACAATCTACTGCTCGTACTACCGTGCTAGATCCCTGCAGCAAATGAGTGTGTTTAGGTGGAGATCTACCTGTGTTTGCAGATCAGCTAACCCTTGCTCTGCATGCATGCAGGCTTCTCAGAGGTGTCAAATGTCACACCAGCCTGATCAAACCGTGTACCTGGCCAGCGTTTACAGCAGTACAGTTGTTGTGGAGGAACTATGTTTATGTGCGTGTACGTGTCATTGATTGTACTCAGTAAAAAAATGCGGTACTACTGTATGCCATTCACGACGGCTCTAGCAAAACATTCATATCCATGTACATGTATTGTACAATCATGTACATAAGTATACCATAGCATGGAGCATGGACGTGTACAGTAGAAAACACAGAAAATGTGCGATAAGACTTTCGAATAGAGGGGGGAGGTAGGGGGTAAAGTCTATTCGAAATGCGTTACGTTTGCAAAATAAATGCGAACTTATGAGATGCTCCCTAACAGGTGTGTCAACCTTGCACAGATTTTATGTGCGCTATGCACACTCTGTGCTTATTGTTATCATATGGATCTAGCAGGAGGTGTGTATATGACCGTGAATTGTGTTGCTCTTGTGCGTATGTGTTCTACAGACTGGTGTGTACGATGCCGCTGTGGCGTATCGCTCACGGAACATTCCTCAGATCATCATTGCTGGCTTTAACTATGGCATTGGTGCATCTCGCGACTGGGCGGCCAAGGGCTTAGTGGCTTTGGTATGTTGTTTTCTTCTTTCCCATTCCAGCGTATTCCTTTTGTTTGGGTAATCACTGGTGCTGGAGCAAGCCTTTGATTGTGTCCTATCTTTCTCTTCAATCACTGTGCAGTGGTTCAATCACTGTGCAGTGGCATGTAGGTAGTGGTTGTTTACCTGCAGTACAGGTTTCAATAGAAACTAGTACTTCCTTTGTATGCTCACGGGGAGAATTTTCCATTTTTGTCGTACATGGTTGTCAGAATGACTTCACTAAATGTGTATGGTTTGCACTGGCTACTAATGTGAACGGGCCCCTTACCAGGAATGTTTCTTCAATGGAGTCGAGCGTTCATGGTTGTTCAAGAAACAAGATCTGCCTTTTTTGGAATAGACTCCAGTGGATTTCCATTTAGTGCGCTTGCTTTTGTTCTTTGTTTGTCCGGCTGCACAGGGAATCCGTGCTGTGATTGCACGCAGTTATGACGAGGTGCACCGCAGCAACCTGGCCTGCTGTGGCGTCTTGCCTCTCCAGTTCCTGAAGGATGAGTCTGGCGAGAAGCTTGGCATCACTGGACATGAAAGCTTCAACTTGTTGCTTGGAAAGGAGATTCAACCCAACCAGGTCCTGAAAATGCAGGTAAGCATGGTGGAATCTCTGCGTTCGCATGCATAGAGCATGTTGGAAATTTTTGCAAAAGCTTTCAAACAAACTCGTTCTGAACTTGTGGATTCGGATATCCAACGACTCGTAGTGACGTGCTGCCTCTGCCATCTGCCTTGGCCCTCTTCTGCTTTTCCTGGCTGATTGACTTCTGGCCTAAGACTACCACTCGCCATTGCCACCACATCCATCTTGTGTTTGACGGTGTGTAACATCTGCTTGGCTTGTTGTCACTGAAATCTGTCACTTTTTCCATTCGTCCATTCTGTACGGAGGCCAGTATCGTTGAGCAGCTACTGTCAGTGAAACTACCGCTTCTTCTTAGACATGTGCTTTTTTTCTTATATTGATGGCTACGGTTTTTTTCCTTCTCTTTTTCGTTGTTTTTCAACGTGACAGCTCAACACCGGGTTGGTCTTTCAGGTTGAGCTTCGACTGGACTCCTTCCAGGAGATTGACTTCTTCAGCCATTCTGGAATGGTCAATTTTGCGGCGTATCGTGACTTGACTAAAGCAATGGTGTAGTGACCAGCACCGCTGCTACTTTTGTGGGTAGCACTGCGACTGCTGTTGCGGTAGCGCGGTTAGCACTGATGCTACTGCGACTGCTGCTTCTGTTCCCGTGCCATCATCAACGGCTGCTACGGCTGCTGCTGCTCCTGCGGCTGGTCGTAAGCAATTGCTGCAGTGAAGTGCAGAAAAAGACGCTGTCGTCACCCCAATCACCTGCAGCAGGCCTGTCGGGTGTCATACACTCACCTTCTTCCATGCACTTGCAGAAGAACAGCAGGAACGAACGAGTAATTCAGTAGGTATGGTAAAGATTACTTTCCGCAATAACGAATATGTCAGAATCTACTATTTTTTTCCATTCTGGAAGGCATAACGCTTTTGCGTTTACCTGTTTTCGTCTTTTTGCTGTTGCCATGGATGCAGTATACGCTGCTGTTTAACTGCCCGCTAGAAACTATCATTATGAACACCGGATTTGTAATGCAAGTGATGCGTCTGATTGTTCAGACCTCATTGCGACCTAAAGCTGACGTTTTTCATTAATATAGGAACATTGTACTTTAGCCGGCCGCGTCCCCTTTCTAATGCTACCCCACCAGATGCTTATTTGTATGTTGCAATATATTCTTTAGCCTGTGGCTGCTACTGCTGCTTAGGATGTATCAGCTGAAGTAGTCACCGTACATTGCACAGCTCTAAGCCTGTGTGAGTCTGTATGCCACCTGACTATGCATTGAGGCTAGTTAATTAAATAACAGCTGCCGTGCTATACGTAAGTCCCCTGTTTTTTTATGTGCTTTATTTTTCGACAGGCACAACTGTGTGTCATATTGTGTCTCTCTTCAAAACCTGTTCCCTCTCGGACAACTGCTTGCAGAATTTGCAGGGAGCCATAGTGCGCTCTCCTTCCCTCTTTTTTTATCGCTGAAGACGTATATCCTTTCCCCCGATGTTGCTCTGCATCATGTGTGGTATTTTGCACTGTGCCCTCAGTGTGCAGCTCTTTGAACGAAAAATGTCAGTGAAGTCTATGATAGTGTATGTTCACCAGATATAATATATCTGGTGAACATACACATTATTATAATGTTCACTTTGTTCTATGCATTGTACAGTGCACTACTACTACAGTCGTCCCTCTTTAATCCGGCACTTGTTTATCCAGCACCCTTGCAAACCAGCACACTTTCTGGCAAAACGGATTTTTTCAGTTCATTTTCTACGCTTTACACGGCCTGGATTTTTATAGTTTTTCCCAATTCAGTGCTTTTGGGGCAAAACCTGGTCGAAATCCTATTCTTGTTATGGCTTGCTTTTTGGACAAAAAAAACTTCAGAAACATAATTGGAAGAGGATTCCATAGGGGATTGCAGAAAAAATTCTAAACAAACTCAAAGTTTGACCCATTTATGGGCAAAAGCTAGAAGTCCATCTTTTTCTGAATGGACTGTAGAGGGGGACGACTGTACTACAGTATGACTTGTGTGGTTGCAGTTTTTATTAAGTGCGCTGGTATTATCACAAATGCTGCGTCAAGATTGGCCAACATGCTTTGATGAAGTCACAAGAACTTGGATCTGATCTTTTATCCTCAATCTAGGAAGTTTTGGGACGAATGGTTGGAAATTTTAGCAACGTCTGGGTCCCACGGCGTGTGGTGCACATGTGACTCCTACTCATAAGAGCATGAGATCAGCGCCGGAGCAGATCGCAAAAGTTGAACATCGCCCAACTTTCCTACATGTAGCCCTCGACACCGGCATCAAGAGTACTCTTGTCGGCATGTGATGCACTAAATTTAATACCATAGATAATTTTATGGTCAGTTTCGGCAGGCATTCCACTGGATCACATATAATAACTGAATTTCATAGGGAGAGGTTGAAAGAGGCACCCCGTGTCCCGGTCCCACAGTCGTTAGCTCTTTTTGTATTCGCCTGGGTAGCTACCGGCAGCCAGTACATGCCCGAGTATGTGGTGTGTGTGTGTGTGTGTGTGTGTGTGTCACTGTGTGTGTGTGTGTAGGGATTCACTGGCCAGAAATAGTCACTTCAAACAGCTGTGTGGTGGATACCAGGCTAAAAATAGTGGCGGTCAATTCATCAGCCTTGCAAGCTGTTGAATGGTGTAATCCCAGCACAAGTTGCTATGTTTAACATAGCTGTTCGCCATCATCGCTTCCGCGATGGGCATGTCTGAGGTGAGGTGTGTGTGTGTGTGTGTGTGTGTGTGTGTGTGTGTGTGTGTGTGTGTGTGTGTGTGTGTGTGTGTGTGTGTGTGTGTGTGTGTGTGTGTGTGTGTGTGTGTGTGTGTGTGTGTGTGTGTGTGTGTGTGTGTGTGTGTGTGTGTGTGTGTGTGTGTGTGTGTGTGTGTGTGTGTGTGTGTGTGTGTGTGTGTGTGTGTGTGTGTGTGTGTGTGTGTGTGTGTGTGTGTGTGTGTGTGTGTGTGTGTGTGTGTGTGTGTGTGTGTGTGTGTGTGTGTGTGTGTGTGTGTGTGTGTGTGTGTGTGTGTGTGTGTGTGTGTGTGTGTGTGTGTGTGTGTGTGTGTGTGTGTGTGTGTGTGTGTGTGTGTGTGTGTGTGTGTGTGTGTGTGTGTGTGTGTGTGTGTGTGTGTGTGTGTGTGTGTGTGTGTGTGTGTGTGTGTGTGTGTGTGTGTGTGTGTGTGTGTGTGTGTGTGTGTGTGTGTGTGTGTGTGTGTGTGTGTGTGTGTGTGTGTGTGTGTGTGTGTGTGTGTGTGTGTGTGTGTGTGTGTGTGTGTGTGTGTGTGTGTGTGTGTGTGTGTGTGTGTGTGTGTGTGTGTGTGTGTGTGTGTGTGTGTGTGTGTGTGTGTGTGTGTGTGTGTGTGTGTGTGTGTGTGTGTGTGTGTGTGTGTGTGTGTGTGTGTGTGTGTGTGTGTGTGTGTGTGTGTGTGTGTGTGTGTGTGTGTGTGTGTGTGTGTGTGTGTGTGTGTGTGTGTGTGTGTGTGTGTGTGTGTGTGTGTGTGTGTGTGTGTGTGTGTGTGTGTGTGTGTGTGTGTGTGTGTGTGTGTGTGTGTGTGTGTGTGTGTGTGTGTGTGTGTGTGTGTGTGTGTGTGTGTGTGTGTGTGTGTGTGTGTGTGTGTGTGTGTGTGTGTGTGTGTGTGTGTGTGTGTGTGTGTGTGTGTGTGTGTGTGTGTGTGTGTGTGTGTGTGTGTGTGTGTGTGTGTGTGTGTGTGTGTGTGTGTGTGTGTGTGTGTGTGTGTGTGTGTGTGTGTGTGTGTGTGTGTGTGTGTGTGTGTGTGTGTGTGTGTGTGTGTGTGTGTGTGTGTGTGTGTGTGTGTGTGTGTGTGTGTGTGTGTGTGTGTGTGTGTGTGTGTGTGTGTGTGTGTGTGTGGCTCGCCCTCTCATGTTGCAAGGCCCACTGTGGGGCATGTGGTCGGTGCTGCCGCTCTACTCGTGGCTTCCAAATCCATAGCTGCCAGAGATGGCTCTCTCGTCGTGCCAATTGAACATGGTCCCTGACCTCTCGGCAGACTGCCGACTTTCTGCCGTAGCTCCTCGTTCTATGTTGTCGGCCCCGCAAAGGGACACGTGACCGTGATGGCAGTGCTTACCAGGACCAGGACCCGGTGTGTGTGTGTGTGTGTGTGTGTGTAATCCCAGCACAAGTTGCTATGTCTAACATAGCTGTTCGCTATCATCGCTTCCGCGATGGGCAGGTCTGAGGTGTGTATGTGTGTGCGTGCGTGCGTGCGTGCGTGTGTGTGTAATCCCAGCACAAGTATTAGTTGCTACGTCTAACATAGGCTGCGTTTACACGACAACGATTGAAAACGATTTGCGTTTACACGACAACGAAGTAGGCCCTAAACGGAACGAAATCATTGCGTTTACTACTATCGTTTACACGACAACGCCCGAAAACGATACCTAAACGGAACGAAATGGAAACGCACTTCAAAGTGTTTTGAAACGTTTTCAAAACGTTTTCGTTCTTGTGTAAACGGTGAAAACGATTGGAAACTGAGCGCGGTCATGGAAACCATTCCGCGCGGGACTGTATTTCGCGGGAAATACCTGACCTTTGCGACCACCAACACGTACCAACTCCAACTAACGTGTTACTTCCCGCCCTTTCGCCAAGTCAGCACGTGCTAACTCCAGCCTGATCGCCCGTTTTCCGTTTTTGTGTAAACAGTTCAAAACGATTTGCCGTTCTCGTGTAAACGGTTTGAAAACGATTCGAGGCCAGCCCGTTTTCGTTCCGTTTCGTTTTGTTTCATCTCCGTGTAAACGCAGCCATAGCTGTTCGCTATCATCGCTTCCGCGATGGGCAGGTCTGAGAGGTGTGTGTGTGTGTGTGTGTGTGTGTGTGTGTGTGTGTGTGTGTGTGTGTGTGTGTGTGTGTGTGTGTGTGTGTGTGTGTGTGTGTGTGTGTGTGTGTGTGTGTGTGTGTGTGTGTGTGTGTGTGTGTGTGTGTGTGTGTGTGTGTGTGTGTGTGTGTGTGTGTGTGTGTGTGTGTGTGTGTGTGTGTGTGTGTGTGTGTGTGTGTGTGTGTGTGTGTGTGTGTGTGTGTGTGTGTGTGTGTGTGTGTGTGTGTGTGTGTGTGTGTGTGTGTGTGTGTGTGTGTGTGTGTGTGTGTGTGTGTGTGTGTGTGTGTGTGTGTGTGTGTGTGTGTGTGTGTGTGTGTGTGTGTGTGTGTGTGTGTGTGTGTGTGTGTGTGTGTGTGTGTGTGTGTGTGTGTGTGTGTGTGTGTGTGTGTGTGTGTGTGTGTGTGTGTGTGTGTGTGTGTGTGTGTGTGTGTGTGTGTGTGTGTGTGTGTGTGTGTGTGTGTGTGTGTGTGTGTGTGTGTGTGTGTGTGTGTGTGTGTGTGTGTGTGTGTGTGTGTGTGTGTGTGTGTGTGTGTGTGTGTGTGTGTGTGTGTGTGTGTGTGTGTGTGTGTGTGTGTGTGTGTGTGTGTGTGTGTGTGTGTGTGTGTGTGTGTGTGTGTGTGTGTGTGTGTGTGTGTGTGTGTGTGTGTGTGTGTGTGTGTGTGTGTGTGTGTGTGTGTGTGTGTGTGTTGGTACGTCTGTTGGCTCTGGGTTCCCAGTACCCAGTTGCCGAGGCTGGTTGGTAGAATAACTCCAATTTCACTTCAAGGTACCAGTGCATCTAGTGTCTGCTTTTATCAAAGCAGGGTGCTGTCTATACTGGTTACCCCAGCAAGTGTAGGGTGTGCATAGGTAACTGTCTTGGCCGTCCTATTCCGATGTACTACATGGCTTCGCCAGTTGTGTGGATTAGACAGTTATCTGGCGCTTGTCTTGATCTGTTTCAATCAGAATCAGATCCGCTATCGTTGCTATAAGAGAAAATCTGTGGGTGCACATCCAGTGCATTCGCAGATTTGCGTGCTTCTCTTGCGACGGGCGTATACATGGTACATGGTACATGGTGTGTGTGTCGCACATACTGAGGTGTGGTATGTGGGATCATTTTCAAGTCCACCCATAGTTTGGGGATTTCAGGGGCTGTCGGCCGTTGAGCCGTTCAATGGCCAGTTGAGTCCTCTTTCCAAGATTCCTTTTGAGTTCCTCTCTCCCATCTCCCGGGAAGACCCACGTGACCAGTTTTGGCAGTGAGCAACAAGTACAAGTGTGTGTGTGTGTGTGTGTTAGTGTGTGTGTGTGTGTGTGTGTGTGTGTGTGTGTGTGTGTGTGTGTGTGTGTGTGTTATGTGTGTGTGTGTGTGTGTGTGTGTGTGTCGCACTTACTGAGGTGTGGTATGTGGGATCATTTTCAAGTCCACCCATAGTTTGGGGATTTCAGGGGCTGTCGGCCGTTGAGCCGTTCAATAACCAGTTGAGTCCTCTTTCCAAGATTCCTTTTGAGTTCCTCTCTCCCCTCTCCCGGGGAGACCCACGTGACCAGTTTTGGCAGTGAGCAACAAGTACAAGTGTGTGTGTGTGTTGTGTGTGTGTGTGCGTGTGCGTGTCACGCACATGCGTGTCCATTGTATTGGCGTAGAGGGTAGGTCGTTGTTGCTCCAGCCTTGAAACCAACAGCCGTTGAACTAATCCAGGCAACTCGTAGGAGAATCAGGGAGGAAGTTGGCCACGGACTGGCTGAGCTGAGCTAGTCAGGTAGCAGTTGTCAGTTTATGTACTACGAGTACTCTTGCTTGTATCAAGAGTACATAACCCGGGTTATGTACTCTTGCTTGTATCAAGAATATGTGCTGCAAGCGCACGTGCAAGCGCGCGTCTGGCGGTCTGCCAGCTGTCTTCCTAGCGCCTAGGCTATCGCCTGCAGCCTTGCGCACACCGCCCCGCGAGATAGCGCTCGGCCGCGAGAAAGAAGGAACACTTCAAAAAAGGGAATTATTTTTGCATTTGAATCGAAAGTAACAAAAACTTTGCCCTTTTCCATTTCATCGATACAGAATCTAGAACTACAAACGACGGTGTATTTCACCGCTGCTGATCAGTGTACCCCATGAGTTTGCGTTTGGGTGCTGTGCAACTGCTTTGCCGGAAAATGTCTACTTTCAGCACTGTTCAGAGAGGCGCAGAGGCCACTGAGTCCTTTCGCCTGTTTTTCCGCAATGGCAATGGTGCCGCAATCTCGCCATTCCACGACATTCCTCTTCTGAATGACCCGGACAAGCACGTGTTCAACATGGTGTGCGAGGTTCCACGGTTTAGCAATGCTAAAATGGAGATGGCAACCAAAGAGCCGTTGAACCCAATCAAGCAAGATATCAAGAAAGGCAAACTGCGTTACGTGGCGAACGTGTTCCCGTACCATGGTTATCTCTGGAACTACGGAGCCATTCCTCAGACCTGGGAAGACCCTGGACACAAGGACGCACGTACTGAGTGTAATGGTGATAATGATCCCATCGACGTGTGTGAGATTGGACATCGCATTGGCAAGCGTGGTGATGTCATTGCTGTAAAACTCCTTGGTGCCCTGGCCATGATCGATGAAGGCGAGACTGACTGGAAGATCATCTGTATCGATGTCAATGACCCACTGGCTGAGAAGCTCAATGATGTAGCTGATGTAGAGCGTGAGATGCCAGGCCTACTCGATGCTACTGTTCGATGGTTCCGCGTTTACAAGATGCCTGACGGCAAGCCGGAGAACAAATTTGCCTTCAATGACGAGTTCCAAAGTGCCGAGTTTGCCCGCTCTGTCGTCATGGAAACCCACGAGCAGTGGAAGGCACTTGTTAATAAACAGACGTCCTCTGAACTTGCTATCAGCAACACGTGCCTTGGCAATGAGTCTTCGGTGGACAGCGAGAAAGCCGATAGTACTGTGTCGGCAGCTGCGGAAACAGGACCTTCGGCACCTATTTCAGCTAGTGTTGACACATGGCGCTACTGCTAGAAAGCCGTCATTCATGATTGCCTTGCCTTTTAGCTCCGCTGGTGATTTTCTGCTTACTTTTACTGTCTTTTGTTTGAGACTTTTCGATTTATTTTTTTCTAGGTCAGTTCTCTGAAACTGCGGAGTACCGAATTTCTCGAGTTACTGTGCATGCACAGTGCAACTGGATGTGAAGAGGAGCGTTGTAGAACTCAAGTTTCAACATGCATTCTTTTTTTTATTTAATATTTTCTCTGTCTCCTGTATACTGTATTCTACAGAATCTAGGAATGAACTCATAACATCTTACTTGCATGGTTGGCTTGCTAATGGTGTGCAGCAATGTGCTGACTATCTGACTATCGCGTAGATGCTTAGATCCCCCGCATGCTAGGCATGCTTTCACGTGTGCATGTAGCTTGTGTGCAGTTAAGGTGAGAGCGTTCCTTGGAGAGCTGTACATAGGTGATAACTCCTTGAACGGCAAAGGAACTGACTCTGAGAGAGTGCATCACAAGTAGGGCTGAGTCGGGTAGCATTTTCTTCGGGTATCGGGTTTGGGTAGTTTTCCACGGGTAGCATGGGTACCCGATCGGGTAATGTTTCCATAGTAACACCACAATGCACCCCTTCCCTTGCACACTGGGTAGACATGCGGAGTATTGCATGAACTTGTACATGTGCACTGTACATGATGTCATTGCGACTTCGGGTTTTCGGGTACTATTCTGTACCCGTCTATCCGAGGTCCTCATGGGTAGCACGGGTACCCGACTATACCCGTGCACACCAGTGACACCACTACTCACAAGTACAGACATGTACATAAACCAGAGTGTGTACCGGTGTTTTAAGGAGATCGGCAACTTTCGTCCGTACTCCTGCAACCCATGATTGTTGATGCCACACGAAATTAATGATGTTGGAAGTATCAAGAATGGGAACATGGTTCTGACTACGACCAGTTTCCAGGGCCTCTGTCTTCAGGCCATAAATATCCATTGTTCGCTACTCTTTTTCTAGAACAACAACAGGAGGACACATTGTGTTGAGAACAGAGAGCCCTACACATACTGTATAGCCCGTGTACAGTGTATAGGCCCCGGGCGTATAGATTAGAATAGCAGCCTCGATTTCCTGGGCGTATGCAATTCCCCCCCCCCCCCCCCCCCCCAGTCCGCCTCACACCTATCTGCATTTTTTAAGCCCAGCTGCCTTCGTGATCTCGGCACCTATGCCCGCGACAGAAAACAATGGAGTAACATCTGCTCAGCCATTTAGTCTAGTACTGCTCTTCTTAAATTTGACCTTTATTACAAGACTCTTCTTTTCTTTTTCATTTCGTTCTCCCACTCTCACACACACATGCTCACAGTTAATTCTGCCGTCGTGAGTCCCATTCGGGACGGATACGAGAATAATAATAATAATAATAATAATACGAAGTAGTGGTTGCGACCTCGGCGATGATTTGTAAGAAAAGGGTTTGCTCCCCACACCGGAGCTCGCGCTATTCCGCCGACTTTACTTGACACTTGACTGACTCACGACTGCCATCCAAAGCACACGAGAAGTCCATCGTGTGCTCTGGATGGCAGTCGTGAGTCAGTCAAGTGTCAAGTAAAGTCGGCGGAATAGCGCGAGCTCCGGTGTGGGGAGCAAACCCTTTTCTTAATAATAATAATAATAATAATGCAATTGCGCAAGGCCACGGGCGTATACTTCGAATATAATATTATGTTTAAGTTCTCCCCCAGGCTGGCTCGATACGACTCGAAACTATCCATTTGTGCTAGTACTAGTACTGGTATTGCCTGGGTGTATTCATGGGCATGGGCATGGGCATGGGCCGGCGCTATTTTGAAACAAAAGTGTTGACTTCCCCTGACTGGGCGTGTACACGGAGGGTGGGCGTATACAGGGCCTAGGGGCTTTTACGGTACTGTGAAACCGGAAAGCTTTTAAAACGACCAAAAAGCTTAACTTTTTTTGTTATTTTGGCATGACAACGTGCAGTTTAACGATGCCACCTGGCCACCCATCTGTATTGTATGCGCATCTTTACGTTAGACTTTCCGGTTTTACAGCAATACATGTATGTAATTTAGCCCAGCGTTCCCTATGTAGGCCCTGCACATGCTCTGATACAGTGCGTACTCCAGTACGATTTTAGGTGTAATCCAAATTTACGTCAGGTTTCTCTACCGAAATTTGCCGAAATTTTTAAAGTTACACTGAAACTAACAGACAGTACACTGTACATGCACGGGTAGGGCAGTACAGTGTAGACTGCGTAGATCTGCGTGTCAGTGATATCGATAGTATTATTATAGTGTGTTCCTGACTGCAACATACAGTAAATATTTCCATATTCATAAACCATAATCGCGATGCACGTGGTGGACAAATCCGTTGGATTTAACAGAAACATAGGCGAAACCTTGCCAAATACGACCAGAGATTTGAAAATATTGCACAGTGTAGCTAGCAGCACTCGAGAGCAGCAGCAGGGCCGGGTAGGCCCGCCCGGTACAGTACAGGCAGAGACAAACCACCCGCCAGCGCCTCAACAAAAGTAGGTCAAAGAAGAAAGAACCGTTGCGATCGGCGATCGATCGCGGCTCTTTTGTCTTCTCCGTGTTTTTTTTTTGCCTACATCTCTAGCTCTGAGATTCCGCAGAGATTGTGTTGCATTCAAATCTTGGGAAGTACAAAGTCTTGCTCACGTACCGAGTCACACTACTTTTTTCTGTAGTAGAACTAGCTCTTTGGACCGACGCACCAATCCTGGAGAGAGAAACAAATTGGTCCTGTGCCCGATCTTGTCCCGTGAGTATTTGACCAGAAAACGATTTACATGTAAAGCTTTGTAGGTCAAACTATAGGTACGCGGTGAAGGGCACAAGGCCATACGGGTATCATGTCCCTTCTGAACTTTCTGGAGAGTTGCTTTGGTAATTATTTCTGTCGAAGTTGGGCCAAGCGATACATAGTTATTATAGCCGGAGGACTACTTCCGAGCTTCATGCACAGAGTGACAGAGTTCAACCATCGAGCATTCAGTGATTCACTGCGTCGTTGTCCAGTGTCTCTGGCTAGCTTTGTTCTTGCTAGTACACTGAGGACATGACTTGATTGTATCGAGCACTGTCGTCAGTGTCGAGTCAGTAGTACCCTTCGCCTTGGATGTACGATTTATTGCAGCTGAAGGCTTATGGCTATGTGCAGTGTTTCTTGTAGTACAGCTGTACACTGTACATCTGGATAACAGTCCCTGAGTGGAGCTCGTGTGTTCCTTTGTTGGTCTGGTTCAGTATTTGGGACCTTTCGTGGACACCTTGAGCTTAGGCTACGCAGTCTGCAAGGCTGTACTCAACCAATAATGTGTTTAAACCATTTACATTCTGTACATGTCGTATGAAAAACAATTGTCTACGTTATCGTTCATATCACCATGGATCTGCCCGGTGTGCCAAGTTTTTTTTGTGCTGCAAAGTCCACAGCATGTGCATCATGCAAAACACATGTTCACAACAGGGAGGTTTCGCGCTCTATTTTGCTAGAGGTGTGTGTGTGCATCACGGCGTCAATGCCAGCCTGAAATTGATGAAGAGCGGCTTGACCCAGAGATCTTCACTGTAGGCCAGAGACGGCACTACTCCTACGCTATGGTGTAGTCGTCGTACTGGCAGAAACCATTCAACTTTTCTTCAGACTTTGAAACTCCCTCTTCCTGTGAAACTGCGCTGGCAACATAGCCAGCCCTCACGGTGCCCCACATACTTCACATGCAAAGTATCACACATGGAGCCCGGATGCACGTAGAGACATTAGCCAATCATCCTAGTTTTGCTGTGGTGTATCCCAGAACGGAGAGCACCTTCTGAGTATTATGAACTGGGACGTTGCCTACAGCCGCGCTGCTGCGATCTGCTGATAGGAACAAATCTACTCGTAGTCGCCGGAGGTTGATTCATAAATCAAATCGTTACCAAATGCATTGAGCAACAAAGTGGAAACACTCAGTCCATTATCAATTTGAAGTGCATGAAGACCTTACTTTGTCGGACTTGAGTTGAGGCCAACGAAAACTTAGTTTCAGACTTGCTTTCGCACACATCTCCCGCATCTTGCAACTTCCGATGCAGCGAGCTGGGGACCGGAGTCACGAAAGGACAAGTACATGCGTCATGCATCATGTACATGTACATACATGTACCATAATGTGACTGCGTCTGCATGTGTTTGTGATCAACCAACGCAGCACTCAGCTAAACGGAAGATGATGGTTAGGTTTTGCTTCACGTGGTGGGATTGTGTAGATCTGAGTACTTACCGGATGTGTTCATATACGCCACGTACCACCAAGAATACATAATGTACTCTTGGTACCACAAAGAAAACGTTCTCCTCCATGTTCACATCAAGAAAATCACGTAGACGGTGCACATGGAATTCCCCGTTCCGAATTATTCCAGCTTTCTGAAGGTCTGCTGCCAAAATTTAGATGGTACACCAGATCTGTACGCATTTTCTCTGTGTGTACCATGACATAGAGATCCTCGTGTCTCTGTTGAAATTTGGACTCAAAGCCATAGACTCTAATCCAGCCACATTTTCTTTGCATTATTCCTCCACACTTCATGCGAAACAGAACCTCTGCCTTTGTCTGGGTTCTAGTATCCAGGATTCATCCATTTGTGTGTGTGTGTGCGCGCGTGTGCGTGTGTTTGTTATTGTTGTTGAAATACATAGGACTCCAGGATTGCTGGTGTGATTTCTGCTGATGGCCGACTCGCCCTCTGCGGAGGAAATTGCTGTACAATTGCTGGCGTCTGGTAACACAGGGGTGGTGGCAGATGAGGACGGGTGGCCGGATCTACATGCTGCCATTGCTACCACAACTGCGTGTGCTCGGGGCCATAGCAGGAGTAACCGCAGCTCAGATGCCATTGCCTCAGCTCTGATTGAGCGCAGTGTTCAACAACACATGGACTCTCCTCTGACGATTGCTGTCACTGCTACGCGTGGTGCTGCGTCTGACGTTGACATGGCAACAGAGCCTGTTTGTGCTCTTGAAACCCACCACACACCTGCAACAGCAGGGGCAGCAATGGTGTCCGTAGGAGGATCTAATGCAGCTGGTATTGCATCAAGCCTGTCTAGTGTCATGTCGGCTGTAACCGTGGTGAACCCTTTAGGGACGCCTAGTCGAGCTGCCTCGTCCACCACTCAGTCCATTACGCCAGTTAGTGCTTTATCTTTTGCAGCATCTGACTCCTCACCAGCATCAGCTCTGATGAATGCCGTGCATGAGGAGCTCCGGTCTCTGGCCCGACATTTAACAAGCCCTGAACCTAATGTTCAGCAGGTTCAAAGCCTGAAGGACATTCTCTCGGAAGCCCTTCGTAGACAGGGGGATCTAGCCAGCGGCCCGGCTGCCTCCCGTCGTTTAGCTAGTAACCTGGCGTCGGTTGCAGCAACACATTGTGTGCACATGATGACAAATAATGGCCTTCCGTCTCCCGCCGGTGCGAGTACGTCACAAACACCTGGTCCTGCCTCCACGCCGGTCTCCATTGTCAGTGCCTCCATACCGTTCACTTCAGGTTCTTCAAACGCAACTGACCACCGCAACGCGCTAGCAACATCCAGTAAATCACGGAGTAGCACTCGAACGCCAGTGCGAACCAACACCGGTGGTCGCGTTCCACATGGCACTCGGGCGACGGATGAAGCACAAGAGCTCTACCTGAAATCAGATCCCATGCTGATGCGCGTAGAGGCAGATAGCCATTCGGTGGACAAGTCTCCCGTTTGGCGTTATCGCTGTCGACAGTGTCATGTCTTGTTTGATCACCGGCGTGAATTGGAGGCTCACTTCTCCGAGCACCGTACTCTGACCAAATCTTGGATCTGCCATGTGTGCGGCAAGACATTCACCCGTGCTGATCACCTCAATCGCCATAGCCAATCGCACGATCTGCCAGAGTTCATATGCCAGATCTGTGGTTGTGCTTTCTCTCGTTGCTCATTCTTGGACCGGCACTGGCGGTTGGCCCATGGCGATGTGACCGCCATACCATCTGTTGTCCAGCATGCCGCTGCCAACAAGCGATCGGCAGATGGTGTTTCCGACCAGCCACCTGCTAAGCAGAAGCGTGTTATGCACAGCGAGACGGCCATTGGCATAAGTGGAGATGTCAGGTCCACTCCACCACCATCGTCCGCAAATGACACCTCTGCTGTATCTCTGACGAGTCCAACAACCGCTGCTGCTGCTGCAGTAACAGCATCCGAACAGTTAGCTGACTTAGAAGTAAGGGCAGCTGCTCTAGCTGAAGCAATGACGGCACCGTCCCCATCAGGCGCTTTTTCCAGCACTTCCAAAGCTGCAAGCCAGTCATCACCGAGCGCTGGTGTGAAGCAGCAGCAGCAGAAACCTGGTCATCCGTGTCCACTCTGTGACAAGGTGTTTGTGCGCTTTGACCATATGCTGCGACACAAGCGCGTGCACACAGGGGAGAAGCCGTTCTTCTGTGCTTTGTGTGCCAAGCGGTACTCTCGTGCAGATTACCTGAGAGAGCACATCATCTCTCAGCACAACACGACCAACGTCAAGTGTAAAGTCTGTCACCACGTCTTCCCCTATGTAACCTTGTACCGCAGTCATGTGTGTGGTCACGGCGAGGTGTTGCGCAACTGGTATATGCAGGGTGAGTTCCTTGACCAACGCGGCAATGTCATTCAGCCTTGTTTGGTGATTGGCAAAAGCGGGCCTGGTGCCAACAGCAATCCCAACTTTCAGGAGCTCGTCAAGGACAGCGACGGTATGCCCCATGTTGATGCTCCGCCCGACCATGGCATCTTGCCGTCAGACTTTGTACCGACCGCAACTATTGCAACCAGCTCTGGGGTTGGTGGTAACACTGTGACGCTTTGCCCACTGCCTGTTGTGTCAGCAGTACCTGGCTCGGACATATCTCTACTTGGCTCTGTGGCCAATGCCAATGCTGCCTCAGTGCTAGCAGCAGCAGCTGAGGACAACGCTGACGAGACCACCACCGTTCACGTTGAAATGGAGTGATACTTCACTGATACTCTCTCTATCTCCACATCCCGCATGCTGTCATGCAAGTGAGTGTATTTCTATCTGTACGCACTCTTTTCAATCGCTGTCGTATAAGTCAATGCCTGCTGCATTTTGTTCGCTCAGGGAAATCCAAGTCTGAGCTGTTTTTGTTTCGTCCCTTGTGTAGACTTTCTTTTCATTGTCACTCCCTGCCCCACTATTCATGATATTATCAACTGTTTTAGGTACCTATTGTGTAGTCGCTCGCTCCCGTGCTGCATGCACCAACAACATAGTATAACATTAGTGTCTTTATTAAGTCTATTCTTTTATGTGCCATGCTACTCTTTGCTGGCCAGACTTGTGCCCTGCATACAACCATCCTTGCTTTCGATTTCTCATCCTTCTCAAATCTATCAGTCTACGCATAGTCTGTAGATCTGGTAAACTGCTGTATCCATAAAAAAAGTAGTACCGCTTATAACACTGCTGCTGCCTCTACCAAGGCGTTGCTGTTTTCGCGCACAAAGAAAGAACCTCTTGGCTGCAGCCATTGTTCATTTTGTTTGCTTGAAGTAATAGTGTTTTGTCTAGTGTTTTGTCTATCATTGCCATACCAGTGTCTTGCATTTTTTGCATCTTTTTCTGTGGCATTTTGCTTGTTGATCAACCTAGGTCCTTCTAACCACATGCATGCGCTGCAGCCATCCATGGCAGTCATGCTGGAACCAGGTGTTTTTTTTTATTTTCAATGTTTCCCAGGCTTCTCAAGCGTGTTTGTTTGTTTTTATTGTTCCTTGTTATGATTGTAATGGTGGTCGCCTGGCCTGTGCTCAGTGTTGTTAGTTACGAGTTGTATACTGTGTTTCTGTGTGTGTCTGTCTGTGCTGTTGGGTCAGAGTTTCTATTTTCAAGTCAAGAGTACTATGAAAACTCTTGCTACTACCAAGAGTATGCATGTATATAATAATGTACTCTTGATACAACCCATGCATGCAACTGCAAAAGCGGGCCTGGTGCCAACAGCAATCCCAACTTTCAGGAGCTCCTCAAGGACAGCGACGGTATGCCCCATGTTGATGCTCCGCCCGACCATGGCATCTTGCCGTCAGACTTTGTACCGACCGCAACTATTGCAACCAGCTCTGGGGTTGGTGGTAACACTGTGACGCTTTGCCCACTGCCTGTTGTGTCAGCAGTACCTGGCTCGGACATATCTCTACTTGGCTCTGTGGCCAATGCCAATGCTGCCTCAGTGCTAGCAGCAGCAGCTGAGGACAACGCTGACGAGACCACCACCGTTCACGTTGAAATGGAGTGATACTTCACTGATACTCTCTCTATCTCCACATCCCGCATGCTGTCATGCAAGTGAGTGTATTTCTATCTGTACGCACTCTTTTCAATCGCTGTCGTATAAGTCAATGCCTGCTGCATTTTGTTCGCTCAGGGAAATCCAAGTCTGAGCTGTTTTTGTTTCGTCCCTTGTGTAGACTTTCTTTTCATTGTCACTCCCTGCCCCACTATTCATGATATTATCAACTGTTTTAGGTACCTATTGTGTAGTCGCTCGCTCCCGTGCTGCATGCACCAACAACATAGTATAACATTAGTGTCTTTATTAAGTCTATTCTTTTATGTGCCATGCTACTCTTTGCTGGCCAGACTTGTGCCCTGCATACAACCATCCTTGCTTTCGATTTCTCATCCTTCTCAAATCTATCAGTCTACGCATAGTCTGTAGATCTGGTAAACTGCTGTATCCATAAAAAAAGTAGTACCGCTTATAACACTGCTGCTGCCTCTACCAAGGCGTTGCTGTTTTCGCGCACAAAGAAAGAACCTCTTGGCTGCAGCCATTGTTCATTTTGTTTGCTTGAAGTAATAGTGTTTTGTCTAGTGTTTTGTCTATGATTGCCATACCAGTGTCTTGCATTTTTTGCATCTTTTTCTGTGGCATTTTGCTTGTTGATCAACCTAGGTCCTTCTAACCACATGCATGCGCTGCAGCCATCCATGGCAGTCATGCTGGAACCAGGTGTTTTTTTTTATTTTCAATGTTTCCCAGGCTTCTCAAGCGTGTTTGTTTGTTTTTATTGTTCCTTGTTATGATTGTAATGGTGGTCGCCTGGCCTGTGCTCAGTGTTGTTAGTTACGAGTTGTATACTGTGTTTCTGTGTGTGTCTGTCTGTGCTGTTGGGTCAGAGTTTCTATTTTCAAGTCAAGAGTACTATGAAAACTCTTGCTACTACCAAGAGTATGCATGTATATAATAATGTACTCTTGATACAACCCATGCATGCAACTGCACGATCCAAAGGCGGGAGGGGTACGAGTCACTGCATAAGAAAGCGTAATTATACCAGCAGTATGTCCAGTGTGCCCTGATCAAGGAGCCAGAAACCCAATAGTAGAACGTGTGTAACCCATGCAGTCCATACCAGTACCATGACTATAAACATTTGGTGTGTTGTTGATTTTCTCTAAGATTCCGTGCTACACAGTAGTATTCAGTCGGTGAGCGATATACTAGAATTATAGGCGAGTGAAAATTGCCAAAAAGAAGGAAACTAGTGAACTGTGAGGAAGCACATCAGGGTGCTAGAGAAGAAAGAACTGCTCCCAATTCCAAACTGCATGGTACTTGAAGTAGATAAAAGTCAAACAGAATAATAAGTATCTCTACGTATTGTAAATGTTAGTGCCCTCCTTGTTGATTTTAGTGAAATAGAACGGCAGTGACCGATGCAGAAATCTTTGATACAACAGGAGGCAGATTGTAAAGTTCCCAAGATGCTAATATTCAATGGAAATTTGGTCAAAAAGCAAAAGCAAATAAACTGTAAAGCAAGAATCAAAGCGCGGATGAGAGCAAAATCAAGGAAAATAAAGGCGATGATGTTTCATGAAGCAGAAAACAAAGGTGTGTGTGGGGGGGGGGGGCATAGCCAATATTTACAGTATAGGACAGGGATGATTATGTATGCTCTGAAGTAGAAACTTCAGAGAATGTAGATGCTATTTTTTTCCGAATCAAACTACTAGCTGAAGTTACAGATAATGTACATTGACACAATGATGGATGTCTGGTGCAGAATGGCTGTACAAGCAGCGACAGCGTTGGCTGGCTGGTAAGAAGTGGTGATGGACTGGCAGGACTTACATGAGCGTGCGACCGAGGATGGGCATGGTGGGGATGTCATGGGGATTGGGTTTGTCGACTAATGCGCCTGCCTGGTAGGTGGCTTCGGACACCTCACCAGTCACACTGCGCACAGTGAACACACCATTGCGCTGGTTGCAGTGCCATGAACCGTCCGAGATCGTACCAACCGTAGAGGTCTCCTTGCCGGCACCGTGGCGCATGCCATACTTCCACTCGCCAACAAACTTGCCCATTGGCGATGTCTCCACACCAGCGCCGCAGCGCTTACCAGCCACATAGTGTCCAGTGTAACATGTGTTACTTCCCTTATGCGTGTACATGCCCTTGCCATGCGGACGATCATGTGCAAAGTCACCGGAATAGGTCTAGCAGATTCAGAGAAGGAAAGAGGAGAGAATGGATCCATTAGCTCTCAATATACCAGCAATGTGTGCGAATAAAAGCAATGTGTGTATACACACGCATGCATATACACACAAACCCATGTACACACACGCATGCACACACGCGCGCACGCGCACACACACACACAAATACACAATGTCATACACATTTTTTTGTGAGCTCCAGTGTTGGACGTGGGGCAGTCAAATTCTCAAAAATCCGAAACGTCTTAGTGCATAGGCAAGGCCCTTGTTATTCAAATAAGTCACATGTACTTCGAAGTACATGATTGTATAGTAAAACTTGCCAGATCCGGACGTCCCTAATACGAGCACGTCCGTCTACCAGGCACCTTTCTGACCCATCTAGAGTCAAAAGAATTGGCATTTCAACGGAAAAAACGTCCCCAAAACTAATGATTGTCCTTACAAATGTTGACTTGCATTCAGGAAGTACATGACATTGTATGTCAGTTCTGAGTAACGGGCAATTCCTGGTTACGGGCAGTGCTCGGTCCCAACCTGTCCAGACAGTCTGGGGAGTTTTACTGTAAATAGGTTGACTTCTGCAGACTACACAGAGTAACACTTCCTTACCTCGTCTTCATATGTATAACTTCCCTCTCCCTCGCGTACATCGTGTACCCAGCTGCCATCATAGTGACCGCCATTCGCATACTCCATTACGCCATAGCCATGGCGCTGGGCAAACTTAAAATCACCTATGTACACGGAGCCATCTGCGTACGTCATCGTGCCTCTGCCATGTACGTGGTTGTGTTTGAAGAGGCCACTGTATTCATCACCGTTGGCAAAGCGCATCTTTCCACTGCCGTGGCGAGCGTTGTATTCCCACATTCCTGTTTACAGTGCAAGATACCCACACACACACACACCACACACACACACACGCACACACACACACACACACACTCGCAAACACACGCAACACACGAACACACACAACACATGAACATACACAACACATGAACACACACACACCCATACACGTTGCACAATCAAGGTTTGCATTGAGTGCTACAACTTTCTTCAATGCAAATGAGCCAGGATTCAAACTGCACTCACAATTCTTTTGGGAACTCTCGCTATGCTATTGGTTGCAGCTCGGTCAAACCAAGCCCATCACAAAGAACTTTATAATTTATATCACTCGAAAGCTGAGTTCAATACCTTTCTAACAATGTATCATTCGTCAAAATTGGATGTCGTTGAAATGAGATACGGCGGTACAGTGATCGATGCACTTTGTATGGTTGTGTACACAATAGAGCAAGATAGATCTCGTCATCCGCCATTCGGGAACACTTTACAGCATGAGATATCTCATCATGGGAACTGAAAGGGTTAAAAAGGAGTGTTGCCAGCAACTGTCAAATTGAGCTTGCTTATCGTGTAGTGTACAGGACCCCCTGCATTTGACCATTCGACTAGTACTAGTACATACCGTCATACACACTGCCGTCCTGTGCCTTCTGCCAGCCTTGACCATGCCGTTGATCTAAACGCCAGTTGCCATTGTACTCAGCACCGTTCGCTTCCTTGAATGAACCATAGCCATGCCGGTGACCCTTCTCCCAGATACCATCGTACACAGAGCCATCCTTGTAGTTCATGATACCGGAACCGTGGAAGCAGTTGTGCACCAGCTCTCCTTCAAACCGGTCGCCATAGCGATTTGTGAATTTACCTTCGCCATCAAACTGTGATTCCAGCCACTGGCCATCATACTCGATCCCATTCTGTTGACCAAACAGCAAGGAAAAGAAAGATACGTATTAGAGAGGTTCCGGAGTACGATTTTTTTGTTCAATAGGTTACACCGGCAAACAGAGCAAAGCGATCACCAGAGCACTGTACGCAAAGCAGGGTTGCAAACCCTATAGCTACCCTGCAAAGGATACAACAAATGTGTACGGGTTTGTCACGTGATGTGAAGTGCTGTCATCACCGATCCCCATAGACTGGAGTTGCACGTCATGAGTTGTACACTCTTGGCGGTCATGTACTTCTGGTCCCACCACGAGCTCGGGAATCCGGGCGAGTGCAACACCCATGTTGTGAGCTATGGCCTGGCGTGGACACCAGCATGGTGTGAATGGAGACAAACATGGACTAGCAACATGGCATCCTATGGCACATACCAAGCAGTTCACATGATCTTAACCAAGACTGCAAATCTTGGCATTCCATTGATGGCTCCGGGAAAAAACACAAAGCTCTCACCTTGCACTTGAGCACACCATCACCATTCACTGTTGCTCGATCAAAAGCACCGGTGAATATATCACCATTGGCGTACTCGATCTTTCCGTCGCCCTGTGGAAGCGCGTTCTTCCACTGACCAGAGTATTGGTCACCACTGCAGAGCTTCAGCTCTCCTTTTCCGCACTGGACATTATTGCTCCATGTGCCAGAATAGACGTCAGCTGCATGGCAAAAAAGGACATGACATGACAACAGGAACAACGCTAATGTAAAAACAAATATGTTGGACTCAGTAGAGCGTCCAGCCCCTATATGATGTCCAACCCCTATATAGAGTCCATTGGTCCAAAATCCACTGTACAGAGTCCAAACTTGGAATCAACTGTGAGCTCAAAGTTTAGATGGACATCACTCCCTGTATAGAGTCCAGCCAATTGGCTTCACCCCTATATAGAGTCCATTGGTTCAAAATCAACCGTACGGAGTCCAAACTTTGAAATCAACTATAAAGATTAAAGAGTCTTATGTGGACAACACTCCCTGTATAAAGTCCAGCCAATTAGGCATCCCCTATCGAGTTCGAAATTAGACATAGGATCTGCTGTAAGCAGTGAATATAACCAGAAAACGGCCTCTCCCTTTAATCCTTTACATCATTCACTTCTCAATGTAAAAATATGTATTGAGGCGCCACTGCAGCCACTTCATTACATAAAAAAGCCTACAAACACCATCCTCAAATCAAGTGGTCTCTTCGCAGACGCTGCAAATTACAATATCTCAATCATGTAGTGTTGCCAAATAATTGTGCACGCACACACACACATGCACACACCCACACAACGCCAAGAAAATGCCTAGAAAAAAAAACAAGAATCGAAAGAGAATAATGGAGAGCCCAGGTTGAATTATTTGTTTTCAAATTATTGCGCGCGCGCGCACACACACACACACACACACACACACACACACACACACACACACACACACACACACACAAACTTGTACAACGTCAAGAAAACACCAAAAAAAGAGTAGAGACACAATACACACGCAACTCCAACAGCCATGCAAACGTCCACCCATTTACAAGTAAAGTCAAGAGGGATAACAAATAATTATACGAAACGAATGCATACCTGGGCGGATGCACGCACGTTTACATACATGTAGTAGTGTAAGAGAGTAACATAGTGCAGTAGTCGGCATAATACTAGCACATGCTGAGAGTGCAATAGCAAGCTTCACCATTGCTCATGGCCATGCAATGTTCAGCAGCACTCAGTTCCGCAAGCTTCTGAAAATCAGCACACCTGCAACAAATAGATAGCACAAGGATACGCTTATTACCGTAATGATGCATGGGAGCACACAACTACCAAGTTCTCAACGAATGTGAGGCTCAATGAAAATCAATCCACTCAAAGACCTGTGAACAGGTGACGGTGGGGACAATAATCTATTAGTAATACGAGGAATAAGATTGTTTGTGCACACTCAAGACGCACAGACACACCACCATACATGTAGTGTACACAGTGTTTCACTTCACTGCAACTAAATTGAAATGAGATGATTTGAACAATCTGTACAGCGTTGCCGTCAGTCAGTCTTCCCCAAGATGGAAATGCAATGATTTGTTGTCACGAGGCAGTTTCACTGACACAATGTCATGTTCGTGACATCAAAACGGTTACTTCAGGGAGAAGCTTTTTCTTGTCATTGGCATACAAGCAATCCTCCTACTACTACTAGTACACTGGCACTGCGTTTGTGGATCCCATAGTATTTGACATCATACTAGAGGAAGAGTGTCGTGGAGTTTCACATAATTATCACAGGGATAAAAATACATTTCTCATGAAATAATTATAATAATTGATGATAGCTAGACGATCGTATACGATTGATGCAAAGTCCTTGCAGTCCTTGAGGACTATTACGAAGTGGTTGATTACTTTTAGGGCATTCATTCAAGCAACATCAAACAAACGCGATACGCTCCTTGAAAATGGAAAAAAATTCAAGCATAACGACAGAACCGTGAGCAGACCAATCGAAACGAGTAAAAGATTCCTTACCTCAGTCATCGTCCTGCCATGTAGTTGGACAGCCTTTTGACACGGTGGTACAGGCAACTCTTGTCCAGTCAGACAGGGGTATCCTTGTGGCGTCGAACGAAAGAGAGTGTCAGTGTATCTGACTCGTCAGATTGGAACTGTGCTGAACTTTTCTCTTTCTCCGCTTTCTGCTTTCATCCCTCGCTCTGATGGAACCGTTCAAACGTCTTACTGGCAGCAATGGCCAGCCAAACAGGGGATCCTTGTGGCGTCGAACGAAAGAGAGTGTCAGTGTACCTGACTCGTCAGATTTGAACTGTGCTGAACTTTTCTCGTTCTGCAATTTCTGCTGTCATCCCGCGCACTGATGAAACGTCTTCAGAGAACCACAAGACGCTTTCCAGATTTGATTTTGAACGTCTCCTTATCCTCCTTGGTTACCTCGTGACAGATTACTGTCAGCAACTTCACAGCAGAACTGGCAGCCATGGCTGAAGTGAAGAAAGGAATGCGCTGCCACCAGGCAAGCAAAACTGAAAATGAATTGTTCTTTTTCGGGCACAACACACAGGACAGCGTGACTGGATAAAACTGGACTCCTGGACTGTGAATAGGGGACTGGTAGAAAAAGTGTACTCCTTATAGGGGATTGCGCGGCAGGTTGAAGCTGATCAAAACTGAGTGGACTCCTGGACTCTGTATAGTAGATTTTGGACCAATGGACTCTATATAGGGTGCTGGACATCATATAGTGCATGGACTCTATACTGAGTCCTACAAATATATCAGCACCATTTTTGTCATCTGCAACATCATCTTTTAAGATCATTGAATAGCTTCAGCGTCATTTCACAACGTAATGAACGTAATGAGGGCAGCGTGCCGTGCACAGCGCCCATAGCCAGGAGACCAGAGTTGCACGCTCTTGGGATTATGCACTCTTATGTACGTGCATACACTAACTGTGAGCAACATTGTTCTTTGAGCAGTGATAAACCACAACACGTATGCATGTCACGAGAAGAGTTGCCTAATAGATACCTAGCAGCATTACTCACCTGTATTGTAAGTCAGAGTACCCTCTCCGATACGCTCATTCTCCACCCATTCACCAACGTACGTTGTACGGTCACGCCATGTCATTTCACCTTTGCCGTGGCGCATGGCATCCAGCCAGCAACCATCAAACAGCTCACCACTAGCATAAGAGAACTTGGCAGTCCGGTGCACTATGTCACTAGCTCGCACTACTGCCGATTGGCCGACATTCTCCTCTGAAATACCAGTCCTCTCCTCTGTGCATGGAAACACAACATGACAACAACCAACATACACATCAACACACACACATGGATGCCACATGAACAAACAAAAAACATGCATACATACAAGTACATACGCACACGCACGCATGCGCACACACACACACACATACACACGAGCGTGCAGGGCGCGTGACGCCGGAATAAAGCAAATACCAGTAGCATACCCATATCTTTAGGAGGACCCAAGTTGTCGTTCTTCTCCTTCAGGTGGCTGAGAATAACACTGCGGATTTCGTTTAGCCAAAGACGCTTCTCGTTGATGGTCTTGACATAGATTGTATACGGTCTGTCGGGATTGTAGATCTGTGTTGCAAAGAAGAGAACAAGCGAGAAGGGTTGACATGAGCCAACACAAGACAATGCAATGTCGGTTGAAGCTGTGCTTCAACAAGTGCATACGTTTCACATTAGGGCAAGTCACATGAAAACACGGGTGAGTAGGGGTGACAGTTGGCAATGAGATCCCGAGTTCGAGTACTCTGATTTTCTCCGATTGAATATTCGAGTATTCTTCATCTCCTAAAAAGTGCACACTAAGGGCCTTAAAATCACATGATACGACCCCGATTGAACCGAGTAGCAGTCATTTTTCTCGGATATATTGGTTGGTGGGTCATTTGGGCTCTCTCTACTCGTGGTCAAATGTTCACCACACAGTCTGCACATCAATATCTGCCGACTGCTGCCCTGAAACTGTAGATTTCTATGGTAAATGCATGTACCATGTATGAACGAGTACTCTGATTTATTCCGAGTACGATTATTTTTGAAAAACCGAGCGAGTACTCGAGTACTCGGTATAATTGTTTCACCCCTACCCGGGGTGAGTAAAAAAAAGTGCTTTGAAGAACTTGATCAAGTCATGATATTCTTGAACGTCATAGCACACAGTGACTACAGTCCATTCATCGGAAACTGGCCCGCTGGCTTTTGAAAGTCGGATTTGGGCCAAATTGAGGATCAAAAACCCACTTTAAATCTCAAAAATTTGGGTTTTGGATCTGCTTCTCCGTACATTTTGCCATGGCATACCTGTCCTAATTTGGTAAAACCTGGCTGAATTTCTATTTCCCTGTTCTTGGACTTTTCTGGCCTCAAATGTGGCAAGGAGTAATTGCACGGGTCACACAATGCAGGATGTACTGTTGTTTTCACGATATCTACAACTATGTGAGAGAGACACCAAAAAGTTAGGGTGCCAGTTTCCAATGAATGGACTGTAGGAAAGTACACGGGCTAGTGTGAGTAGTGTTGCAAATTCAAATTGCAATACATCCAACCTACCTCAATAGCATCCTGGGCTGTTGTTTGCGGGTCATTCTGGTCCAAGTCATGCACCCACACCGTGCTCAGGTCCAGGGCGATCTCCACTTTGCCTTTGCTCTCGCCGCGCAGTGCAAACACGATCAGGTCATTGAAGAGAATGCACTGGTATAGCTTGCGGATACTGGTCAGGCATACCTACACACACACACACACAGGCACAGGCACAGGCATATGCACCGATGCAAGTGGCAAGAAGAAACATAGAAACGAAGAACAAGACAGAGGTTAGAAACCTGGAATCAACAAAGCACGGTCGTCATGTCATATGACCACCACACAGTGACTGCATTCTAGTTGCACACAACACAAATGCAGAGGATATACAAAAGTGACAGGAGGCACCTATTCTCCCCAAAATGTGTCTTCTCTTGGTCTCTGTTTCTCTGCAAAAAGCAAGGCTGAAAGGGGATAGCTATCCGACAAGAACAGCCTGATACACGTAGCATCCTTAAACAATGCTGAGAAACACTCACCTGTCCTTCTTTGGCCAGCTTGCGGCCGGGTAGGTCATGAGCATCGAGGCCAACCACTTGTGTGCGCAGATCACTCAGCGCTTTCTGGTTCTGAAGCTCACGGATCTGCTGATTCACGTGCTCGGTGATACGATCCAGCTTGCTAATGGCCTCTCTCAGCATTTCAAAGTCTGGATGCGTGTCTGGCGTGTGTTTCTGCACAGCACACACAGATGGCATACATGTACAGAGATATCACATGCATCAGAAAGGAATGGAGAAAAACACATACTCGAGTAATGCAAGGACAACAAACTGCCCGTCTTGCTACTGCAAACCAGAGTATGACAGACATGAAAGCAGCATAACAATGCAACGTCGATGGCGTTGGACGAACAAGTCAAGGAAGGGAATAAAGTACAACACCGGCTGATGCCAACCAACTCCCGCATCACTATACTACAGTGGCGGATCCAGCGATCTCTACAGGGGACTCCAGTATTCAAAACTGAATAGCTGATACATGTACATGGACACGCATTTGGTTGCCATTAGTACATTTACGAAATTTAGGGGGTTCCACGGAACCCCTCGTGGATCCGCCCCTGTACTACATAGCGCAGCCATGGCACGGGGCACTGAAGTGTCATGCCTACCCGTCAACCGCAATACATGTACAGGAGAGGTGCTCTGCAACATCCCAATGTACAGTGCATGACAGGTGAATGATCACAGCGGCAAAGCTGCTGCTGCATTAGCAGGTGTACGGGATACTAAATCGGATACATTAAAACCTGGTTTAAGCGACCACCCCCACGGTGCAAGCAAAAGCGGTCGTTAAAGCCAGGTGGTCTTTAGAACCAGGTCCCATACATTCGTGGTATATCGGATTATGCATGCATGTGCATGATTGTACTTCCATGTACTCATATTGACAGGTGTGGAGCATAGAATACTCCCGTGCAGGCAAAGCACACCTCACTGGAGTGCATGCAGTGCATTCTGCATTGTCACTTCAGTTGACTGCATCCACTTGCTTCAGAGCGCACTTCAACCCTGTTGCAGTCAACTCTGCCAGCCAAGATGGCACTTTTGGTTAGTTTTGGTCGCTGTGTGCAGGTCCAATATGGCACTTGGTACACAAAAAGTCAGTCGCTGATCGCGCAAGGCAGGTGGTCGCTGTATCCGGTGCTGTTTCTGTATAGAACTGTCCGTGCATGGAAAAAACGGTGGTTAAGAGCAGGTGGTCGCTAAAGACAGAGGTCGCTTACACCAGGCTTTACTGTACACGTACAATACACATACATCCTGAGTAACACATCCACAGAGACAAACAACTCCATGCATGTGCATGTACACCCACCAGTAGGTTCTGTAACAGTAGTAGGTAGCGAGGCATACGCTGTACTGGCGTAAGCAGATAGGATTGCAGATTGAGTCCTGTCGACACGCGCGCATCCTGGCCAGCAGACTGCAGCGTGTCGTTTACATCATTCTTGCGTTTTAACCTGGCAACTGCCTCTTCGGCATCGCGATGGTTAGCACAGTACACGGAATATACGTTGAAACGAGCGGCCTGGACAAATGCACAGACAAGGCACACACGCATCAAGCAAACGCACACATGAATACACAGTGCTACAACCAACATGTCTGATTCTGCAGTGCATGTAGCAGTTAGTAGAAGTTAGTTTGAGGCAGAGAACAAGTTAGCAGCAAAATCACACCTACACACAACCCTTCAGTTACTACTGGTACACCACAAAAAAGAGAGGGGGAGGGGGAAATATGTTAACTCAAAGTCTTGTGGCAATCATCAGACAACTGATATTGATTTAAAACCTCGGCTAGTGTATGAGAGGAAGGACAAAGTGTTACGAGTTATGACTAATGGTCCACCAACGTAACAAGATACAAGGGATAGAACTGACGGGGGCACTGAGACATTTAACGACCCGACACCTAGCCCTAACACTTCTACGAAGCGCAAACCGCAAAATACTTAGGTGCAGTTTTCATAGGCGGTGTGTACAGCATTGACTGATACGTGCAATCCTAGTCTTGACTGTGCAGAGAATCTTGGGGTACAGCTAGCTATTAACTTGTACTCTAGGTCACGCCAGGCTTGAAGTTTCGTATGCAAAATAAGTCGTGCCGACATTTTCAATTTTTGATACCGGCTCAGTCAGACTCTTGCTCTCTTTCCTATGGGAAAAAAAGCTCAGCACTTTGCGCATTGAGCACTTTTTCAGCAGCTTGTCAAACCTTTCTTTCATATACTATAATGTAGATGTCTATGAACAGTAGCCAGTTTCTGCATCACTTACTGTACACGTAAAAGCATCTCCAACCGTCAAATCATCTGACCATTTCATGAAGCGATCGTGCAGTTCCACCAGCAATTCACAATTAAATTCATAAATACTGGCGACAAAAACAACAAGAACAGCAGCAACAGCAGCATCAGCAGCAAAACAACATATACTTGAAATAATTATGAATGATACATGGCCAGAGAAACATTATGCAGTGGATCTTCTCAAGGCCCAGATTGATCTTATCTCAGCTTGCCACAAGCATTGGCGAGAAAGCACACAAAAAGGCACAAAGAAAATCGAGAATTACCGCAGTCTTCAGTTTCTCATACATAAAACAACTGTGGACTAAGATTTGCTATAGTGAATTCCAAGAATACATAACCAAGAGTGTGGAACATGGCGATCCCTTGGCACACAGCGGGTTTTTATTTTATTTTATTGCATCGGTCATTCGCAGCTGTTTGGCTCATTGATGGCATCATGCGTGGTCAGAGATCAAACGCGCAAAGAGATTGTAACTTTTACATCACACCTACATTAGCCAAAGCAGAACAACGCACAGCGGGTCCACGTGTCTGTACCTGATGACCTGACAATATATCGTCCATGACAAGCGCAGAAAGGCCTACACACGGGATCAGACTTCTTCCAAATAAATGCGACGCAATAAAAACATTCTGCCACGGATGAGTCCATCACAGCTCAAGACAGGAACTGCACACTCTTTGATTACGTACTCATGGTAATACCATACTAAGGTGGATGTGTAGCTTGACCTACCTTTCAACATTCATAAAGATAGTGTCTAGGTCCTTGCCCGACAGAACACTTTTTAGCGCACCCTTATACACCTGCAAAACAACACCAGCAGAACAAAAGCAGAGGCTGGACATCGTATTGCTACAGTTACAGATAAACATCAGTTCGGAATGTGGCAGTCAGACATGCACCTACAAACCCACACATGCTGCCATAAGCAGAAGAACACCAATATGGGCGTGTGAAAGTACATGCACACTGTGCGCAGAAAATAGTAGAAACCCGCCGAGCCCCTAACTGCATCTTGAAGTACAGCCCAACCCAGGCAAAAATCGTATATGGAGGAAGATGGGCATACGTTTCTTTGTACACCTGTTTCACTGTTTTACATTTCTGGGGCAGTAAAGCTAACACGTACCACACTCATTCTCAACAACAGACTTCTTACCTCTACCAACACCTCCAGGTTCTTGACATAGGAGTACTCAGTCGAATAGATCTCCTGACAGACACGGAAACGCTTGAGGCCAATTTCCAAATTCTCTGGAACTGGTACGGTGGGGGGTAAGCCAGAAATGGGTGACACCTTTACTATTTCCTCCTTTCTCACTGCTTTCCGCTTCTGAGCAGAAGAAAGAAGGCAAGGTAGAACACAACACCGGGCGAATTGAAATTTGATAAGCGATCACCAATAAACATGCTCCGTCACAAACTATTGAATACAATTCACACACTCACAAAGATAAAGCTGGGCGAGATGCGCACCATTGCTAGTGGCCTGACACATGACTACAAGCCACACATGATTGTGTATGTATGGCAGGTAGATTTGACCTTTTCCCATCCCTGAACTGCGGCACACTTCCCGATCCAGTAACAACAAAACTACACAATGGCCTGGATAGCCAGGTTTGTCTGTGTTGATGTGCAGTACTGTACCTCTGTTTGCGCCACCACTCATGCAGTTCAACATGATGGTCAATGGCTACCGAAAGTATTCAGGTAGAAATGGTGCAGATCAAACTACCATACGAATGCACGAGTGTATGTATGCAACATTGACTGAATCCATATTCCATATTGGAAACAGCTCCAATACACACACACACACACACACACACACACACACACACACACACACACACACACACACACACACACACACACACACGGTGGCCGACATGATGAATTACCGTTGACTGGCGCTTTGTAGCGGCGGCGACATCACGAGTCGGTGCTACAGGAGTAACTGGGGTAACTGGGGTAATGGGTAACGCAACGGTCGGCACTGCGGCCACGGGTTGTGCAGGTACGCTTGTCACATGTTGTCGCGTGCTCGTAAGCAATGGAGAATCATCCTCCTGCGCGGCAATATGTGACATCCTGACAACGACGTCACTGCTCGCCTTCCGTCCCTCGTCGCCTTCACGCACTATCGTACCAAACTTAGAGGGTTTGATGGAGCTGAATTCAGATGAGTCCTCGTCCTTCCAATCCACTATTACACCATCATCATCGCTGCCACTGGATTCCTCTGCGCAGTCTGCCTTGCCATTCTGGTTGGGTGCAGTTGTGTCCGCAGGACTGGAGCCTCGACCAGAACCGGACTCAGCAGTGGAGATCCCGGTCTGTCGTTTCGTTTTCTCTTTATCCATGGAGGAGCTACTGGTGGACTTCTTTGCAGACTGAAATATAAGTGATTTGCGTGACTGTTTAGCAGCTGCGCTATTGTCCAAGATCAGACCCCCTTCGATCCCATCGCCAGCATTCGGACGACTGGGTGCTGACGGTTTTTTCGCTCCAGGAGTAGTCGCTAAAGACGCATCGGACGCAGGATCTTTCTTACTCCCCAGCCCCCGAGCCATCGGTTTAGGAGGAGGCGGGCGTACTGGTGCATTGCTAGAGTTGCTGCCAGAAGAAGAATTGAATAGTTTTCGACGCTCAACTATGTCTGGTGCGACTGGTGTCTTGCGCTGGGATTCTTGCTTCGCTACCTCTAATTTCCTCTCTTCTTCCTTTGTCTTGGGCTTCATCTGGAACGCCATGGTGGATCACTTTCTACACGACCTAACATCTAAAACAAGCCAGGTATGGAGACCTGATCGTCACCTTGTGAAGAACCACATCTCCGAAGATCATTGACCGAATTCGCTACAAGATCAAGATGAACTGTCTCGAAAAATGTTGCGAAGTGACACCCAACAAATTATTACTTGCACCTCACTATCACACATCTAGGAGTCGCAAATCTTCAGACTCACGCCGTCCACATGTGCCAAGTGTGAAAGAATCGTGGCACGGCGCAACATGACGGCAGCTAGCTAGCGGCTAGAGTAGGCCAGTACAGAATCTGATAGAGTGTAGATCTACATGACTGTATGTGGACTACTCTCTGCGTGAGCGAGGTGCACCATGCAACAAGATAGCCCAGCTGCAACAGTTTTTGTAGTGTAACGACGCTTCCTACTCCTACTCCTACTACTAGCCCTCACGTGAGAAGAACGCCGCTTGCGCTTGTGAAGCTGATCCTGCTTTTCAGCCTTTTGTGAAGAATGATAATCATAACAGTCGACTAGTCATTGTACTCAATCTGCGAAGAATGATAATAAAAAATCACTCCTCAACTAATTCCAGACCAGAAAAAGAAGGGTGAGTGCAGCGCATGCACATGGTAAGTCGTGACAGTCCGTAGGCGTAGGTGTGCGAAGATAGACCATCATTCTACCTCTCTTTCGGAAGGGTGTTGTTTAGCTAGTGATAACTTGCTTTCCTTTGGCGTGGATGTAGACTTGTACAGTGTTTTAATAAAGTGTACCTATTCGTGTCGGACTGTTTGCATGTTTGAGTTTTAGGAAGTACAACGTAGCCTTTACTTAGCTGTGAACTAACTTGGCTGCGTGAACGGAGTGTCAAGAAACATCGCGTATTCTGTCAACAACACGGTCCACCGCCACTGCTGTCTAGTTGCTACGTTGCTACTACTACCAAGAGTCCATAAACTCTTGCTACTACTACTAGTTAGAATCGGTGGCAAAGCCAAGACCACTTGCTGCGCCACCGGTGAGTGGGGCGAGTTTGTGCCGGTGGCCATGGCCATACAGATGCAGCGCGGATACACAAAAATAATGTATTCCAATATCCTTGTGCACGGTGGCGGAAGTTGACATACGGAATACGAGGGTTGTGACAACCAACCAGGCCAGCACAGCAGAGACTGCTCGCTAGCACCAGATTCCAGAGTACAGACTCAGGCATTGCAGCACTGACTGTACTAGTAGTGGTAGCTAGCTGTGGAGAGTAGTACTGTCTGTACTGGAAATTACCAAGGCGGACACAGCCATAATCCATTGTCCCTGACAGTGACTGTACTGCTGCGGATTCGCTTTGGTCTTGGATGGTCCATGAGTCATGACAAGAGCATGCCAAGCAGGTAAACACAATACGTGTAATGCAAATTGTCATTTTTATCATGTTGCCCCATAATAGAGTCTACAAGTGGGAAGTGAGGTACAGAACCAGCCCAAAGCCCTCACACTGCAGCCAGCTGACTTGTACTTGTGTGCTGTACACCGCGTACCGCCGCCACATAGCTGCACACAACTGGAAATTACGGCGGCTCTGAGACGACTGCTAGCGCACGATATCGCGTAGTGTTTTATAGGCCAGTAGATAATTATAATGCGTTAGAGATCTCTGCCCCCCCCCCCCCCCCCCGTGGATATTGGGCAGTGTTTGAGAAGTGGAAGTCACCGACTGTGTAATTTATGAGTAAGGAGGTGATTATATGTGCAACTCCAGCCCGAGCTGGAGCGAGCGCACCCAGCCTATTGTGAGTTCACATGCACTGAACACATCAGTGTTCTGCAGGGACCTTTGCTATAGGCCAGCGATGTTGTAATTATTTAAAAGCTATGGTGTGGACTATATCACAGCTCTTGGTCTTCTGCACGTGAACTGTGCAAACCAGTGCATACTCATGCGTAACCAGTCAGCTGCCCAGCTCGCCACACATTTGGCAGGTAGCAATTCCATCAAATTTGAAACATCGCTATGTTCCAAGTCTCAACAGTTTCAGCCAAAACAGTCCTGAAGTCAACAAACCATGCTGGTATTCCATGGCTATTCAATGTTAAGCTAATTAACATCTTCAGGAAGACTCCAGCCGTTCTCTGAGAGTTTGGGCGTCAGTGCTGTTATTTTCTACCGTATTCTTCTTCCTCCTGTCTGGAGCTGCAACGGAAGCCTGAAATTATTTGAAAGGTATTTCGTGCTGGCTTTGGTAGGTTACTTCAAGGCACCAGAGATATTGTTACAGGTGGACTGGTAACTTTCACCCTTCAACAAGGTAGAGCAATGGACATTTTCTTGTGGCGTTAAGGGCTGATTTTGTGGACTTCCGGAGGCTTTCGTCCTGCCTGACGCTAGTCTCTACTGTATTGGAAACATTGTGTATGCATCCAGTGTAGCTGTCTTGTTTGGTGCATCTGCTGTTTTCAGTTACTTGGGACACTTTGTCCAGCCTACGCGTCCTTCGTTTGTGCAATCTATCAGTTCCGTGGGGTAGCTAGGCTTGTACGTGGTATTTGTGATTCTCAAGTAAGCCCCTAATTCTCGAAGTGGATCCCGTCATGACTTGAAGTGTATATAGTGAGCCCTTTAGTTCACGCTGTTATCCAGATCGCAATACTGTAGTCAATATCTGCTTCCTGGACGGACTAGCAGCTAGAATAAGGATGACCGAATTGTCCAAGTAAGGGTGTCTAGTACAAAATGTTGTTTCCATCATCGTGAAATGAGCGTTATGGAACTGCAGTTGTCTGCCTTTGGCACTGAGGACCTGAGGAGAGTTGATTGTTACTTCTACTCAGCAATGAAGCGATCATCAGCTCTCTTTGTTCCAACTTATGGAGAGGACATGCTGGCATAGCCAACCAAGTCCAGATTAGGTGAACCTCGCCAACTTTTTCTGCAAGAGTCAAAGACATTTTCTCCAAATGCAAAGACGATCTTTGTGAGCTTATACATACTGTGTCTGGACCGCGCTTGGAGTCAGCAGGTCAATACCGCAATCATAAGTCACATAGACCACGGATCACGTAGAACTTCCGAATCCAGGATCGAAACGCATATCGTTCCGGGTACTATGATCTCTTGGCGTCTCTTTAGATGCTACGACTGGTGTACGGTGTACATGTAATAGAAATATTGGCAACAAAACAGGTCGTGCTTCCAACACCCTCACTATATTATTCAGTACGTATATCCGTTCCCGTGAGCGGTTTGACACCTGAGCTTGAAAGGACGAAGTATACAGTCAACTTCGCTTATAACGACACTCGGCGGGGCATCAAGAAAGTGTCCTTATTCGCGAAGTGTCGTTATACCCGAAGTCTCAATATATGTATGACAGTTGGAAGGGACTTTGCTCTGGGCACGGAATTGCTGTCCTTATTCGCGAATTGTCGTTATATCCGCAGTCGATATTTAATAGCGAAGTTGACTGTAGTGGGCATTTTTGATTTATTAATATGCTGTACTGCCATTCCTCAGGATTATTTTAGTGATCACCGTACATGAGGGAGTAAACACCACCGTGAAGTTGTTGCTAGGCTATTGTTTATCTTGGAAGCTGTGTATGACAGTGATTGTGATGGTGGTGGCGAGCGGTGTGATGAGTGTGTGTAGTACGCACCCGGTCCCCTGGAAAATTAATTTGAGAGGATTCGAGGAATTTGAGGGGATTTCAGGGAATTCCCGGGGCAAGACGAATCATCAAGGTTTTCAAGGTGCTACAAAGTACGAACTCGTGTGCAAAGTGAATGCTGGTGGGGCGTGTGTCTACTTGCTGCGTGGTGTTAGCACTCGAAGTCACGGCTTGTACTCTTCGGTGCGCTATGATATCGCACCTACCAAGTACTTGTAGTAGTAACAACAGTTACAATATGTACAGCACCATTATCACTGATTGTACAAGATCTTGTAGTGTACACTTGCACTTACATGTACAGTAGTCGACTTGCTTAGTGCCTTCCATTGAATGTGCGCAAATCCCCATGTCAAACACTTTCATTACGAAAGGGCGGTGCTCACAAGCTTCTACCCTTTCAGCAGTACGCTACCTAAAGATGAACTGATGAGATCTTTTATGATGGCAACAGCTGTCTGAAGGAAGTCAGTACTGTGATACGTGTCAAGGTTGACCGGAGAAAGAAAGCGCAGTGGCGGTGTGTGGTGGATGAAGCAGAATCAGGAACTTCTCACAGTTCAGTAAGTAAGCATCCTTTCTCCTGCTTGCTTAAAACAGGGTTAACTTGAATAGCTTCACCTTGTATCGTCACTGATTGTGACATTCGGCATCATGAAATAAGTACCGCCATGTTTGAGTGCAAATAGTGCTGTGCTTTATGCCATACGTTAGGCCATCATTTTTTATTTCTATATTTCGCGTCAGTTCAACTTCCAGAATCATATGCGAGAGGTGGAAAAAAATAAAAAAGTTGCGAACAAATAAAAAAGAGCTCATCAGAGGTGTATAGCACTGTATATAGCACAATAGCTCGCGCATGATGTACATTTGAAAGAAAATCGTACAAAGCACACAATCTGGCATGACTAAAACCATTTCACACAAGGGAAGGAAAAAACGCCACAATGAATGCATATCTAAATACGTGCCTGTATGTCCAAATCAATGCCACGTGTGTGTGCGCGCGCGTGTGTGTGTGTGTGTGTGTGTATTGGAAAGAGTGTGGGGGTGTGACCCTCACTCATGCGTGTTTACTGCGGGCATGCATGGCCCCATGGCCAAACGTCAATCGTCTTCATCACCGTGCTTCCTCTTCGTTCCATGTTGCTTCCTGCGCTGAATCGTTTTTCCTGCTGCGGAGCATCGAGCACAAACAGGATTGACGGATTGGCAGGTTGACTTCACTGCAGCTGACACCTCCTGGGGGTCATCAGCGCCGCACACATAGCAGACATCAGCAAACCGCTTGCATGAGTAGTACACAGCTGACACTTCGTCGGCACATGTAAGGCCAGCACGTACGACAACCTTCTCATACAGAGGGTCCTTCTCATCCAGAAGCGGTGATCCACACACATAGTCGACATCCTCGAACACTTGCTCAAGCTTGACGAGATCAGCAGCAGAGAGAGGAGATTCTGCGAACACACACCTTGGCTTCTTACACTCAGTGCATTGTACAGCTAGGCGGACCTTCTCCTTGCGTGTCGGAATCTTCGTATCGGGGAAGGTACGGGTGGATGAGTTTCCCGAAGACTTCTTGGCTGATGGTCGGTGTTCAGCTGAGGTTGCCGTTCCCCACACGTCTTCAAACGACTTGTAGTGCTCTCCGATTGGCTCAGGACACGGGAAGTCATGAAGCAACTGAAATTTGTTCTCCGGTAGAGTTGGTGGCCCACAGATTGCACACTCATGACTGCCACATTTCTTCACCATGAAGAAATAGTGCTGCGAAACACAGCAGTGTTGGAAGAACTCCTGATAACGCGGTAACTTGGCAAGTTGTGCCTTCGTCATTGACAGCTTGATCTCAGGATCAATGGCAGCCAGGTGCTCGGGAAAATCGGCAAGCTTGTCATCAGTTGCTGCAGACTGAGTGAGGAACTTCTTCCCATGAAGCGGGACACGCTGCAGGAACTCTGAGAGAAGGTCCTTGACTGGCTGCACAGATTCTAACAGGGCGTCGCTCAGGCCAGCAGTCTTCTCTGCTGCCTCACGTACATTCTTGATGCTATTCGCAGACTTCATCTTTGCCTCCATGTCCTCAGGCATTTTCGCTCTCATCAAGCCGAGTGACTGCAGCTCGAGATTAACAAGTGACATGACGCGTTCAGCAGGATTCTTGTAGCTCTGGTATGGGCAAGTTCTGACTGCAATCAAGTAGTCCAGCTGAAGCCTCTTGAACAAAGCGATGAGTGCTAGTTGGACGGACGCAAATGTCACATTGTGGTCAGGGCCACCATCTGTATACACGGCCAGGATGGGGCTGACGATGCCATTGATATTGCACGTTTTCAGGGCAGTCAGCAGTTCGGCAGAGTGGCGCATTGCTGATGACGGCTGAAATGCTGCTTCCTTCAAGGCTACGACTACCTGGCCATCGTAAAAACTCTCAGATATGGTGTCGGGAATGTCAACGACAAGAGAGACTGATGGTACGATCTTCACTTTGGTGAAGTCATGGTCACCCACAGACAGAGCTGTATCCTTGGTCACTAGCACTCGTTTCCCACGGTCAACCGCAGCAACAGGAAAGTCAGGCTCTCCCACCTTCAACATATGCTTGTCGTCCATGCAGACGAGTGTGCAGTCACCACGGAACTTGATGGCAAACTCTTTCAAGTACCGAAAGAGGGCTGCAGCATAGTGGCCATCTGGATGATCGTGACTTAGCTGCCGGGCTTGAACCATGTGCTTGATGTGCAGCTTCCCTGTGTAATTAACGGCTGCATTGTATGCTGGGTTTTTAGGAGAAAACTGCAACCTCACCCACGACTCGCATGGTATGGGGCTATCTGTTGGCAGACGTTTGGCGACTTGTTCAATAAAGTCACAACTGATATTGCAGCTGCCATGTGCACGACTTGACCATGACGCCGATCATCTACAGTAGCCAGCACTTGGTCTTCCAGGAACCGGTGACATTCGTCCCAAAATTGATCATATCGGCTGCTTCTTCCCTCGTTCAGCTCCCGCAAATCAAACACGAGATCAGGATCTTGCGCATCCAACGCTACGGCAAGTCGTTGCTGCACAGCTTTAGATATTGGGCAAGCCGCTTGCGACACGTCCCTGGAAACATAGCGGTACATGTCCCTGAGAACTGTTCGGCCACAGTCGGCCACCATCTCGTACCTGTTGGCGAAATCTCTCCTCATAGCGCGGGTCGCATATGTCGGAGCATCTTTCTCGCACAGTTTCACCAACTGCAGACTTTTTGTGGAGTCAGAATCCGCCGGTTCGACAGGTACTCTCCAAATCCACCAAAGGCAGCCAATGTTGCTGCCTGGGTCGTAAGAGAACATCTCATACGGGAACGGAAGCTCGAGGTTGTGGATGAATCTGTACTTCGTGTCACGGTTACCTGCTGGAACCATGGCGTTCAGCTGCACAGGACTGTGATAAGGGTCTAGATCACGCAGCGCTGCTTCCACCTCAGCATACTGCCTGCACCTGTCGGCAGTGCGAACACGAGCAGAGTGCCTGGCTAGGCTGGAGTTGGTACCTGTGGACCGCGCTGGTTCCAAACGCTCGTGCAGGCTATTCATGTCCTTTGTTCTTGACTCCAGGTACTCTGTGTACTTCTGCAAGGACTTTGCAAGCGATCTCAGTCCATCTCGGACGTTCGTCCAGGAGGTCACTTGGACAGCAGGTACACTGGACAACTCCAGACAGGTCGTGGACAGATCAGCAATATTCACTTTGGACAGAGGAGGCAACCGTTGGTGTCCATGCTTCGCTGGGTTATTGTACTCAGCCTTCAGCAGCGGTGCAAAGAGCTCTGGAACGACACATCCTCTCAGTTTGAGGCGATCGATGCGGTCTGGTGTAAGCTCATAGAATACTGATCGCAGTTGCCGAACAAACGATTTACCAACGCTGGCCTCGAGGCCATTTCTGAATCCCAGCTTCGACGTATGCAACCAGTCCACAATGTCATTCTCCAGAAGTCGATCTCCTCGAACGTTGTCACCTTCGTGCTTTGCTGGCAACTTGACTGCAGCGGCGACCTGCGCTCCCTGCATCAGCGCTGAAAATGCGTTCGGTTTCGAAGAAGTTGGAGGAGCAGTATCCGGTAGCTGGATTGTGACAAAGTATCCAAACCTGGCCAGTCGTGTCACTCGTTGTCCAGCATTGACTTGGACGGCGTCCTTGTCCGCTGCCGTCTTAGAAACATGACAGGAAAGCTCATCGTCCGTAACAGAATCACAATCCGAGATTTTCAGTTGTCGGAAAACGTCCGCAACAGTCATCGCTTCGTTCACCTCTACGACTCTCCATTTCAGGAGCGGGACCAAAGAATGTGCTCCTCGGAGCACGCGAAACGAGAACAACTCTCCTTCATCCATGGTCAATCCATCATTTCCACGCCATCTGCACCTTGATCAAACTTACTTCGAGAAGATGAGACTACAACATGACAGACATCGCACGCGCACCAGAGTTGGCAACCTGAAAAAGCACTGCTACAGTACCGTCTTTGCAACACTTACGGTGCTGTGGTACCAGCGCTCCGCATCTTCGCATACACACTTCTAGTAGTACTACTACTAAGTGCTAGTACATCGCGTCGACGAAGGCGCGGCGGGTCTGTTTCACTTCCGAAGTTACCGGTAGTTCCGACAACTAGTACTACTCGCGACCAGACGGACTATGCGTATGCACTACTAGTACTAGTACGATCGGCTACACTGTGCACGCGCATGATGACCCACATGCACAGATCGTACACTTACTACAAAGCCTGAAAGATCACTGTACATTGTGCATGTTCGATTTTTTTTATTTTTTTCCGAAAAAAATCAAAACATATGCGCGCGGGCGACGCGAAACATAGATAAAAAAATGATGGCCTTATGGTGTTAGGGCTGCACAGTGCTCGGCGATATTTTTTTCATGAGGTCAAATTGCACTTCCAAGTACTTTGTCATTGTTGATGGCTACAGATTATCATTGTTGATGGCTACAGATTAGGCAACATCTATTTTGTTGACAAGAGTTCACAAGACGTAACACAATACATATAGTACCAGAAGTACTATGCACTGGACCCTTTGGTTATTTCTGCCTTTCATTCTGGTGGAATGTGAAGTAAATTATTCGCAATAAAGGGACTGCCTGGGAGAGGAAGAGGGTAATGCCAATATGCACACCGTGCAGTTTTGGATTATCCTCTCTATTCGAAGTGATTTGGTGAAGCAGTGCAGCTAAACAATGATGACCGCCACCACCGCCGCCGCCACCACCATCACCACAGCAGCAGCAGCAGCAACGACAGCATCCATTACAGCATGTCCTCACCTGCAGATTGTTGAGAGTATTCTCGCCCATCAATGCCAGAAACGCCGTCTTTGATGACCTCGAACCCTGCCTTCCTCTGCCAGGGAGTGGAGAAGCTGTACCTGATTTAGCACCCGGGTCGAGTTCAGGCATCTCATCTTCTTCAAAGATACTGCTGCCGCATGTGTCATAGCCGTCAAGCAGTGCTTGGTCGCTGGTCAGAGTTTCACAGAACGTATGCTGGCGTCTCACTGAACGTACATCGGCAATGGTATCAGCAGCAGGTACATCGGGTGAAATTGGCCGGGATGGTTGCTGTATTGGCTTGCATAGTGTAGTACTGAGCTCATCCACACTTTCTTCTTTTATTTTGGACTTGCTCATCCTCTCCAATGATTTGGAACCTGTAAAAATCAGAAGATGTGGATAAGATTTGTCAAGGATCCCGTGTCCATGTACAACAACTGATACTACACACTGGTCACGATGGGCATCTGAAATAGTCAACTCTATCAATAACGTGACGTTTTCCACACCCACGTGTCCACAATGAGCCGCACCACAGCTGGCCTTGATCTCTGGTAGTGATCCCTATACATGAAGGAGATCTACAGTCGTGACCATCTGACCCACAAGTCGAATGTAGCGCCGCTTTTTCATTTCAATTATATCATGCACGGCCCGAAAAGAAACATCCGAGGGCCTCGGGGGCCGCATGCGAATTGGCGATATTTTCGGCACGTGGGTCAAATGTCTTTGGCCACATGGTATTAAAACTCGGATGTTGCACCAGTAGTAATAAGTAGTTGAGGTAAATAGAAAGGACCAATAAGTTAGGAGTTATGACTAACAGTCCACCAAGGTAACAAGATTATACAGTCAGATAGTGCCACAACAAGGCACAAGACTGACAGGGATATTGAGATGTTCATTTCCCCTCATTGGAACTTGTCCGTACCTGAGCCTTTCAAGTTGGAAAGTTGTTGGTTTGTGCTTCGTACATGTGTTGGTGTGTTGGAGCTAGGTGTCAGGTTGAATTATGACGGTCTCAATATCACTGTCAGTCTTGTGCCTTGTTGTGGCACTATCTGACTGTATAATATCTCGTTACCTTGGTGGATTGTTAGTCATAACTCCTAACTTATCGGTCCTTTCTTTTCACATAGTATTAGTTTTTTCTTTGCTTCAGCGAGTTGAAATGGGGAAAAGTTGGCAGAAAATGACTGTTGCCACCAGTATTAAAAATGTTATAGTTACGTTGTATGGACGTTTAGTACATGTAGTGCTATTAGCTACAGCGGCTGCTAAAGCATAGGTATTTGCATGTGGATATGTATGATTTAGGTGCCAGAGAGAGAGAGAGAGAGAGAGAGAGAGAGAGAGAGAGAGAGAGAGAGAGAGAGAGAGAGAGAGAGAGAGAGAGAGAGAGAGAGAGAGAGAGAGAGAGAGAGAGAGGGGGGGGCTCTGTGCATTTCGTTTTGCAACCTTCCTGGATTCAATCCAAGGATTGTGGAGATTGTACTTTCCACTCGTCGGTCATTTCGACAGTCACGCTGAAGGTATTAGTACTCCAGGTCGGTGTACGATTCCAACCATGTAAACTCGCCAGTTGTGAGCAGAGCTTTATAACTTATAAGCTTATGAGTTTTGATTCTAGGGGATGCGTGCGTACACACGTGGGTTAGTACACATACATGGTCGACAAAATGTCGAGAGCATTGGCTTTCCAAGCAAGAGTCTGTAAGTATGATTCTTGTGTGCACAGAGAACCTTTGACCTTAGGAGACCGCCGTTCTGGAACTGGCTCTTGACTTGACTTTGGTTGAGCGGAGGCAAAACAGGCGATGCAGAAAAAGGGGATGACCACAGACCTTGATGCGTCAGGCTCATCGAAACAGAGGTCTCTAGCACCTGCCAATTAGGATGACTATACACTCACTTCTCTCTTATCGGGACCTCCAAGTTACGTACATCTCAGTCTACCGGGCACACTGTGGCGGAGTTTTAGTGGACATGCTACAACTCTTTTTGCCAATTTCGTGAAAATAGTGCCGTCATGTGCCAGATACCTGGCCCTTTCCCCATCAAAACATAAGCGATTCCGAGTTACGGACATTTCAAAGCTACGGCCAGTGCCCGATCCCAGACCGCTCGGATAAGAGAGATATAATTTATTATGAGTGTACCACCTCCTTCCCCTATAGCACTGCTGATGGGTGTGTAACCGCGGCCTCACTCCTGGCATGCTCTGAGTCCAAACCCTGGTCTGTGTGCTTATGTGATCTTGTCGTATGATTACATTTTATCAATACTGTACTGTGCCATGGTCAAAGGTCTTGTGATAACCCCATCTCCATTCTCCACACAGCAGTGCAATGCCTTTCATTCAGACTCTGGATAGGTGTGGTTGTGTGTGCACCACTCTCTTGCTGACCTAGTTTTCCTTTTCCTAGAATAGAGCTGGCTTCGGCTGGACAATGCAGTTCAGTGACGTGAACTTACTCGCCTCGCTCGGTGCGGGCTCCATTTCCGGTATGCCTACCAGTTGTGTGTTTGACGCCGTCTGAGTGTCATCCTTGTCCTTCTTCGCCGAAGTCTCCGAAGGCTGCTCCTTGGACATTTTCTCGCATGAACTTGCTGGATCGGGATCGGGAGTCTGTCCATCTTCAGCCATTTCAAGACCTCGACTTTCCTTTTGGTCGTTTTTCCATCCAAATATGTCACAAAGTGAATGCGGCCCTTTTCGGCAATGATTAGGAAGTCTGCACACCAAATCAACGATCAAACAACTGGACCCACTCGTCGCCTGACCTGTTTCCGGTCATGAAGCACTTCTTTGCACAAGATTATTCTCCGGACCTTCTTTGAGAAGTACCATGAGTGTTTTCTCTGCTCTCAGATTCTGGAAGGCGTTATATCATACTCGAGTACCCACAAAGCCGTCAAAGACGTATTGTACTGTCTTGAGCAAGTAAAATAATTATTATGAAGTTGAGGCATGCAGCTAGCGCTGGTTTGTAGGCGCGCCAGGGACCCCCGGCCCCCGCGTGGTTTCCAGTCCATCTTCGTACCATAATTGTCATCAGCGACGTCATAGTCTTGTGCCCAACGTTGCAACCGCGCGCCTGCGGCTACGTGAAGTTCCTTATTGTACGGTCAAAATGTGTACGTTGCCAAAAAATCACATTGCACATACTAGTATGTGCATTGTGTGTTCACATCAGGGAGTACATTGTAGTACATGACATGTACAATGTATTCATCACAACTCCGTGGCCTATTTCACATTATAATAATCATGACCAAGATATAATTATGACTGTGCATTATACACATTCGCTACGAAAGTGATCGGCTTGAATTCAGTAAACAATCAATCGGTCAGCATATACTGGGGCGTGAGAAATTCCAACATGTTTGCGAGAGATAGGCCTTTGCGGATAATGCCGGCAGAAAAATTGTCAGAATTCGGTACTTTTCTGGTAAGTTTCATGCATTTTGGTATGTGGATAAAGAAATGGAGCAGAATTCGAGGAATTGCCCGCCATAAGGTTTGTATGGTTCTGCCAATTTCACTGGTTTTCGAGCAGAATCTGCCACCTTTTCGAGCATTATCCGCCAATGCCTAGCGAGAGACCACTGCAGCTGCCAATTCTTGCCCCAAGATTAGGGCCCACAGCTAGCTGGCACCGGGTTGTGGAGAATTCACATTATGCCAACCGATTTCCGCTAGGAAACGACTACAGTCCATTCATAAAAAGATGGGTCCTGGCTCTGGCGAGCTCCCGTATTTGGCGATTTTTCGTGATTTCATCCTACACAGTGCAGTATTGCAAAATTTGAAATTTGAAAAAGGGTCCAAAAAGGGTACCTGAACTGGGGTTCGAACCGCACAATGCACTGTGTTGCAGGCGGGGTCACACGGCCCGGATTTTTATAGTTCTTCCCAATTCAGTGCTTTTGGGGCAAAACCTGGCCGAAATCCTATTCTTGTTATGGCTTGCTTTTTGGACAAAAAAACTTCAGAAACATAATTGGAAGAGGATTCCATAGGGGATTGCAGAAAAAAATTCTAAAAAAACTCAAAGTTTGACCCATTTATGGCCAAAAGCTAGAAGTCCATCTTTTTCTGAATGGACTGTACATGTGTGTATTTTTTAAAGGCCTACAATCGGCATCAATAATAATCATTACCGTACTTCCGCACATATAAGCGCCATGTTTACTAGGTGTACCATAATTCATAGGTGCAGTATCTATCTCGGAGTGTATTGATGGCAGAACATTCAGCTACCATAGTGGCAGCGATCGGTCAGGCAACTTGAACTGAGGAAGTGGTACTGTATACACTACATCAGTCAGAAATCTGTAACCGCTGCTTTACAGAGGGTAATGGTGACTACAGCTCACAGATACTAGTATATTTCCAATCAAACGCACCCTATACCTTGTGCTGGCATTATTTTGCCACACCATGGAGTAACACATGCACAATACAGCGGTATTGCATGTCGGAGCACGGCAAGATGGAACGATGTCAAGCCTTCGCAAGCTACGCGATTTAAAATGCTCGAAAGTAGCACGCTTTAAAGTTTGAATGCACTGTCCCCGGCCTTCTGTTGTGTTGGCCGCTGTCACCCTGTAGGGTGTAGTAAGTTCATTCCTCACCCTCGGCGCGATCCATCGAAAAAGCCTGATGCATGGTTTGCAATATGCAGTATAATTAAATAGGCTTGATGTTGTCATCCCCTTCGCGAGCCTGTGTTCCTGTGTTGTTGCCGTCCTAGTCCAGTGCACCAGCATGAATCCAGCGGAAGTTGTCGGACTGGTGCAGCAGTCTGCGGTATTATTGGATCAGGCCAGGGGCCATATCTACTGAGTGTCGTTACCATTTTCTCTGCGCTTTGTGCATGATGCAGGGGCTGTTGACAGCCATGTCCTGTTTGACAATGCTTTTCTGACAAAAAATGCGCAATCCGGCTTTTAAGGAGGCCACGGTATTCCAGGAACTCAGTGCACCTCTCGGACTAAGCGCCGCAACGCATCACACTCTAGGGGCTCCTTTCTCGCTTGCTCTAACACATGTACACACCCGAACACTTACCCGCTTACCACCCATCACAATCAGGACATTGCCGGGCTCTGCAGCTACGGCCCGCCATCACAGCCCCTATTCCGTGGGATCTCGGGGAACAGTCAACTAGCCGTCACCATAATGGGCCCGCTAGCAGAGCTACCAGGGAATTCAGGCTTGGTTGGCCCTCGATCAGCAGATTTATACAGCCGGGCAATTGCCACACTTTTGTTCGGCCTTACTCTTACAGTATGCGGCCAGATTCCCTGTAGCTTCCTCATCCCAATCCCCTCAGCTATCTCCCCCAAGCCAGTCGCCTCCATGTCTTCCAGTCATTATGGGGGAAGGTCAGGAATTCTGGAGGCCGTCAGCAGTACTTGTACACAGGTCTGCCTTTGTTAGTAGATAACCACGGGGGTTTCAAATTGTTTCGTCTTATAAACGAGTGTTATCTTCTATCCGGACGTGAATGTACATGTTTCAGGCATCAGGGGATTTTGATTGTTGTCTACTATCGAGGTTTGTCTTCTAACCGATGTCGTACTAACAAGGATAGACCTGTACTAGTATACCCCGTTAAAAAAATACTTCAATTATAGATTTTCTCCTACACCGTACCATGCATGGTTGGCCAAGTGGTTAGAGCATTCACCTTCTAAACTGAGGTGGTGTGTTCGAGTGTCAGCGAGTATTGTTTCCACCCCTAGGAGACCTGTCTGGGATTGGGTACCACACTTCAGCTGAGACGGGAACAGGCAACAAGGAGAGACCAGAGGAGGTGAGCCGTATCACTCGCACTATATTGACCTCATTGGAGCAAGCGGTTTCAAGGCCGTCACAGCCGGGGCGGCTGAGGCCGCCCACTTTTTCGCCCGTTTTTTATTTTTATTTTTTTGAGCACATTACAACAAAGCACAATGATCGCAGCTTAGCGCAAACGTGACAAATCCTTGTCCCCGATCGTGGTTTGTTGCAGAAAAAAGTCTTTCATTGCAGTGACACTGAAATGGCACCAAATGCCTGGAAATGCTTGCAATTGGCTTCAATTTTTGAATTTTTTCCCGGGGGAGGGTAATGTTTGTTCCCGATCGTAGCTTCTTCGTTTGTTGCAGAATCAAAAAGACTTTCATTGTAGTTACCGTACACTGAAATGGCACCAAATACCCGGAAATGCTTGCAATTGGCTTCAATTTTTGAAATTTTCTCCCGGGGAGGACCCCCCGACCCCCCCCCCTTCCATAGCCGCCCCACCTCCAAAGTCGGTGCGACGGGCCTGGGTTTCTAACACCTCCTACCCTACTCCTACCCGACTTGACTGTGCATGAACCTGAAGTTGCAATAATTTAAAACATAGACACACCATGCACGAGAATCGTTTTCTCAAGATCAGCCGGCATTTTCCGAGCCCCGAAGACATTGTATATCATCTGCAATACACTACAATGCACTAGATGACAGTATACATTTTAGGCACATAGAGAAAATCAACAGAAACTTACGCATCACTTGCTTCGTGATTCTATGTTGTGCAATCCTGTCCGAGATAGTACCCAGCTTGCCACGTCCCTGGTTGTTCGATCTGGATGCCAACTTCTCTTGGTTCGTTTGTCCTGCGTTTGCTAGGCCACTTGACTCCTTGACATCCATGTTGTCGAGCTTGCCATTCCTTATCTTTGCATTTTTAGCATTGTTTGACTGCAGTAGTTGTGAGGCAATGGAGAAGATGCTCTGCCCAGATGGTCTGTGTGTCGGACCTCCAGGAACGAAGTCAACAGACTGCGACGTTTTTAGTCCTTTCCTTTTGGTATTGGTGCTGGCGCTATTTTCGCTCAGATTGCACACATCTCCATTTGATCTTCTTGATTCTTTTGGTGACAACATGCTGAACGCTGCTGTGAGCCGGTTGAGAGAAGTTGACTTGGCTTCAGGCTTGCTGTTAGTGGACGAAATGTCCTCCTTGGACATAAATGGGGGTGCGATGGCGCAGTCTTCTTCGCTCCTCTTTTTGGTGAGTTGCTTTGTGAGGCTATCTCTAACAAGCTTCCGCAGCCGGACACTTCTTCGTTGTGGTTTAGGTGATGCCTTGGATGACGACTGATGTGCATCAGGATTCTTTTCCATTGTGCAATCACTGCGCGTGGCAAAGACACCGTTCCTAAATCCATTTTCTTCAAGGGTTTGTGATATTGTTTGTGAAATGATTTCCCACTTGCTGCGTGTGGTTGGAAACGGACTGGCCGGCACTCGCCACGGCTCTTCAGCAGTGCCAGGGAGTGAGCCGCGCTGACTTAATACATTGGACAGTGAGGCGGAGAAGAAAGGCGGCCTGCTGTGTTCGCAGTTCTCCACTAGTGTGGATGACGCATTGCTGGAATTGCTGCTGCGACGGTGAGATGCTGCATCACCATGCGTCGGTAGAAAGCTTGTGGACAGTTGGGGACCTATTGGTTCAAAATGTTTAATTCGTGTAGAAGGGTTTGCAAACTCTTCCCATTCTTGCTCAAAGGGTGTCATCTTCTTGCGGGGCTGTTCTTCAATCATGGATGCAGAGTATTCATCAGTTGCACCGCTGCCCATTTCGGAGGTCTTGTCAGAATGCTGTGCATCACTACTAGTAACAAGTTGAGAAATAACATCATCATGATGGCTGTCAGAATTGTCCGAGTCACTGAAGCATGCCGCAGTATTGTGATTTCTTCGTATCTGTAAGGAATCGTCAGTTCCATTGCACTTTGATGCGTTGCGGTCCCCAGCAGTCTTTGTGGATGGAGCCGTATGTGTCTTCCTTGTATCACTCTTTTCTGGTAGATTCTTCTCCTTCAACGGTGTCGTTTCTTGACCTTCCTTGCCTTGGGAAGGATTGCAGGTCTCAAGGGTCTGGGCCTCTAGTCCACCTGTTTTGCCCTGGAGAGAAGCACTCTGTTCCATGACGTCACCTCCACACTTCTCATCTTGCGCACTAGTCTCCAGTGCTTGATTTCCATTGCCATGATCGCTGCTGCTATCATCTTCATCATCATCATCAAGGCTCTCCCCACAGTAAATGCCACCAAAGCGGTCTTCCTTTGCTGGTTGTGTTTGCTGGCCACTCGGCAACTTACTCTCTTTTCCGGAGGCTACCACCACTAGTCGAGGTGATTTTTCACCTGGGTTGGTTTTAGATGGAGTGACGCCATCGCTATCACTGTCACTGCCAGCACTCTTGTCTTCACCACAGTAAATTCCGCCGTAGCGATCGTCGTCTGCTATTGGTGATGCACTCGTCGGGAGGGAACACTTGCCCTTTTCTTGTCCATTATCCAAGTCACGAACTCTTTCGCGGTTGAGAGCTTTGCCCACTGCAGCAAACTTTCTAATAGTCGGCCCGGATGCTTGTTTGGCGGCCTCAGTCAGACTTTGTGACAGGGTACGTATTCTTGACCTTGGCCTGAGTACTGAGCCGCTGCCTGGGGATCCTGCATCATTAGCAGCTTCCTTCTCCAGCTGCTTAAATGCAGCTCTAGCTTTTTGTGTCGGGGTCAAAGAAGCCCCAGGTGAATTTCCTACTTGCGAGGCTTGTGAATGAGGTGAAGGTGAACCACTACGGGCAATGTCATCTACTCCTGGGGAGGGTTTAGTAATGGCAGCCATTCCACTATTGCTACCTGCTTCACTCTCATCTTCCTGAGAGAACTAAAAATGTAGTATCGATGATGGCACTGTGCATGTTGTTGCTATTGTTGTCGTTGCCTGTGCACTGCGGATTGCCTCAGTCGATTGTGGTGCAGGCATGCGACAGGAGTACCTGGAAAGGTTGAGAAAGACGCACACAGACACACACAACTAATATACATAGACCTATTGCACTCCCTTGGCTTGGTTGAGCACTCTTTTTTTCTGACTACTGCCAAATTTATCTGCCCTAGCACAAAGCTCGCTATGTTGCTCACAGATAGAGCATTCTGAGTTTGATGTTTGAGCCAATTTAAAAATGCGTTGTCGTTCACTTGACTTTGCAATCGGTTCAGCCAGTCACTCCGAGCTCCGCTGATGAGACCTAACAAACAAGGTCGAAACAGCTAGCTGTCCGGAGATTGAGCAAACATATGCCTACAAGGCATCCGGTGCCCCTGTGACCAGAATGGGCGTGGAAAATATATACATGTACATACACATACACAGACAGAAGAATGAGCAGTTGTTTTTGCTTTCGGCAACTTGAGCCCTCTACGGACGGTGGATGAACTTCACATGGTACATACACATACCAAAGTCTCAACAGAAGATTTGAGTGTCTCAAAGTGCCGTCATTATAACAAATTCTGCGTGTCTGGTGTCAGTGGTGTGACATAAGGGAGGTTTAGTCCCACGTAATCCGTGGGTACTTTACGTGTGTGTACCACGTGATACTCAGTGACCCACGTACAGACGTTTTCTGATTCACGACATACCGTGTATGCAGGCTCACCCACGTTCCGCCAGAACGTGGATGAAAATCAGAATGGAGCGCATTGTGCGAGCTGTGAGGGTGCTCAGCTGAAGAATTTTCCGAAGCACAAAATCAAAATATTGGACGAGCTTCTTAGGCCCGGGTAGCTTCGTCTTTGACCAGGTTTGGGCCTTTCGCTTCATGCTTTTGCTTGTTCCGTGTGACTAAACACAACATTGCAACGTGGGTGCCCTTCATCCACTTTACGTGGATCACCCACGTGCGCGTTTCCGTTACGTGGGAACTAAACCTCCCTATAGGCTGGCATTGAGAAACTTGCTGCAAGCCCCCTGCGACATTTTTTAACATAGTATCTAACCATCATCCACCTCAGTTCTCAGTAACTTCTCACCCAGTTTTCCTGTGGAATTGCACTGCTTGCACCCATCTGTCAATTTTATCCACCTCGTCTAGAGTTATTACCCACCTCTGCCATTCTCCCTCTTCCCCTTCCGTTTAGCGCAATCCCGTTAAAATGATGTCATGGCGGTGAACAAGCAGTGCCGTGTATGGACATCAAGAACACAAGGTCAGTCGGTGGATTCGTTCATGGGAGCTACAAGTATACAGCGCGAGTCAGCGGTTTCGCTTGAGCTAGTGCATTGCTGTGCTGCGGCTTTACCAAAGCACTCAACTGATGATGTAATTATATAACTTCCCTTGCAGTGCAGGCATACCAGTGGATGGAACTGTGCACAGCCCAGCATGGTCAGCTTGACCTTAGAACTTGATGAATCCTTGGTGGCGTGTATCATAATGCACCTGACTACCATGAACGGGGGGGGGGGGGGGGGGGGTATCCTTGACACTTTTACCGTATACACTCATACCTCGGTTATTCGAACGTCGACGTTACGGGCACCCTGCGGGCGAGTTTCAGGGGAAATATTACTACTTCGAAGTACATGTACTCTTTTGTCACTTTTTGGGGAAACAGTGATGCCACCTTTCTCCATCAAAATCTATGTGATTCGGAGTAACGGACATTTCAAAGTTACGGGCAGTGCCTGGTCCCGGACCGCCCGGATAAAAGAGGTATGAGTGTGCAAGGAATGGAGCATTGCGGCCTCCTTCAGCCAACACCACTCGACTACACACCCGGAAGACTACAGTCATGTAGATCTACAAGAGCTGAAATTTGGATTCATATCTGTTATAGGCTATTCAAACTATGTTACAATATGCGTCACGTTTTGGAATACGACGTACTGGCAGACGTCGTTTTCATGCAGGTGCATTCACACAGGCACGCACACCCGGCTCGTACAGCTGTGTGTACAGCTTCTTTTGGACACAAACTGCTGGGAACGACAGAACGAAACTCGGTACAGGGGTCTGGATACGTCGTCTACGTTTTCGTATCGGGGTACGATTTTCCCGCCACGGTCCATGTTGTCATGGCTATCCGGACGAAAACGTCACGTACGCCACGTTTTGGGCGTTGTGTGAATGGCCCATTATCAAAACTTTTAAGTTTTAAACAAAACTTCAGAAGTATTTAAAGGGGAAGTTAAGGCAAAAATCAAAATTTCACCAGTTGTAGTCTTCGGGGTGCTGAGTCGAATGATCTTGGTATGAGAAAGCTGAGACGCTCCCTTCCTACTTGAATCCCAATCGAACTCGCGCACTTCCACCGAAACTGGGTGACTGCGCCCTACTAGATGGGGATTTGTATGCAAAATGTCACTAAAAGCGCCATTTCGTTCTTATAAAAGCACGGATGACCGCGATTGGCCCATATGTTGTAGTCTTTTGGACGCTGAGTCGACTGGTTTTGGTCCGAAAAGGCTGCGATGCAGTGTTCCTCCTTTATTCCCAATCGAACATGGTTGAACAAGCGGTCACGTGCTCCTGGGTGCCCAAATCACCTGGTCACCACGCCAGCAGGCGACAACTTTCACACCAAAGTTCAACTCGAGTTCAACTCGAGTGACAGGACTGCACCCAAAAAAGGTCGAACAGGCTAGTAAGTTGTACCCTGCAGGCACGGTGACCAGGTGACTGGCGTACGCAGCAGCACGTGACCGCTTGTTCAACCATGTTCGATTGGGAATAAATGAGGAACGCTGCATCGCAGCCTTTTCGGACCAAAACCAGTCGACTCAGGGTCCAAAAGACTACAACATATGGGCCAATCGCGGTCATCCGTGCTTTTATAAGAACGAAATGGTGCTTTTAGTGACATTTTGCATACAAATCCCCATCTAGTAGGGCGCAGTCACCCAGTTTCGGTGGAAGTGCGCGAGTTCGATTGGGATTCAAGTAGGAAGGAAGCGTCTCAGCTTCCTCGGACCACGACCATTCGACTCAGCACCCCGAAGACTACAACTTGTGAAATTTTAATTTTTGCCTTAACTTCCCCTTTAATTTACTAGCAGGACTGCCAAGAGTGCATGATGCTTCGGAGGCCATGCACTCGTACTCTTGTTACTGCAATCTATTTTGTCAGGAAATAATAATATCGACGAGTTCAGTTCATGCTGTAGCATAGTACCGAAATGATACGGTACTCACATTGCCACCGCTGGTTCGTGCTGCTGAGCCACACCGGGCCGATACGAAATACTAGTGGAAAGTAGACGCTGGCCAATTCATCGCCGAGGAAAGACTTAGCTAATTCTAAACGTCATGTATGTCCTGTCCTGTCTGGATGGGGTGGAAGCAACAACCTCTCCAGCTGTTGCACCAAAAAATATCCACAGAACGAAGCACTTGAACCACTGTGCTCCGAACGAACGACTTCCACAACTTCCTCTCACTATCGCTTGCGGTTGCGAACTACCACTTGACTGTTGATATTCAGCAATTTAGCAAAAGATGAGGAAGTGCAAATGACTGTTGCAGATGAGTGATTGATGGTAGTCACAAAGGATAATGACTTATCCTCGGACTGCGTTTATTTCCTTTTGCCGAGTGGCGCAGAGCAGAAGAACTGACTGTGTCGCCGATCCCCCCGCCCCGGCCGAGTCGACCTACACTACACCATGGAGATCTACCATGGGATCCTAGATCCTGGGCCTAGCAGATTTCGAACTGGCTAAAAAGTAAGAGACTTACTCACATGGAATGTTGACCCGACTCAGTAAGGCATAGCTGGCTGACCTTGCCGACCTCCTAACCATAAAACTAATTAGACCACTTGTCTTCGATCGTCCCTTCCAAATGCGAAGTTATGTTCCAAATGAGAAACATAGCCACTGAAATAGTCCGGAGCAAATATCGGCTTTGATATGCAGCAGGCCATGCGCGCCAGGGCGGTGTCGTCAAATACCAGAACTGGCAGAAGACTCCCTGAAATGCAGCACGTGTTGCTCGTCGGAGTACTACTATGTACAAGGAACATTCCATGTATGATGGCTTGCTTGCATGGAGCTTTCCACTACATTGTAGACCAGAGTCTAGTAGTTCATTTTCATACACATCATGTCGAGGTACCAAACTTCTTTTACTTCGTTAAGGTGGGCGACAGTTTTGTGGGCACTTACTTTCCTGTCGTCCCTTCCTTCTCCACTATCCCATAGGAAAGCCACTCGATAGGCTCCCACAGTCAATCGAATCTATCAATCACTACAAAGGCGAAAAGAAAAGAAAAAGTTCTTTCGTGCACCTGTAAGAAACAACAGCTGGCGTGACACGCCGAAATACAACTAATTGTAGTGTAGCCCTCCCTCGCCCAGTCACATTTTCTCGGGGTTCATGATAATATATGCTCTGGTTGGTGGATTAGTAAGACGGCAACGTCTGTAGGGCCTTCCCTATCAAAATAATAAATTCTACTACTACTACTACTACTACTATTAGCGAAGTAATTAGCGAACATCCGCACAATGTCATAGTAGCAATAGTCGCATTACAGAATGCATATCAAGCTGTGTTCTTCCTATCAGAGAAAAGTGGGTGCAATGTAGTCTCATGCAATGATTGGATTTGCATTTTTTACAGCACATGGGAACTTACTTTTGTCTAGTTTTGATTTCTGACCTTGTCTTCATTAGTCGGTAGTCTACGTAGCTACGTGGTTACCAGTTGACTGACATGCACTGCAGCCCATCGTATACATAGGCATGACCATGGAAAATCATACCCAGGATAATGAGAGCGCCGGATTCAAAAAGGCCCGACTGTCTTCATGTCTTCGGGGCCGCTGCCCCCTCCCCCCATTTGGCTGGAACCCGGGGCTGTACAGTAATGGAGTAGATGTTCTTTGCAATGTGCTTGGACTGTTGGAAGCGTGGTTCTGGTGGCAAGGGATCATCATGCCCTTCTTTACCGTACACTCCAGCCAGCTTTGTGATGGGTTGGTATGAGGGAAAACGGCAGGTACAGTGAACGGTTTTATGTTCGATTGCTATCGCTGTCTGGTTTTGGAGTTGCAAGGGTTTGTAATAACCACACTGTACTGCTGGGCTTGGCGATACCCCTACTCATCAGTTCATATTTCGAAGGGTGGCAGAACTGTTGTAACTTTGGCAAGCAGTAAATGTATTCGAGCAAACATTTACTGTTGGAAAGATCTCTCACTTAAAGCTTTCCAGGGATAGGAAGTTCCTTGCAATCGGACAAAAAAAAAGACCGAGCAGCGACAATATCTAGTAGCTGCTAGTTCCGCCCAGGTATGATAAACTGTAGCACATCCAAGATCATCCTCATCATCATACTCGTACACATGCTGATAGACCTTGTGGTGATTACTGTTCAAAGGTGAATAGAACGTTCTGAAATACTAAACGCCTACAATAAAAGGTCATTCTACTAACCTTTCACCGCTGACGACGAATATTTACATCCTGAGTGTACACTGTGCACTGATGAAAACTTTCAGGAGGCACGCATGTTCAAACGATCGTAATTTTGCCAATTCTCGCTCGATTCTCACAACCAAAATAAGTATAATTATAGTAGGTCGAAGAGAAAACACGCAGCTTGCGATTGCAGCAATCGCCGAAGCAATGGGATGAACGATCGTTGAGTTAAAATCGAGCAGAGGACTCACGGGAGTTTCCACAAAACAACTGATCTCAATACAAGCAAGGAGATTGACAGGCAGCTTGCACGGCTGCACTATGGCTTTGGGACAGATCCGCTTGCCTCTAAAGCTGGTTTCCGAACTTGCGCGGTGCTTTCGCTCATCGTTTTCCTCGCCGCAGTGGCTTTCCAGGAAGCTCACGATCATGAGATTAGGAAAATGCTTGCCAGAGCTATGGACTTTTAGAAGTTGTGTGCTTTCAGTAAAAATAAAAGTACCTATTATCGTTGGCCCTTAGTGGACTGGTGGTACTAACGTTTCCCTGCAGTGGTAAAATGGTTAAAACCGTAGAAAAGAGGTACATAGAGCTACCAATGTAGCTGTAGTTCTTTATACAATGTAGTGTTATGATGATATCAAGAGTGTACAACGTAGTGTCTGTTTTCCAACATGATAGGGTTACCCTATATAGCTGAATCTCTCATGATCGACACTTGCAAGGCTTGGCAATTGTTAAAAAAGTTTCAACTTTTTAAAAAACTTCTAAGATCAAGGCAATCATCAGACTTCTACGGGATTGTTTTGTCGTGCAATGAACCTCTCTTGCAGCACTGGGATGGAGGTACTGTCCAATTGTAAATGTACGAGCCACGTTTACGTGATTCCGTGCTACACAGCACACCCTGGTACCGGTAATTCAAGGCAAGCTGCGCCATCAAAGGCGCTGACTGCTTGTGCATGGCGATGAAACGGTTGTCACAGCCGCGCGATATGTACTCGGTGTCAAAGCGTGGGTCATGCTGACGATCCACTGCAATGGGAGCAAGCCATGTCCCCACTGACACGTCTTCACTGTTGAATTTTACCAGCATGTCGCGGTTTCGAGCGATGTATGCCACCAGCGACGAATCGAGCACATAGGCACCACCCTTGGCATACGTAATGTAGCGATCACACAGGACATAGTTCCTCTCTGCCCATTGGCCATGGTGCTTGGGTGCATGCCGACCATCAAAGAAACCCCAGTACAGCGGGGGAGCTGTCGGCGGCCGTTTACTCAGCTCCGCCACCATCACATCCGGCCGAAGGAAAGTGTCATCGTCAGACTTGAGCATGAAGCGAAAGCGTCGGTTTTTGGTTGCCCAAACGCTGACGGCCAGCACCTTGTCAGTCAATGCTGCATAGGTGTCTCGTACATCCGGCAAAAGGATAAGATCGGACTGTGTTTTGAGCGACTCTTGTATTGACTGCTCCATTGCACTCTCCAACTTTAAACCGCCTACAAAGAACAGTACCTCAGCGCGTGCTGGTAGCAGGCTCATCCATGACGACCGTACTGCATTCCGCCGCTCAGCACCTACAAACACACAAACACACACAACATGGCAGTAGGAAAGTTCAATTCGGTGCTGAGCCTCCAAGCACAGCAGGCAGAACAGCACACTTTACAAAATCAATAGTACCGGAGGTAAATTAGGAACGATGGTCATGCTAATTTCTAGGTCAACACACTAGTGATGATGCGGACATTAACTGGAGGCTCGCGACATTATATCGCTATTTTGTGCATACATTATACATAATGTAGTATTATATACAGAGGTTGTACGTCAAAGTTCTTCTTATGTGCGGAAATAAGCACATGCCTATATAATTATGGTATTAAAATGAAACGGGGAAGACACCATATAGAGACAGTATAATAACTAAACAAAATCACCACACCACAATGCGTCCTTGGCTATCCCACTCCACTTGCACATAACCATCATAGCAAGAACAACCCCGTTCAGTATCAGTACCTGTAGCAGAGGAGTAAAAGTCGAAGTGAAGTTCACGGTTCTTTGGGAAAGGTGGTTCAACTTTTGGCACAGGGGTATTCATCGCTCAGCTTGCATTTGCCATGCCTCTACATACATAGCTGTAGCTGATCGATCTTCTTCCAACTATTTTCTGTGCCGTTTTGCTCAAATCCGGTAGTGTGGGCAAAGGACTGATTTTCCGTACAAATACGGAAAAATACAGAAGGTTGGCAGCGCTGAAAACTGTTGGCACCCCAAACCTGATCGTGGTCCTGGCTACGCCCCTATAACTAAGCGGATGCGGTGCATATGCACATGTACATGCATGCATCACATGGCAAAATGAAAATGGGAGTTGCCTCATGTCCTGCACATAATGCATGTACCACGTGGCAGTTGATGCATTCCTAGATCCTGTCTGTTTGTGTGTGCGGTCTCAACAATGGCCTAGGTGAACAAGCTAGCTGCATAGCGAGGGCCCTGCAAGCACTGAAGCAGTACCTCAAGCAGTACAATAATGCCATGTATATCTGTCCCTCCAGGAAATCGCGATTCCACGGATGCAACAAATTTCGCGATTTTGGCCCACGATTTTCAGCAAAATCCGCGATTTCCCGCGTTTTTTGTTGTTTTCTGCAATATATCTCACATTTTTATGCACATTTCACGCAGTTCTTTCCATGATCCTGTAGGTTATTTGCACAGTACGACTCCCGAGTAGATATACGATGCAACAAATTTCGTGATTTGGCCCAAATCCGCAATTTTCTGCAAATAGGGACAGGTACTTAGTACCGTATTATGTTTTAAAAAATTGTCTTCGTCACTATACATGTACATAGAAAACTACATTGGATTTACAGTATTGTCAGTAATCTAATTACATGTATTTTAAATTACCTTCCGCAGATACAGAGCTCAATACGGCGATCAGCAACACAAGGCTTTCTTCATCGTCTTTAGCATCAGCTAGCAAGGCTTCACCCACCCCGTCCACTGACTTCACTAAAGAATTAGACTGAGTGATTCGGCTAAGTGTCAGCAATGAAAGTACCACAATAAAGGCGCAAGCTAGCACCAAATACAAATGGCCCATAGGATTCCTCACGATTCCAAGCGGCCGGCAAAACCTTAGTCTCAATGCCATGCTGGATTCTCTTCCTGGAAGAGAACCAGGTAGTACAGCGACTACTCACTTGCCGGCCGAAGACAAACAAATTATTTCAAACAAAGGATTTTGATTTCAGACATCGCTGGTCGTGAACGATGCATCGATGATGAATGGAGATCGGACCGGGACAGGAAAACCGGGGTCTCGAATCCCGAGGCCGGCCCAATGCCGGCCAGAGACTGACATGCGCGCCGCGCGCATGCGAGGGCACGCCATGTATCATGCCGGGCATTGCCGCCCCGAACCCGGCAGGCCGGCACGATACCGGCCATTTGTTGTAGGAGCGGAGTCCGAGACCAACTACTGGTACTACAAGTACACAACTCGCCTTGTAACATGCTGTCAAAATCGAAAAACAAGTACACAACTCGTGAACCGTAAACTAACTAACTATGTTACTTGAAGCATACTGCATGTTCTTGGCTTGAAATACGGAATGGAGACTTTTCACTTCCCTTTCATCCCATCCACCCTTCCAGGAAACCGAGTCTCTTGATAAGTATCCTTTTAGTTTTGGAGAACCCTTCAAATGATAAAGTCTGACTCTAATAGTTACTTTTTTTTTACTAATAGTAGTAAACTCAGTACTCCGGTCCTCAGTGGTCTGGGAGTTGTATACACCCCGGCACTGAAATTGGCAGAAGCTGAACTATACAAACCTGATGGCAAGCACTTCACCTTGCCTTGAATTCTGCTCCGTTTCGAAATTTCTTTATCGACATACCAAACATGCATGAAACATACCAGAAAAACCACAGTGTGTACCAAAGTCCTGCCAATTTTTCTCAGTGTCTTCAAGTCATTATCCGCCAATTAGGGGCTACCACACAATACTTGGCAATACTTTCCAATACAGTTCCATGCAGGATAAGGCCCTGGTAGATAATGCTACATGTACCGGTACTTGTATTCGCTACATGGAGCTGCCGGAGCGCTATAATAAATAATTGTAGGTGATTCCTTGCCGGGCCAAAGTTCAACAGCATGATCAAAACTTTTTTTCTTTTTTTTGTTTTGTTTTGTTGAGCACCAGCACCGTCCGGGTCAGGTGATCATCAGTATGCAATGTGACACACAAGGCGTATCTCAACATGGATGGTGGCCAGCGCAATGCCGAACGGTACATGTAGATTGCAGAGAGAATACAACTGCAATTTTGAACTGGAAGAAATCATCAGTGTAAGCCTGAGACAAATTGAAAATCAGACAATGTAGACTACTAGTTGGTGACTCGGAGTTCGGAAGTTGTCAGAGGGTGCTAGCACCCAGGGCTTTCAGAACTTGAAAAGGGCAGAAGGCGGCACGAGTGAGAAAAAGGAGCTAAGACAACAGAAGCCGCAGAGTGAGCCAACAGGAATATCAAGTACTTGTACATCACAGTCAGGACACTATTTTACATGCAGAATTTGTACATGTTCGTGAACAGAGGTTCTCTCCATCATTCATGCACGGAAGCAGAGTTATTCGGGCAGACGGATATAATTCAGTAGTCATTGCATAGTACATGATCTGCACTGCCCTGCCTGGTCTTCGATCCTTGGTGGAATTGAACATAGAATACTGAAGCTGAATGCTGTAGCTGCATGTGCATGTACATCACGGTATAGTCGCATATCTTGAGGCAATAGAATAAGGTTATACATGTATAGTCTGTTTATAAGTCATAGTGCTGGAGGGTGACAACATGCGCTTGCAGTTAAATTCTGGGATGTGGGACTGAGTTCATACGTCGGCACAAAAGTGTTCCGTGATTTGGCGCGTGCATGTTTGACACTCCACGCGGCAGCAGTAGACAAACTTGCAGTGGCACGACTGGCGAATGACGCGCGTTACCGTGCGCACTCGCCGATTGCAGCACAGCAGCGAGCAGCTACCCGGGCTGAAGTCGTCGTCACGGTGACACTGGCGTCCACCGGTACCTTGCACTCCGAGGAAATCATTCCGCTTACAGTAGTCCGGCGACTGGTCAATGTAGACAAGTTCATGGGCCGATGGGTATGCAGCGCCTGCTTGCGCTGGCCGCAGCTCCCACCTTATGTCTTTCTGTGAGACTTTCAACTTCTTTACGAGTACAGCTGGTGCAAGCTGAGCCTCTGTGCTGTTCTCTGGGATGCCGGTCACATTCGGTGGCAGCTTTTCTGGATCGACAATGGCCACCAGCTTCATGGGTATTGCTCGCTCATACATCTGCAATAGTTGTTTACTGATCTTTGTGAAATGCTCCACTTCATTCCAGCAGACCCTGAAGGAGCAGGATGATGTCACACCAAGGCACTGACATTTCATCTTCGTCTCTTTTAGTGTCTGCAGACATGACACAGTAGAAGCAGGGCATACAGATGAACATGACTATACTGAGCCGGTCCTAATGCAAATGACATCATTGTGTTTGTTTTGTAAACCTGGAATGCATGTGACGCCACTTAGTACTTCCCACTTGGAGCACAAACGCCTCGAATAATGATGCAATGGCATAACCTGCATAAACTGGCCTCTTACGACTGGTGGAGCTGATCAGGTCAGGCAGCCATTATCCAAAAGATAGACAAGTGACACAGTATGCTTGTCGTGTTATCGGAAGTAAATGACCTGGATCTCCCCAGTACGGTCGGTCGGACCAAAGTAACTGTTATGTTTTTTCCCGCATTGGTTGCATATAGACCGGGCAGAATCCAATACATGAGCCCCAGAGCTGCTCAGGAAGCACAACTTACTACATGTAGTAGTATACAACCAGATTTTGCCACTGGGTACAACTGGGTACAGGTGTTAGCATCTGATCGGAGCACTCACCAGAATTCCAGCTTGATGGTTGTGCAAGTTCATCAGTTGACGGGCTCGGCGCTTCACATAACGTGAGCTCTTCTGGACAAACTCATCAGCTTTACTCATACCGTAGAGGATATTGTCAAAGCACTTTGCAGACCACACATAGCTAATGTTCAGTTTCTTGTCATCGAGATGAGTTTCCCCTGCACGTGGCGCAACCGGCGCCCCCGACTGGCCGAATTGAGTGAGCTCATACTGTTCAATGTCCTTCTGTGTTGGCGCGGGTAGCTGTGGGCGCACGCACCCGCAGTCCTCCAGATTTCCTCTGCTGCAAGCAACAACCGCTTCATGGGCCAAGCTGGCCGCCATCAGAGCATGAACAAATGCCGCTTCTCTTGACCCTGCACAGGAATCGGCAGACATCGTGTACATACAGAGCAACAGTGTGAGTAAAGTACTTGCAGTGTATTGCTGGATGGTTGTCCAGACAGCATCAAATTTCACGCTATGTGATATGTGTCATGCTGTCTGCTTTTCTCAATCAAAACTTCCCATCATGGTACATGAGGCAGGCTGGTTATACAGTTTTGCATAGCACATTTTCATCGTATTCTTGGCAGATTGCTTCCATGCTGGTGAAACCTTGCCGCTTGTTTCGGCATTGCCTTTGAAAAAGTTTAGATTACGTATGCGAGCGACTATCTGGCCGATCCGATTCTTGAATTTAGGCCGCTAGTAATCTGTATTGCCTTGGTGGCATAGGATATGGTGTGCTGGAGGTGTTTCACGAGGATAGCAACGCCTGCGCCAGAAGTATCAAGTCTTGTGACTGGTCCATGACGGAGAACAATTCTGCCATGCAAATTCCTGAATTGCTTGAGGCCTTCATCACCAGCTGAGCTAAGCCACTCTATTGCCTGCTGAGTGTCCAGTCCTTGGGGCGGTCTGCTCATTACTGTCAGCTGTTCTGTCGCCAGAATCCATGCTGTGCCGCTGCTGCCTACTGACGCCACCATTCTATCAACCTGCCAAGTTGGCAGTGTGGAGTATTTGCCATTTGGATCAGGGTGCACACACACACACTGTGGCAGCATCCACCGAAGTGACCAGCATTCTTCTAACTATTCTGAGCATGCCCACGTTGGATGGAGATTGCAGCCTGCGGACTAGCAGTCCAAGCAGAAGAATGGCTTACATTTGAAAAAAGACCCAGCTATCCTAGAACCTGACAGTGTAATTCAACTGGGTAGTCACAAGACCAGTGTGTCCTTAGCTCAAGGCTATTGCACATACTTGCATCTGCTCATGTCGGGCGACTTTGACACTCATACCAACGTCTCCGCAGCAGCTTGCTGCACCACCTTGTCAGTAGGTGCTCTATCAGTCACGTGCAGGCACTGAAGTCAGTGAAGAATGGTATGGATGTGCGAGATTTCGCCAAAAACCAAGCGAGCCCAATGTCCGTGTTTGGCACATGAGCATTGTCTTTCTCCGTTGATCTCGGCCTGAAATACCTACGGCGATCACGATTCTACTCCGGAACCAGGCTAGAGAGACCACCAAGCTTGGCAAAATTATCAATCAGCCTCTATGGACTATGGTGCCATCACCTCAACAATGCTCCTCTAAACGACAAAATCCCTCCGCGCAGCACATACCTTGGGTAGCAATGGGGTTGAACAACGGCCGAATGCCTGGGATCTTACAAACATAATTGCAACAACACCGACACGGGAATCCATCCCCTTACCTTTCTGTTTTATTGCTCTTCCGAAGAGCGGTCCCTGCTCGAAATGCTCGCAAGTCCATAGCCGGTCCTGGAATTGTCGCTGGCATTCTCGTACGGCCGCTAGGCTAGCCCTCGCTGCGATAGTAACCAAGGCTGGACCATATCCGCTTCGACGAGACGTGCAGAGATGTTTTTGCCTTTTGCTGAGAGGCAGACGCTGGCATGCCCGGACGCTAGAAGCGCTCTTCAGCCTACCCGTCCTGTCGTTGATCAGTCTTGACAGAGACCTGTAAGCATGATCACGGTGCGGATCGAGAACAGTTCCACAAAATGTCAAGCATGTAGAGTCGAGTCAACGTGTCACTGTGTGCATTTGCAAGTGAAGCGAGTTCGGTGTTTTCTTTAGGTTTTTTAGTGTAGTATATATATAGACAACATTCTCAGCGTACCAAAGTGAAACTGTTCAGCAGTGATGTAACTTATTGTACTAAAAGTAGAAAGCAGTTCGACTGAGAAACAGCAATCCAGAGTGACAATAATGCTGGATACCTACAAGTACAATGATTTATGTAACTAAGCCACAGTCATGCACTCATGGCGCCGTGTGGGTCAACATATTCTATAGACCTCGTCCAAACTGCAGCCAGATAGCCTTCGAAGGATTGCTGCCAGCACCACTATTATGTGACTTGTAAGAAGGCTATAGCTAACAAATGCGGGCCGCCATGACTGTCGTGTCTGTTCTAGACATAACAGTAAAGTTAGTTGGACACGGCCACCCTACCCATGGAGACCCAAATTCCGAAAGTCTTTTCTGTGTGCTTCGTGGTCGTGATGTAGATCATGATGCATCATGTGTTGTATGTGACCTACGTAGGACCATAACTTCATAAAGGCTAGGTCCAGTGGCAGTGGCGGCAGCACGTAGTTCTACATGTAGATCTACGCGGCTACGGACTAGGTTGCAGAATACAGTCATAATGGTCATGTAGATCTCCATGACATTTGTACACAATCATGATACAAATACTTCAGTATGTAGGTGACTCTATCACAGTACATGTACATGTATCAGGGTCACCGTTGCATTTTGTGGTTTAGGACCTAAATGTACAATGTAGCTTGTATGTGGCTGGCTGAGAGAGGTGCTCCTCCTTCTCCCCTACCACAATCATCAATGGTACATCATTACTGAGACACTTATAACACACTCAGACTGTATGCGAAATGTATTATCTAAATTCTAATTGTTCACACACACACACACACACACATACTGTCCACACACACACACACACACACACACACACACACACACACACACACACACACACACACACACACACCACACCACACACGCGCGCGCGCACACACACACATACCACACACACACACACACACACACACACACACACACACACACGCGCGCGCCATACACTACACACGCACAAACCACCACACACACACGCGCGTATGGCTGCTCTACGCAAGAGGTGCATGATGCATAAGCCAGACCAGGCCAACACGGAAAAAGGACGTACCACCACTGTAGCTTGCCGCGATAAGCGGCTATCCCAGGAAGTGCCGGAGGGGGTTGGCTGGTAGATAGAGCCCGATCGTCAGAGTTCGAGTCCAACAGTGCTTGGCCGCCTATGACAGTGCTTACTGCTAGAATTATTATCGCGAATGTTGCCAGGAGGGGCAGGGGAAGATGCATAGACGTCATCGCCATGCAAGATCGGGACGGTCCCATTGCAATCTTCAGCAACACGACGTGTTTTAAACTGATACCGATTGGAAACAGTTGGCGTGAGCTGGTAAGAATGACCTCGGACTAGAGACTAGAGTTGACGACGACGAGTAAGTCGTGACCGATTGCAAACAACCAAGCTAGGAAGTAATTGTGTTCTGGTCTGCCAGCAAGGTTTTATTGTCTGCGCCCGACGATCGGATCATGCTGACTTGCGCGTGTCAGAGTTGCCCGTCGTGGCGCGAGGCGGAGGAAATGAGCACTTCGCGGAGCTCGGATCGGTGCGAAGTACCCGGGCGCGGGCGTGAGCAGCCACGGCTAAAAATGGGTTGTAACGCACATCGCAGCAGCAGCAGCAGCAGCAGCAGCACGTCCCTGTGTTCAACTGTGGTATGCTAAACAGTCAGACGACGGGGACATAGTATTCAGTGACATGCTCTGACTGATGTGATAACCGGATCTCGATGACCGGAGTGCTGCGGCGGCAAATGGGATATTTTACAGGCGCCTGTCCATGCCCATACTTCATGCCTTTGCAAGAACGCACGCCCCGGCCAGAAATCCGAGCGTGGGTAAATCATAAACATTTATGCAGCACAATCAAACTACGCTCACGGGAAGCCCCCGCACCAAGTAGCATTATAAACATTTATACAGCACAATCAAACTACGCTCACGAGTCACGGGAAGCCCCCGCACCAAGTAGTATTATACATGTAGACTACTAACCACAGACGTGCACCAGTACTGGTGCCTTGTACAAGTAGTTAGTTGTAGATGTGCTGGAGCCTAGACGCGTCTGCTGCACGATGGTGAGCAAGACGTTATCGCAAACTTCCCACATTCTCCGAGGTGATGTTCTATTTCTTCGTGGGTCGAGCTGCTGACACGAGTCATACTAACTGTCTTGTCAATCCTTCTCGCTGGGGTTTGATACTGGACCACACGGGATCAGTGGCAGTACTGTCAGTAGGATAACGCCGGAGTATACATGGTATAGGATAGCGGTCAGCAGTAGACAGCGGGACAGCCAGCCAAACTGCTCTGCACACATGATTGTACCATACCGCCGGTATGAGCTGTTCAGTCTGTTCAGTCCAAGCACGTGCTTTTGCAGGCATCATTCGTGTGATCGTGCTGCGAACGGATCATTATTTTGAAGCGATATAGCCGCATTTCAAGGGAAGGCTGTGTGGATAGAAGAGTACAGATCGAGAAGGGATCATTCTAATGATCTGTCTTCTGATCCTGGCAGTTGAACTGCATATTTACTTTATACGTCCACCTACGCTCGAGTCCACACGTGCTTCGATTGTGTCGGTGGGGATATCAACCCAGGCCATGGTAAGTAACTAATTACTTAGGCGACCTTGGTTGAGCAGAACGCGTGTGGCATGGGCAGCCTACCACTGGCACACTGACACGCTGCGTGTCATCCACATGATTGTGATGCCTAATGCCGCAGTCCGATGCATTTCATGAGCAGCTATGGAATTTGGCACTCCAACAGGACATCAGAAACTCCAGGATTCCTATGCACCCTGTCGACATTCTTGAGTTTTATCGACGTCCCGCCCGTCGTCAGTGTGCCATGCATGGTGGCCACGATGCAATGGTAATGTTGTGTCGGGTTTCAAGTCCCTGGACGACATAGCATGACTGCAGAAAGGACATGCACAGAACATGCTTTCATAACATTGACTGCTACCATGAAGATGGCTTTCTTTCGATTGGGATGACTGAATTCGTGCAAAGTTTCTTGTCCAAGTTAAAGTTCACCACACATGTGTTTCAAAGCGGTCGCCGTTAGTACCAGTTTTCAAACGGACCATCCGCGACGTTTATCTCTCTACATCAGTATCGTACACCACTCACCAGTAAGGCAAGAGCAGTGTATAATGCCATTCTTCAACATCTACATGCACATGTATATTCAAGTTAATTCGTGAGTCAATACCAGTGTGTCATTCGAGTGGAATTGCCCAGGGAGCCGTAAATATCTTTTCTTAGCGACTCCTTTGGCTCGGTATCACTCCGAAGTACAAACTTTGGCTCGACATCACTCTGAAGTACAATCTATAGATGAGACTTTACCATCGACCTACAACGTACTATACAAGTAGGGGTGGTCTGTAACTTTTATAGTTGCGCTCTGGTACAATAATAATGATCTGCTTCGTATTGTATCATATTTTATTTTTATTTTTACTTGGGCATTCCCAACAGACCCTAAGGTCTTCTTACAGGGTGCCCAAGATGAACTGCTTTGCTAGTACCAGTAGTGACTATGATGAAGAATTGCCTGTACTGGGCTGTAGTGTAGTTTATATGGCATGCGCTATCTTTGGATTCTTCCATTCATTGTTCCGGATATCATGGATTTTTCAATCAAGTTAGTTCTTCGACAAACTCCGCCTGTACAAACTTTGGCTCGGTATCACTCAAAAGTACAGAGATCGGTAGAGTCGAGAACTCACGCAATCCCGGCTGGGGAGTAGCATTGGCGGACAATGCCGGCAGGAAGATTGGTTTGGTACTTTTCTGGTATGTTTCAAGCATGTTTGGTATATCGGTATGGATAAAGAACTAGAGAAAAATTCGAGGAAGTACCTGCCATAAGGTTTATAAGGTTCTGCCAGTTTCACTGCTTTTCGAGCAGAATCCACCAAGGGCTACTGAGGAGCCATATGGAGCACCTGTGATCATGGTGTTAGGCGGGAAGCAACATCAACTCCGCAATCTTTTTAGAATCTACATGTACATGTACTAAGTGTGATTGTGCAGTTGTTTGCAGTCTGAAACAAATAGCGACCAGTATCCAATCAACCCGATGCTGTTCTGCTCGCCGGCGAAGAGCGAGAAACATGCGCCAACAGTGGGTGTTGAGCTGCGCAACACAGCGTACTGATGAAATAACTACTGTACATGTACATACACAGCCTACATCATTGCAGCAGCAGCGGATGGGAGTGCATTGCAATCTCATAGTCTTGCCAGCCCACAACGTCACAAAATTGGCTTGAATTCAGGAGGCTATTCTGAGAAACTAGGAGTGGCACTATGGGACTCTCAGGCAGACTGTTTTTGGTCAGCAAAAGCTTGTAACGGATTATCCAAATGATGACTTTACAGCTGCGAGACTGTCCTTGCGGTGGTCGCAGCTGCACAGCTGTTGAATGCCGATGAGCTGTGTGAACGTCGGTATGTTTATGGAATAGCCAGGAGCAATTCCAAACACACAGCACGTAATATCAAGACAACGCACAGCACGTACCGGTCATAGGTATCAAGACTCGCATACTGCTAACTATGCATACTGCCAACAGTCGGTGATACCGGTATTAATGTCATACATACCACTTGCGATGAGTCATGAGAAAAGGGAGAGAATGTTTCCCAACCGCATCATTGAATGGCACCAGCTGGGAGAAGTTTGGAGAAATGCTGTAACCAGATACATGTAGCTACAATAGTTTGTATTCGTGACTCCGAGTTCTAAGCAATAGAACGATCATGAGACTGTCTGATGATCGTTTTACTGTGTGAAACTGGCTCTCTGTCTCTGTCTCTGTTTGTCTCTGTCTCTGCCTCTCTCTCTGTGTCTGTCTCTCTCTCTCTCTCTCGATCGATCGATCTGACGTTTTTTTATTCATTTGTTTTTATTTTTACAAAAAAACATACACCATTTGACGGCGGAACAAAGCAGCAAGGCCGCGATGAGACATATGGAATGGCAGGAGTGGGGGAGAGGCAGGGGCAGCTTGACCGACCATAGACCAAGCGCTCCACAAAAACAAATACTTGCTGACGCGGACCAAGTAATAATAATAATAATAATAATGTAAAAGAGAAAAGGACATATGGATACGAGTTAAGAGTAACTCTCCATCACTGTAACATGATACTATATACAGTCAGAAAGTGCAATAACTAGGCACAACACTGACAGAGTACTGAGACATTCGACGTCCTGACACCTAACTTCAACACATCTCCGTAGCGCTAATCGACAGCCTTCCAACTTGGAAGGTTCAAGGTTATGGAAAGACCAAAGAGGGGAAGGCAAGCGCAACGAAAACGAGCAAAAGCTACAGTCCCAACGGAACAAAGAATGTCGATTGTTACTGGACGATGACGAGACCAGTACGATATTTGACAAAGCGGTCTAACTACAATTCGAAGCAGCAAAGCAGCACACCACCCAACTTGGGTGGGTCATAAATATCAAAGATAAGTAAAGAAAGGGAAGCTTTGCGAAAACGAATTGTACAAGCCGAAAGCCAAACTCCTACAGTACTCCTCATGCATGACATTGTGATGGACTAGTTGACTACAAAACAAGTTGTTTCACACGACGTACGTTTCGCCGTATGGTTCGTGACGGCATGTCCTTTTCTATTTTACATTTATTTATGGCTCAACATCCGAGTTTCAAATAATAATAATAATCATAATCATAATCTTCACTAGTTTGAGGGATCCGGGAAAGTGACAAACGGGAAAAGTCTGAAGAAAAAATTGACCGTCACCACCAGGACTCGAGCCAGGGACCCTCGCTTGTAGCTAGCGATGCTCTAACCACTGAGCTATGGTGTAGTCGTCATCCCAGCAGAGATAATAATAATAATAATAATAATAATACCACAGCACGCGTAATAATATAATTATGTGGGTATAATTATACGTTCCGCTTCTGTCCTATCTCCTATGATCAAATTCCATTATCAAGATAATTATTAATACGGTGCACTGATGACCTGTGACGCCAGATCATGGATTGTCGGCCAGATTTCTCTGTAGGCTTGTCCAGAGCGATGGCCCTCACATTCTCCAGCTGATTGCTGCGCTTCAAGTCGATGTTCCTTCTCTGTAAGTCGCTTGTGATGCGCGTCGCAATGGATGTCCTTGGACGTCCACGCCCAGCCTTGGCATCTCCTGCAAAATAGCCCGTCAGCGCGATCCATGGCGGCGCATCCCTGTCCATACGGAGAATATGGCCAGTTAGCTACCATCTTCTCCTGTCCACGATGTCAGATAGTGGTTCCGTGTTGCACCTCTCATACAGCTCAGTATTTGATATCCTGGCTGGGTAAACTATGCCAATGAGCCGTCGGAGCTGCTTCCGGTGGAATACGTTAAGCGATTCTGCTTGTGCCGCTGTGAGCCCCCATGCGCCGCAGTTATACAAAAGAACGGGCAGAACCAGGGCATTATACAGTC